CCAATCCTTACACAAACACATCTCTCATCTTCAAACCGGTAGTTTTAAGTAGATTAAGTCAGTTATGCGATCAACATGCTAACCTTAGGGCAGCGAACCTACATAAAAGCGCCCTACAGGATCATACACCTTTAAGAATTATATGTTTCATCGCATTGTTATAATTCAAACTATTTATTCATTGTTATTTGTTATTGATATTTATTTACTTGTTTATGGATTACTATCCTATTTGTATATTTATAATAAACTGTTTAAGCCCCGCCAACTAAGTAAATTGCCAACACTGGAACTGCAGTCTAGTGTAGCCATGGCAGCAGCCTTGCCTACCAAAACCCCAAACACTAATTTTTTGCCCCCTTTTAACCAGAAGTTCCAGGTCCAGCATGCTAGCTCCAGCTCCTTTTTTTGGGGAGCGGGGGAGAGCTGTGGGAGTAACCCACATCACCGCCAATAATTATATATATTGAGGTAAGAGTCAACCCCATCGGCTGATCCAAAGGCAGGCAGACAGCTCTAGTCGGACCGAGACTAGCGCTCCAACCGGAAAAGACCAACCGCCGGCAAGCAGGTTTGTCTGAGATCCGTCGCCGAAGAAGAAGGAGGTCCTGATCCTTGGTCAACAGTTGGTAAAGTACCGATAATGTCTAATTAATTGTAATCTTTTGGGGGATAAAGGGGGTAAGGGGTATCTTTTCTAAATTAGGGCAGGTTCAACCAACAATAAATTAACTGATGTAACTAAATTAACTTTACAATTATCGATATCATGTTTAGGGCAAGTTGCTGCAGGCGAGTTTCAATGGCGAGGGGTAGTTAAAATTAAATAAAAATGTAGTTAATGAATTTATTCACGACTTATCAAAGCTGGCTTACGCTGGGCAGGGTTTACGTGAGTGCTATTGGGTAGTGGAATCAGCACGATATTTATTAAATGTGGATCTAGCTGGGTTAATTCCAGTCAAGACCCCACAGTAAGGACCGAACTTGAGTCTGCTTCGGTCTTGGGAAGTAGTCAGTCCGCCTCAGTCTTGGGCAGTCGTCATTTGGAATTGGAAGATAATGAAGACCCTGACAAGGTAAGCTTCAATATTGCTACTGTTGAGGAGGACTCTAATGTCAAAGTCAATAGGTGGCTGAATGAGGAACCGTCAGTTCCTTTGACATCATCAGCCATCGTGTCCACGGCTATTGATAAACTAGCAGACTCCTTTTCAAAAGCTATCAATTTATCTAACCCCAACCAACCTGTCTCTTGCCGACAGCGTCTTCCATCCTTCAGCGGGAAACCAGACGAGTGGCCCATGTTCTATTCCTGTTACAATAAGACTTTTTTAATGACGATGAAAACCTTGACAGAATAAGAAATTGTCTGGAGGGAGATGCCTTTAAAATGGTAAAACCTCTATTTATATCAGGTAAAAATTTGAGTACAGTAATGAAAACTTTACAAATGCGTTTTGGACGTCCAGAGTTTATAGTCGAGTCAATGTTGAAGAAGGCGCGCATGCTCCAACCAGTCAAGGAGGATGACGCTGTCAGCCTTATTGAGTTTTCAACAACTCTTTTAAACCTGACCTCTACCGCAGAGTCGTTGGATTTGGAAATGTACTTAATAAATCCTCTCTTGTTGAATGAACTTTTAAGTAAGCTCCCCTATACTCTGAAGTACAGGTGGACTGAACATGTAAATAGCATGCATTTAGAAAAACCTACTGACCTGAAAGTATTCTGTAACTGGCTTGAAAACCAGTGTTCCATAATGAGTATTTATTTTCGTCCACCCGAGGAGACAACGCGGAAGAGAAATGACCCTAAACCAGTTTTTACTAATTCGCCCAATGAAAACGTTTGCATGTTTTGCTCGGAGAGTCATGAAACCGATAAATGTAAGCTTTTTAGAAAAGCAGAAGTCTCGCAGCGGTGGAAGATGATAATTGAGAAAAAACTGTGTTTCTTTTGCTTCCGTCGTCACCACATCAAATTTTGCAATTTAAAGAAACCTTGTGGAATCAATGGGTGCAAACTATCCCACCATCGCCTTCTGCATACTGACAGTGCCACTAAAAATGCCCAAGAGATCAGCTGGGACAGAGTACAGAACACTTTCAGGCAGGAAGGTAAATCAAAAGAAGAATTTATAAGCAATCACTCGGTAAATAACCGCGTTTTACTAAGAGTATGTCCAGTGACATTATATGGTCCAAGCTGTCAGATCGACACATATGCACTTTTAGATGACGGTACAACCATATCTCTACTAGATTCAACTACAGCCAATAAATTAGGCGTCAGTGGTATCATTGAACCCCTTACCACTTGTTGGTCAAATGCAACTAAACATTTTGACCCAACGTCCAGACGAGTTGAACTTAAAATAAAAGGGCTCTATGAAGACGAAGTTTTCACATTGACTAATGTAAGAACTCAATTTCCCTTAGATTTACCCCAACAGTCGATCGATTCAGTAAAGCTTCGTGAGACATGGTCTCATTTAAATTCAATCGACCAACCTCTACCAACATCTCATGCCAAACCTACCATCTTGATTGGTCAAGATAATTGCAACCTAATATTGACAAGGAAAGTTGTGGAAGGACCTCCTAACTCGCCAGTTTTATCCTGGAGTTACTTAGGCTGGTCGTTGCATGGAAAATGTCCAGGATACAGTGGAGGACGTATCGATGACAACTTTGCTCTGACATGTTTTAAATATGATAAATTGTACAAAACAGCAGAGGAATCATTTGAGATTGACAACTACGGTGCAGAAAACATCTCCCAAGAGGAAAGGACTCAAAACAAAGATATGAAAATCAAAAAAGCACATTTAAACAGGGATCCAATAAAAGAAAAAGCGTTAGAGAAGGAATGCCAACCCCTGGAGGCTAAGAATATGATTCAAGACCCTGAGAAACATTCTGACATTCTCACCAGTGTCCAGACAGTCCGAGTGGTTGGAGAGAAAACGGAAGAGCCTGATAAAGAAAATGAGATAGGTCTAGTTGACGATGAGCTGATAGAAAATTCCAAAGTACTTGAAGTCTTGAAGGAAGCCATGCTGGAATCCAGTGTCAAAATCAAGAAAAAGATCTTTGCGGTAACTGGCAAAAGGAAGAATGTGAAAACAGAAGACAAAAAACTTAAAGCCAAACCTCTATGGGAAATGAAGAAAACGGAGAACGATTCAGAGTTGAAAATTTGTGGTGGATGTGATGTGCAGTTTGACAATACCTCCTTCTACAGACACAAGAAGAAACGTGTGTGCTGGAAGGAGCACAAGAATAACGATGACAATCAAACAAACAAGTGTGCTCAGTGTGGCTGCAAGTTCCCATGTCTGATGGCCTTGTTTAAACACAACTGTAGTCGCTCACAGGAACCTACGATGCCACAATGGTGTCTTGAAGAGCAGATGGCGGAGGTGCTAAGAGACAGCGTGGAGGACAATTCCAACTTGTCACCTATGAAAATATCCAGAGACGAGTCTGTGAGGAGAATGTCACTAGTAGACGATTCAGTCAGCCTAGTCAGTGACGAGAGCTTTGACATCTCACAGTACCACAACAAGTCCAGCAGTTATAACCAGAGGAATAAGAAATATTCTGAAATATTCAAAGAAATCAAACATCAAAGAAGAAAACGTATGCTCAAAGTGAAAATCACTAAAGAACTGGTGAGTGCCAAAGTTAGGCTTCGCAAGCCTCGGCCAAAAATTACTATTGCTCCAAAGAAAAAACTAATGAAAAGGAAAAAGAAACTAATTTTTGAATGGTTAGTTCTTGGGGGGGAGAGAATGTAATAATCTATGTCTAATCTATGCCTGCCTTCTTTCATATACAGTTTAACTAACATATGTTTTATTGATTATTATGATTTTTGTAAACAGTCAAAAAAAATACACATCTTTGGTCAAGTCTATCATTTTTGTCTTGTCTGTCTATAATATTTTAACAAGGACTGAACAGATATATTCCTAATTATTGAACTTGGTATTCATATTAATCCAATAGCATAGCCTAGGAATAGTCCTTGACAAGAGCTGTTAGCAGGAGCAAACTATGCTATTTTTTCAATTAAAGTTTCATGTTCAAGTATATGGAGATTTTTTTGTTACAATTATTATGTCGTATAGGCATATCTTAAATCTCATCAGGTAATTTCCTCTTCTTTAATTTAGTAAACCTTTGAAAAATCTTTGTAATCCAACCAAGGAAGGGCATGTGATGATGAACCACAATCAACAGCTGAAGCAAAGGTTGAGAGACCAGCTTTCTCATTATTTTAAGATTTGGTGTTGGTTTCCATTAAAACCCAAGTTGAAACTATCAATAATAAAATAAAGAAACTAAATTGATTACCAATTTCCCTGTCAATCACTTGCAAGCATTCAATAGCTTCTCTTGTCACCATTACATCGTCTTCATCTAGCGATTTTATTTTATCTAACAGTTAGTAATCATAGAGTAGCAAATGAAGGAAATGGGAGCCAAAAATGTGGATAACACTCAGATAATGGCCTCCATGTCTACACAACGTTGTAATAGGTAATAAAACGGCTGCGACCAGCTGTATGAAGCCAAGAAAGTAGGCCTAATTTTCTTGAAAATCTCGGTTGTTTCACGTACCTAAGGTTGTGATAAAAATCACTATCTCAATCAATGTTAATGTAGCGAGAAAAGTAGCTAAAATTATGCTACAACTACTTTAAAAATGTAGCTAGCTACAGCTAAAGCTACAAAATCTTAAAAGTAGCGTAGATACAGCGAACGCTACAAAAAAAGTGGCGCGCTACTTCCCAACACCAAGGATTCCTACCTTAAAGGATGGCAGTCAATACAAACACTGCTGCCACGGCCCGGCCTCAACGACTGCCTGCTAAGTGTTATTTTTGCATATCCTCTCTTTAACAAATTGTTTTAGAAACACATTTTACGCAAACAAGCAAAAAAGTCATATTCATAAAGCTATATTCATCAATATTGGATACTGTAACTCACCATAGCTACTGAACGTTCTTCTTTGGTTTTCAAACTGGAATTCACTAATATGAGCTTTTTCTACAAATCCAGAAAGTGTGTTTTTTTGTGCTCTTTGTTGTTGAGTCAAAAAAGGATTCTCTGGCCCCAATTCAGGAGCAAAAAGTTCTTCATACTTGAGATTTTTAGTAAGTTCCTTTGTAGTGACATCTACAAACTTCATGCTATCAGATGGACCCTAGGAAACATGAAACATGTTTATAGAAGTTCAACAATAAGGAATACGATTTTTATTAGTAACACAGAGTTGATAAATAAAGATGAAGGTAGGTCCAATAACAAAATTAGGTTTTGAGTTGCTGATCTATCAAGCTCCTCTTTAGGCGGATACTTGGGAAATAAAACACCTGAATTAAATCGTTGCCTCTTGCAATTTATGATGTGATTTCATAAAAATGAATGAATAAATATGTATGTACAACATTGAGTAAATAAACAAAAAACCGGGGCTTCCTGAAAGATTCACCATAGCCCTAATGTTCTACCACTGCACCTAAACTATAGAAAAAAGTGGCCCGACAGACCTATTGTGGTTTTATGTCAAATCCTCTTTCATTTTCAAGATGAGCTCGTTCGCATTGCTCAATCACGTCCTGGTTGAAGTTCGTTTGTTACGCTTACTCACCTTTGGGCCACCAGCTAAAATCTCCTCTTTTTTGTACATTACCATATATGGCAACCCTAATCACGCAATTCTAATATCCAAGTTAAGATCTTATGGCGTTATGGATCCTTTGTTATCATGGTTGTGAAGCTATATCTGGAAGACAATCAACAGTCAGATTTGTAAATAGCTGTTCTAATCCTTTCAATGTAATATCAGGAGTTCTACAGGGCTCCCTTCTCGGTCCCTACTTGTTTAATTTATTTATGAACGATATTGGTGAGGCGATTGAGTGCAAGTTTTTTGTTTGCAGATGACATTAAGCGGTTTCATGCGCTGAACGTTTCGGAAGAGTAACATACTGCAACGCTCTCTTGATAAGGTCAGTATATGGTGCAATAATAACATGATGCAACTTAATGCTAATAAATGCATGGCTATTTCGTTCTACCGGAGAGATTCCTGTGTTAATATAATAACACATAATTAATTATGAAATTCAAGGTTATGGTGTTCCACGCTGTGAGACTGTCAAGGATCTTGGTGTCCTACTTAACTCATCTCTTACTCCTGATGACCAAATAGAAGCTATCTGCAAACGAACTAGCAGACTTTTGGGGCTGTTATGGCGAGGTGTGTCCAGTTGTCTTCTATACAAAAGTCTATTATGACCTACCTTTGAATACGCATCAGTGGTCTGGAAGCCCTTTTACAAAACCACCTCATAAGATTGGAAAGGATACAGAGAAGATTCATTAGATTGGTTGGAGTTAAAATGGGTCTAAGATATCTTGAGGTCCTTGTTGCTGACTTAATGAAGCACTTTGATCTTCTACCTCTGGAAGTTTGTTTCAACTATGCTGACTTGATTTTCCTCTTCAGGCTTCTCAATGGTTCTATTGACTGTCCGAATCTTCTGAGTAAAATCAACCTTAGAACACCAGGTCACACTGAATTCTTCCATTGAGGTTACTACAGGACAAATTACCTGAAGTCAGGCCAAAAAATTGCAAGATTCCATAACCTGGGAATCTCTGTCTCTGCTGAGGTTAACTTCTTCTACCATAGGTAGGTAGTCTTCTTTGCTTCAAAAAGAAAGTTAAATCAACTTTAGCAAATCACTGATTTTTGTCTTCCGTCTAGTCATATTTGTATACACATCCATCTTTCGTATCACTGTTATGTATCTCAGTAGTTTATAGTTTACTGTTGTTAAGCTACACTGTAATCTATGTTTGCTTATTCACTGTTATGTTACCAGATGTTCATAGTTTATACCGTTGTTAAGCATAAGTCAAGCATTAGTTGTCAGTCTTTGTTAATCCTTTTTAATTAGTTTATCTGCCCTTGTTAACTCTTCTTTGTTTGTTTTTTTTAGTACCGTAACTCCTACATATGTCAAGTCTTTTGTCTCCACAACTGAATTAGTATTTTGTTATCAACTTCCTTTTTGTCTATTCTTGTACATCTAGACTGTAATCTATGTTTGTTATATTCACTTTATGCTACCAGATGTTCATAGTTTATCCTACCAACATTTTGTAAAGTAGCATAAGCTGTCAGTCTTTGTTATTCTTAACTTATTTAGGCCTAATATTATCTGCCCTTGTTAACTCTTCATTGTTAATTTTTGTAACTTCTATCTCAAGTCTTTTGTCTCCACAACTGAATCTAGCCATTTGTTATTAACTCCCTTTTGTCTAATATTGTACATCTAGACTGTTCAGTTATGCTTTCCACCACCTTGTACACAGCACATAGTATTATCCCTATTGGCATTGCCGTTAATAAATAGGAAATAAATCACATAAGTTAGTTAGGGTTTTAAACTCTTTGTACACAGAGTCGGATAGGCGTATAGAAGTTTTACCTGGGCAATTATCTTACCCAAATATGTCATTGGTGATTAGTTTTATTGAAAACCCCTAAAACTTAATCAGATCTGATAACTTAGGCCTAAGTTACTTAACATTTAAACTAAATGTGTGATCGATTAAAAAATCATAATATTTAAAGTGTTATACCCCTTGGGCCTTGACATAACTCATACCGGTAACTGAATTTGAACTTAACACAGATAAATAAAGGTGTCTTGCTAGCCTAGTGGTTAGCACATCGAAATAGGGTGCGAGAGGGATAGGGTTGATTCCCGGCACACACCCAAAAACCATATGAATTGAGACCGCTTGCCCTACAAGTGTTTGAAAACCTCCGATAGTGCAATACCTCCCTTGCACGATGTGGAAAATTCCACAGGTTGCAAACAACATTCAATTTATGAATTGATTAACCTAACCTAACCTAACCCTTTAATATAATTTTGAGTAAAAAATAAACCATGGGTGTGGAGCTTTGGATGCAAGAAACACTAGGGGTACCGGTAGCCTACAGTTTCTTAACTGGGCTACACTAATATCGATTGAAACTATCGAATTTAAAATATTGATTAATAATCAATATTTTTAACTAGGCCTATTATACGGTAGACCTATATCTATTATAAAAATGAAAGTGTCATAACCTAACCTTTACTAACCAAACTTGCTGATAATGAAAAAAATCTCATGAAGGTTTACTAATCCATTTAATAGTTCTAATTTCTTACCATTGGAGTAACATCTGGTGCTGCACAAACATTACTAAGTGCAATTTTTGCAATAGTTTTCCCATCGTCCAAAGGTTTCAAATGAGCAGTAGTAGCATTTTCATCAAAATCAGAATCACCACTATCACTATATTGTTGAATTTGAAGCATTATTATTATTATTATAAAATCACGACAGCCAAAAGTGTAGGGCAATACAGTCCTAGTAAAAATATTTGTTTTTGTAAACAACTAACGAAACGATTAACGAACATAACACGATCGTGAACATAACCTACAAACAACTAGAATAGTAGAATAAATGATGACCAAAGAAAGACCAACAAACTAAACCGAACTAAACCTGAACCTGAACTGAGCAACTTACTGAACTGAACGTACATCGGGAGTTCCGTAGTGACTAAACTGAACAGAACAGTCGGACAACGAACAAACGACGAGACCGTCCAGTCCATCGCCATCCATCACAGTCTATATATTAATTCTCTTTGTCTATGATCATAGCCACCTCTAATACATTAGAGTGTGATTTATAAAAATTAATGAATGTAATAAATATGTATGTACAACATTGAGTAAATAAACAAAAAACCGGGGCTTCCTGAAAGATTTACACTGATGGGCACCACGGGTGCAAGGTTTAGGGCACAGAAAACAAAAACCCAACTTAAGTTAAAGGGAAACCAAAAATAAATTACATGTTTTTTAATGAATGAACTTTGCAGATGAAACAGCTGATCTTTAGCAGTAACAAAAATCATCTCATCCACAGATAGGCCTACTCAAATCCTAGTCTTTGCCGGCCACCTCATTACCAAGAATTTCAGATGACGATAACACAGAGTTTGCATAGATTTGTACTTTTCTTTTAAAGGGAACATTCATTATTTTTTTTATATATCGATATTTTATTTTATGATCCGATATATCGATATTACCGAATTGAAATATATCAGCTGACAACTACGATAAATAAATAGGGATTGTTCCAACAAACAATTAAAATATTAAGTAGTTACGAGAGGTCGCCCAGTGGTCGAAACTCGACCAAAAATATGTAATGTATTCACTTCTCTATTTTCACCCCTCACTGTAAATAAAACATGTGATTGGAGTATCTTCCATTTGTTTTGATTTTCTGTTTATATTTCGTTGTTATTTCGTCACCAGCATGGCAACGCATAAGTTCCATGTTAATTTTTTCCAATTTTTAAACTCATTTTTTGTGCTTATCTTTGAGCCTATTTAAATTAATAAAGGGGTTCTGCACACCTACAGGAAAATTGCTTTCTACGGTATGTGCAGATTTACCCCACGATGCACACAAGCTGAGAAAAAAGGTTTTAAAGAAACATGCTTGCCTATTAATATATAGATAGATATGTTGAAATGAAACCGTTCTAAACTAAGTTAACCTAACTTAACTAACCAAACTCGCTGTAACATTTCAAAATTCCGTTTGATAGTCACCACATGCGTTATTATCAAACTGTTATTCTGTTATCAAACGGACTTTTAAAACTGTTTGGCAAGTTTGTTTGGTTATGCTAGGTCAGTTTAGAACAGATTCATTTCATAATCAATATACAGAATGTCCCACGGTATGTATCTCAAATTGATTACAGAAGAAAGGCTTAACGTACAAGGATGAAATAAAATTATGTCCCGCTAAATCAACCCCAAGGAATAACGTTAAAATATTTTCAACTTTTTTCCGAAACAGGGTGTGCCAAAACTGAAGGTCACTAACAGTTCGAATCTTGGAATTTTCAAATGTAAACATATGTCATGTTATACATCATTTTAAAGGTATTTAACCCTTCACGGTCGAATGGCGAGTATAGGTCGCCGCCCGCATTTTTTCCGACTGCTCAAAAATCTAAAAAAATCAAAGTATCTCAAATTAAAAAGTTTATTTTTGCAGTCAAATTGACTCGAATGGCGAATATAGGTCGCCGGGCGCCATTTTCCCGACTGCTCAAATGACAAACTATACTCGGCGAAAAATTCGACCTTAAAGGGTTTTAATAGACAAACATTTGGGCAAAAACAGAAATGAGTTATCTTTTTACGTTTCAAATGGCGGCAGTTTATTTGGAAAAAATCAATATGTTTTTAATACTCTGTGTTTCCTATACCAATGCGCTTAGCCCTTATCCGGTTGAATTTTCTTACTCGTTATGAAATTAGCTTTACTGTGATATGCTACAAGTAACAACTTTTTTTAAATAGTAAAAATAAAAAAAAGATTTTTGAAAATTTTCAAATACCTATTGTTCAAAATTTTAAAAAACAGTAGAACCTCGATGGTTCGATACTTTGTGGACTTAAGGGGTGTCGAACTATAGGGAGTAAATGGAGTCTAATACACAGGAAACTAAAAACATATGTGTCTTAGATATCACCCAAATTTATTAAATACTAAAAAGCTTTTAACCTTTGCATTTGCCCGTCCACATAGACTAAGCGCCCGTGCGTGGTGCGTGGATCGTTTACAGCAAAGCAAGGAGTGAGCCGGTACAGTACAAAGGTGAACTGTACTGATACATTTTAGTGGCAGTGACCATTAGGATCCGAACCCACGACATCGCTGCCTTGGGCCCGAAGTCCGCGACGCTACCGACTGAGCCACCGACTCACATTAACTCTTAAGTCAACAATAAGAGACAAATTAATGTTTAAGTCAGATTACATAACAATAGTAACCATTAAATATCACTTGACAAAATAGCTCAGCCCGTGTTGAACTACAAAGGAGTGTCGAACTATCGAGTGTCTAACTATCGAAGGTTTACTGAAGCAAAATATGTCAAGTGGCACATCATTTTATAAGTTTTTTAATTCTTAACAACTTTGTAATTTAGACTTACTTCGTATCTCTTATAGTTTTTGTGTATATAACCAAAAACCTAATTTTCCTATAAATGCATGTTATTTTGGGGTTAACCCTAAATTCAATGGAGCCTTTAGAGTTTTGAGAATTGAAAAACCTATAAAATGGTGTGCCACTTGACAGTTGCTATTTGAAAATTTTGAACAATGGGCATTTGCAAATTTAAAAAAATCTATTTTTTGGAAATTTTATTATTTCAAAAAACCGTTACCTGTATATACCCTGTAATATTTTTACGTTATTCCTTGGGGTCAATTTAGCGTGAAATAATTTTATTTCATCCTTGTACGTTAAGCTGTTTTTCCGTAATCAATTTGAAACACCTTACATGGGACACCCTGTATATTATTTTTGCCTAAACAAGATCAGTATATGTAATTTAAATGCGTTTGAAGACATTAAAACATAAGAAATATGGATGGTAAGATTAAGGAACACAAAAATGTCGGTACTTACTTAACTTATACTACTTATGTTATATTGAATTTTTTACCTTATCTACCAAAATTGAATGAATGAATATATAGTTTGTTCCAAAAAAACATTGGCTACAAACTGTGATTATAAACTAAAATAAAGTATATTAGACAGAGACTTTTGTCACTAAAAATACATACAGTACGAGTTTTAATAAAGCCAAAATATATAACAATAAAATAAAGGGACATAGGCAGTGCTACCTGTGCGTCTGCTAAGTTGCTGTCAAATATAAAAAATAAAAATTATTGAATTTTGGAATGACAATTAAAAAAGACAATAGGTCGTTATTATTATTATTGAAATAAGTAAATGTATTTCCATGAACACAATGCTGGTAAGATAGCGCTTTATAGATTTCCGTGGTGGCTAGGAGAGAGAGAGAGAGAGAGAGAGAGAGTGAGTGAGGGGGGGAGGGAGAGAGAGTGTGCGTTTCGTGTGTAAAGGTGGTAGTGGAGAGTGATGAGTGGATTGTAGGGTAAAGAGTGGAGTGGAGTGGAGAGTGGTAAATTCGACTCTGCGGACAGTCCAAACAAAGTGCCGAGGTCAGTCAGTTCAAAGGTCGGATCAAGTGCGCCGGTAGTCCGCCGTGATAATAGAATCGGCCTCGTCGATATTTAAACTGAATAGGAAATCATTGACGAGGAATTTAAATACCTTTAATGAGTCACGACCAAAAAATTGAAATCCCTAAAAATGTTGCATATGTTACGATAGACTAAGTGTGAAACATAGTATGAATTAGTCATAGAAAAAGTATAATTCACTTGAATTGTGGTGATTCCAACTCTAGCCGATTATCAACGACAGCTGGGCTGTTTTGATTTCTCAGGATCAATCGAGTAATTTTTTATTAGGTCTGAAATATGGACACAAGGATACTCAGTCTTGGATAACATTTAGTTGTTATGTAGTGTTGCAAATCACCAGGCATAGAAACTAGTTTGCATTACTTAAAATACCCCCACCGCTTGTCTGATGTAATATTTCATTTCATTAATTATTTTGTACTAGCTGTGTGCCCGTTCTACGCACGGGGATCTTATAGTAGTCAGTTGAAACCTTCTTATATTAAGATTAAGAGCAGCAATTAGTTTGCATATTTGCAGATATGCTGGCAAAACTATTATATATAAACCTTCGCAAATACGTATCTGACAGTTCAAGCCAAAATAAATGCTTCGCAATTAAATGTCGCCCGGATCGTGTTGGTCCATATGTCCAATGATTAAACTTAAAAATGTTTTATAGATCCATGAAGCGTAGCCCTAAAGTAGGCCTATAATTGAAAGTTACTTTCCACATCGGTTAACTTAAACATATTTAAAGTACTACCTCAACCTCACCATTTAACACTTTATTCCGGTTGACATTTTCAGTATCAAAGGTGCTCTTGTCCATTCCGTGAAACACTGAGAAATAAGGACATTAATGCGTTACCAACATACAACAAAACAACACAATACAACAATCCAACAAAGGCCACGAACTATTGATACATAAACAATATAAAGGCGTAAACAATTCATTATGGTTTGCCCAACAAATGTTTTACTCAAATAGGTTATCATTTTCTTAGCATACCGGGTAAGCTAAGATTTGGAATCCAGGCAGAAAAAGCAAAACTTATACAGAGTTAAGACATCACTTAAATTGAATACGGACGGCTCTAATAAATAAGGTGCAACACCAACGATATCTAATTTGTAAACTACCGGTTCTAAGGAAAAGAACCAGTACCTAAGTAAGAACCTACCTAAGAATTACAGTAAATCGGACCAATTAAATACATTAATATCTAGCTTCGAGGTTATTGATCTCTTGCTTTTGGATTTTCTCGTAAAAAGTTATAGCGTAAACTTATCGGTGTCAGTTTGAAAAAAAGCAACCTTACCCAAACAACTTTTTGTTATTTAATAGATTACGCATTCTCTAAACAATGATTAGTATATCTATTAACATTAGAAGGAAATGTGACGAAAATCACACAATGTTGGGGTTTTGGTCATTTGTAATTTTATTTTTAAGTAGGTAGGCCATGTATTCTATGGAAAAGTACCGGTATCAAGGATCGTCGTCAAAAAGGTTGTTATGAATAAATATGTAGGCTTACGTACCCAAGATATGAGCTATGGGCCTATTGGCTGTATGGTCCAGCGATTGCATCACACGGTGAGTAGAAACAGAAAGTGACACATTGGAAAAGCGAATTTAGCACTTCCTCTGTAAAACCTCTGTTACAATCACCCACTGCAGTTGTGATTTTTTACTTTACACTTTACACAATCGCCATTGAAGCGCCGTCAATGAGTGGAAACCTTTTTTGTAAGCTATTGGCGACGATCATTTCAGTGTCACAGCCCTATACAACACTGATTCAAGGTCTTCTTCTTTCTGGTTGTCAAAACTCAAGAAACATTTTATACTCAAAGAATTTCTGGTTCCGATTTGGACGATGTCTAGTTATTTAATTTCATTTACGGTTACACTATTAGACTATATTATTGCACTTGCGATTAATTAAATCCGTTATGTAAGAAAAACGTTTTTAATCTCTCTTGGTTGGGATTTGCTTTCAAAACGTGATTCGAAATAGTTGCGGTATTTGTAAACAGCATTTGTAAACATGTCATTGACAGCTAGAAAAAATAATCTTGATCCGAACAGCTGTTCGTTATTTCATAGACGGTTCTGTGATAAAAATTGAACGAAAATTTGACAAAAATCGCACAAAACTGCATTTTTGAACGTCCGTAATTTTATTTACAAAGTAGTGAGGCTATATTTAAATCACTAAAGACACTCTCGCCAATCCAGTGAATACATTAAAATGGCTTGGATCTTGATATGTACTCTGGTTTTCACGGAGAAGATTGCGTAAAATGCCATCTTGAGTGTTACAGACAAAGGGACAGACAGACAGACAGACAGACAGAAATTGAGATAAGACTCGTTTCTGCTTCTTTAATGTATAAAACGTAAAAATAACCTAAAAGTATATAATTCTGAGCAATGTACAGACAAAACTCTAATTTTATTTATATAGATAAAGTTTCTTAAAATGTTAACTTTTGTTCATACACCTTTGTTATTAATCACTCCTCAGAAAGTCATGCAGATATATAATAAGGCTGGCCTAGTATTCATTTATACAATCCCATTTATCTATGTTCAAATAATCATTAATAATATCCATATTCCATAGCCTATATACAAATGGTTGTTGTATATATTTTTACAAAGCCTACAACTTTAGTTATTTGTTAAATATGTAAGAGAATTGCAATACATCAACATTTCTTATAATATAATTTCAAAATTAGTCCTTATGGAATCAAAAATAAGTAAGCAGTGATCCATGTGTTCAACAATAGACCCATGTGAACATTAATTGAAGAAGACTGGGAGAGAAGGGAAGCCATAGTTGAAAGTTGAAACTGTTAAAAGGAGTCCAGGTTTCTAAGTTAAATTAATTAATTTCACAAAAAAAACCAGTTTATATTAAAGTTATTACAGTCAACCTCAAGAGGACTAACTCCATTATTTTACAAAATTAAGTATAAATATAAACGGATGGTGTTTTGGCCTATTGGGACCTCAAAACAAAAAATTAAATCGGTTCCGGGTCCAGGTCTTACCATGAGTACTACGGTAATAGATTATATTCCCTATATGGGAAATTCGCTAAAAGTCCTAAAGTGACAATTGCTATTCGGAGGAGACTTAGGTTAACAAATATACACAAATAGATCGTAATTGCTTAAATATTTATTTAAAAAAAATTCTTCAAATTTCTAACAGCTAATGAGACAAGAGTAGCTTCTATATACACACTTCGGCCTCCACTCTGTGACACTTTAACAAAAATAATAAACGGAAAGCTACATTCTCCATTTGTGTGAAAACAATCACACTTTAAATACATTTATATTATGTACATTTTCACGTCAAGTAATCATACACTATACATTGAGCGCTTATGTATAACTAGATACAATATTTACACTGAACCTATCTCCAACTTACTCTTAGTATTATGGAGTTGGACCTTAAATCTCTAACTACTAGCTTAGAATTTGGTTTTTGGAAAACACAGTCACCGTCTTTAACTTTATAATAACAGTCCTCTTTGTATGTAATTGCACCGAGACTTGCAAATCAAAACTAAAAAACACTTCTACCGTTGAAATAAAACATGATTTAATTATATAACGTTTGAAACAGAAAATTGCAACTTAAAAAAATTGTGTTTGAAATGAACACCATAAAAAATCAAAATATTAAAGTGATAACCATTTTACTTTATTTAGCACGTTGACAGGTAGTTAATAAATACAAATTGGTTGAGAAAAGTAACCATTTTGAAATTTACCAAAAAAACCTCAAACGGTTTCCAATATTCATAAAACTTCATCTTTGTTTCACACACAATATTTGTTTTACCACCCTAATTTTTTTTACTTCGATCACATTTAAACAATATTGCTAACTAGTAAAACATCATAGTATAGTTTTGTAAATTTAGTTTAAGTACCTATGGTTTTAATGTTTGTAATGCAATTGTTGGGAAATCTCTTTAATATTTTAGCAAAGGAGGGTTTTTAAGGGACAGAGATAGTAATACTGTATAAAGTGTACAAAATAGATAACATCCCCTATTTTTCAAAAAAAATAATCTTTGATTGATACTTTTTGAGAAATAACTATATGACAAATTAGTTTTTCATTTAAGAAGAGTTTTAAAATTTAATACCATACGTGCAGTAGCATTTTAATATATCTTACAGAACTGGGTTTAGGTATGAACTACATGATGCAGAAAGGGGTCATGCTCATAAAAAGGCACATTTTACGAGAACACTCGCTCTGTTCATACTGTAGTTATAAAGGTTTTTTACGTTAAGACCTAAAATTACCTAACTCGACAGTTTGATTTCATGGCTGGCCTAGTATCAAATTAGAAACTTGATGTGATGTTAAAAATGAATTCATTATAGTACCAGTTATTCAACAGATTGAATCAACTTTTTTATATTAGTTATTTGTATGAAAACTATTTAAGGCCTCCTGTTTGGAAATATTAAAATCAAAAATATCTTTAATTACATTGAAACATGTTAACCGCTTTCATATTTTTCCACTGACTCTATGAAACTAGGGTAAACCATCGATCTCGATGGGGTAAACATTCCATTTATATGAAACAGCTGTGGCCATTCTAATATTTTTTTGCTATTCAAATATAACAAAGTTGAATGAGCCTCTCATAGAAAGCTGCTGTCAAAATAACTTTCTCAGATATTGTTACTACACAGTAAGTAGACAGATAGTAATTGCAAAAACTAGTAATTGACAGTATCACACTCTATCAGAGGCTCAATAATTCAACTGTGTTTATTTGATTCTAAAATCTGACCACAGCTTTAACATGGGAACGGAATGTATAGCGCCACCCACTGTTTAAGTTTTATACTTTTCTGTTGCTGAATCATAAACCCACAATTTTTGGGGGACAGGACTGGGACATGAGGTCTAAACGGGGTCGTATAAGAAAACATTTTATTTACAAAAGGTCGTCGTTGTGACATAATTTTTAAATTTCCCTCGACTATACATTTGATTCAATTTTGTTTACATAATTTACAGAAATAAATCTAGTGGTGTTCGATCGTCGACAATTTAATTGTAAAAGGAACAATAACTTATACAATACAAAAATATATATATAAATCATTATTTTATCATCGTTAATGTTAGGGACGTTGGAAATGACATCAGCTAATATTACAGACTTAATAATATAACAACAAAATAAAAAATTGTCCACATTTAAAATTATAAACAAAATAAAATACAATAAGTTAATAACAACAACTATGAAACTAATGATTTGATCCATGGACATATCCTCGTACCATCGCTCGTCTCATCTTAATACTGTAACACATCTCTGAGGAGGTCTTTGGAATTTCATCTACCTAACAATCGTATCACATTTGGCAGAAAACATGCAGGCGATAAATCCAAATAGGATAGAGCGTGTAATATTACTCTGATAGTAAAAAAATCTTCTCACTTGTATTCACACATTTTATATTTGAATCTAGTGTTTATAATGGCTATTGGATCGAGTTTGAAAGGGAAAATTGTAGTCAGATTAAGATGAAATTCCAAACTGAAAAGGGAGTAACAAATAAAATAACAATAAATATACCTAAAAAATTTAATAGTAAGAGATAATTCACAAAAGCAAAGCTTTTGAAGAAATTCTCTCTAAGCGAGTAGAGAGGAACTAGTACCCAATGTACATGGCTGGAGACAACCTATTTGTTTGTATTATATATAAAAATATCATTACACGATCTGTTGAAAAATCTGTCTATCGGAGATCTTAATCTGAACTCGATTCACTCACTTAGTCATGTATAAAAACTATCATTAATCCAATATGAATGAAGTAACAAAACAGTACCTACAAATACATAGTTCACAGAAGAAGTAGAGGAAAGATAATTTTAACAAATGAGTTGTCATCTTAGAGTAACAAATCCATTCCAATCCTTTTTACACATAACCATGAACACAGCCTAACTTGTGAGACAAGTTAAAGACAAATTTTATGAACAACAATCATTTATTTTTATCTTAGATATCCATATATTTATATATGTGTTTTTATTAATGTATACTAGTCATTTATCGAACAATAATACATTTATATACACGTAAAACATTTTCTATTACTATATTTACACAGCGGCACCTTTTTGTTTACAAAAGATGTAATAATTGTATTAAGTCTATATATAAAAAGAGGATTTAAGTGTTACTTTTCTTTACAATAAAGGTTTAACGATGTACATACAAATATTTTATTTCGTGTAGTTGAAATATTCTCACATTTGTGTCGTAAAAAGAGACTAAAACAAAAACAACAATACACAAGACACAAAAGAGACTAAAAACGGCCATCGATAGTCAACATTCCTTTAACAAAATGTTTCACATCTTTATTTTTGGTCAAATAATAAAGTTCAATAAATAAAGCACGAGCGGATCATAGGGACGCTATACACATTCGCCACCCGGCACTATTTAACTTATGTACACCTACACTAACAGAATAATAATACTATAATCGACAACAATCACAACATTTTTACATAACACAGGATAGGAAGATTGCTTTGTTTATCGACAAGGAAAATGTCCTTTTAAGTACACATTAAAAACTAAAAAGCCGCACTGTACTACAAATTTTCCACATATTTAGTCAACTGATCCTGAGGCGTAAGATCGTCGGGCTGTGGGGGTGCTGGGGGCGGCAGTCCGGTAGCGGAGGAGCCTAGTTGTGATAACATCATCTCACTGGGTCCACCGAGGTCGTGGTGAGGCGAGGGCACCGGCTGGTTGCGAGGTGACTGTACTGGCCGAGGCGAGGGGTTGGGTTGAGGCGACCGTATAGGTGGGGGCGACCTGACAGACATGAGTTGTTGTTGCGACATACCAGGAGGACCCATCATGCCCTGGGGCGACTGGACTGGACTAGGGTTGGGTTTGACAGGGTACTGGTCAGGGAAGCCTTGCGAGTAACTTCTCATTGGTAACCGTTGCTGCTGAGGCGTATAGCCCCCGGGGAACTGCTGAGTCGGCTGTTGTTGTTGCTGCTGCTGCTGTTGTTGTTGCTGTTGTCTCTGTTGGATAGCCAGAATCTGCTGCTGCTTGTACCAGTTGGGTTGTTGTTGCATCATCTGAGGGTTCTGTTGAGGCATCTGCATGTGCAGCCTGTTCTGTTGTGGATTTTGCTGCTGAGTCATCATGTGCTGAAGCTGCTGGGTCGGCGCCTGAGGTACGTTCACCACGTTCTGCTGCTGCTGCTGCTGCTGCATCTGGAAGTTTTGCCTCTGTTTGATAAAGGCTGCCATCAGCTGAGGGTTGCTCTTGAGGATCTGCAGTATCTGCTGCTGCTGTTCCGGAGTGTTGGGTGATCGTAGAGTGTGCAGCAGTTGTTGAAGCGCCTGTTTGCTCTGGGGGTTAGGTCCTGGCTGAGAGAGTCGCATTGCCCCCACGATGGGTCCTTGCGCCCCAGGCTGAGGGTTAGGCTGCCTCAGCCCTGCATTGCCCACATTGGCTGTTTGGTATCTGGAAATATCAGGCACATTAACAAACTGCAAGTCGTGAGTAGGTGAAAACCAAATTTTTAAAATTATACGTTTCAATTAATTGTAATTTACACATTTTACCATCCACAACAAATTAGTTTCTTACAACCTACATACCATTTTAGAGTGTCCAGCCGATCTGGAATAGTATGTGAATTTTGATGACCGGGAGAATATCTGTGAATTGTACATGAATTTTGTAAAGAACAAGGGTATCTAAATGAATTAATAACATCCAATAAATGCGCACAAAATTGCGATCGCGGAAAACTATAACGAAAAACAAACGTTGCCACGATCACAAGAAATTATCATGGGTGTTGCCGCAATGAGGGGATATCATTATGAATTTTGCCATGATTGCAAGACAATCTCAGATGTAGCAGCCATCGCTACATCGGGATCGTTGTATACAACCATCGATCACAGATGTCCGACACCTCAAGAGTTTCTGCGATGACGGAAAATAATAATCAAGGATAATGCTTCGATCACGGAAAATCATATTGGATGTTGTGCATTTGTGTGTGTTGGCGAAAGAGCTCAAAACTGTTGAGCTTACATTGTGCACAAATTTCGATCAAACTCGAGGTTCAATATTTTGAGTCTACTAGCGTCCTTTCTTTGACCCCTTATTATCTGGCCCCCCACTACTTTGTCGACTTCTTTAATGTGATTTCTCAAGATATTATTTTCTTATCTTTGACATTATGACACTGAAATACAACACAGCCAAGTTCAAACTACCTACGTTGAACATTTCGACAATTCTTTTTTAAACACAACCGGTACCAAACAGAACAGACAAGTTCCACGCTCGTTTATGAAACGATGTGTGATTTTTATACAGGTTTGATTGAAATAACAATTTAAAGATATAACCCAAGTAGACCTAAGTTCACAGCAAAGAAGTAGACATTTCAAAGATAAGTTATATAATTCTTTAGAAAAGATTGGGCCTTAATAAAACCCCATTTCAGTTAAATGTCAAAACATCAGTGTTCCTGACTTGGGGGGTTTGCTATTAAATACACACCAAAACCCTAAACTAAAAAAAAACCCATTGTAAAAAAAAAACAAAGCCTAAACATTTTTCCATGTGGAACTTGTTTATGGCTCCCATATTCTGTAACACTTTATAACCTCTAAGTTTAACAATTTATAAAGTTTTGAGCAACACCAAATTACACTCATCTAATAATACGACAATGAAAACTTCAAAAGTTCAATAACATTATATTGATAAAATGTCCAATCTAATACATGTTTACAATATTTACATGATAAGGAAGAACAACAGTTAGTAAGTATTACTAAACAAAATTCACTTATTGAGCATCAAATTCAGCAAATCAGTCAACATAATACGATTCTCCAGAAGATTCACTTGAGAAAGTGTAGTCATTCAGATCTATCGAGATTACCTACAAGGGGAAAAATATTATAACTTTTAAAGGAATAGAAAAATAATAATTATAGGTAAGTACACTAGTGATAGGAATTTTTAGGTTAGTTAGGATTTTACTTTACTATTCTGTAATGTGTATAATAGTTTAGTTTACCTGTTCTGTTGCCACTGGTCCATGGAGAGAAGCGGGGTTGGTCCTGGCCCTGGCCCTCTCTGTAGCTGTGGAGGAGGCATCACTTGAGGTACAGACTGAGGCACTTTGCCTACATAGCCTACAGCAGCGTGAGGTGCTTGTTGTCTGGCCGCCTCCTCCTGCACCTATCACAACACCCATCATACTCACTCAGTGTACACAGGCAGGAAAAAGTGTAATTTGGTAAATTTTTATGCAATTTTAAGCACATAAATTCTAAAAACTTCTTTTGTTTGGAAGTAATTACAAAAAAATCTAAACGTCACTGCTGAAATTATCCTTATTCACTTAATGAAAAGGGCTGTTTTCTAACGTTAGAGCTAACTTAGGGTTACACAAGAAGTGAAAACAAAGGCCAAGTACAAACAAGAGCAGGGATCTGAAGGGTGACATGTCATTTTTGGGTACAGTCGTAGATGGCAGGGTTATCTCAACCCAACCGCTATAGTGTAGAGTCATGCCGCATGGAATGAGGGAAGGTCGGATAATTGATACTACTGTAGGCCTACTAAGAGACCCAAACCTCCAGATCTTACAGGGTTTGTTTAGGATTGATTGGACACACACCTGTTTGACAACTTGCAGTACGTTGGCAGGAGGAGTCTGAGTGCCAGGCTTGAGGCCGATGCCAGGCTGGTGTTGAGGTGAAGGTGCCGGCAGAGCTGGCATCACCACTGTCTGCTGAGCGCCTGGACTGACTGCACTCGACCCCATCACAGACCTGGTGTGTGTAGACAATAAGTAAGGCCAATGTCGACACCAAGTACTCTTGCAATCTCAATATTGCAAACCAGTCTGTTTCAGTTTTATATTGGTTTGCTAATAATAAAAAGAGCTTGCTTATATACTCTATACATTAGAACAGGCTGAGAAAAAACCCATTTCTATTGTAGACGTCTTGTCCTGGAACATTTTTACTAGTTCTACATTATTCGTGCAGCACTTATAGGGTCAGTAATTTTCAACATCTACAATATTTATTCTTTGGTTGCCAAACAAACTACAGTAGAGTCCCGTTAGTCCAAAATGGTTGGGACCGGACCCATTTTGGATTACCCAATATTTAGGATTAAACTTTTTTTTTATTTTTAAAAATAAAAAATAAAAAATTTGTCTTAGGACAAATTTACACAAGTAATACAATAGCTATTTACATTACAAGTGTAGTAAGAGCGTTTTTACATCACGCAAGTGAATGTTGTGCAACGAGCGGAAGCGAGTTGCATAATTCACCTAAGTGATGTAAACACGCTCTTGCGTAACGTGTAACGTACAAGATTTTACCTGACCCGACAATATACATGGGTTTATGTACAATATTTTCACTATTCATTTCACTCATCTTCTAACAGTAACGTTATTTTACAAACAAAAGCTAGGTTAGGAAAATACTTTAAAGCATAACAATAACATTCAAGCGCACAGCTGATTTCTAGCGTTGAACGTCGTTGGCTCCATAGAGGTATATTTTTTAAGTTAAGCACTCAATGTTATTTAAATGGGTTTCTTTACATCACTGAGTGAGTTTTTGATACTTTACATCACTCGAGAAGTAAGGAAGTTGTATACATCACGCTTGGGATAGGGAAGTTTAACATGGCGGGTTAGGTAAAAATTAAAAGGACCAATTTACTTTGAAACTATGACACACTGGAAGAGCAAGTGTAAATGGTTAAAGCAGCATTCCCATGACACTCATTACATACCCTCTAGTATTCATGACAGCCATTCGCCTACGCAGCAGCTGCGCTTGCTGCAATCTCGCCTGTAATTGTTGCTGCTTCATCTTGTACTTGATGTTCTGACAGAACGGCACCGGGCATTTGGTCTCCTGGACAAACAACAAATTTTATTAGTTCTTCTAATATTATACTAAACTGAACAAAGCAATCTAAGAAGTCAGTACAATTTGTACTTACTTACTCTTACTCTCAGGGCCATGCATATCTAAGAAGATATTTGGCCGCACCAACAAAGCCTCTCCATCTTGCTCTATCCTCTGCATCCTCCTCAGTTGCTCCATGTCTTTCTTTACTTGGCTCCACCATTTTTGTTTTGGCCTTCCTCTCGGTCGTCTTCCTTCGGGATTTCTTAGATTACTCTTTTCTTGCCCCCCTGCTATGTTTTTTCTAATTTATTTTAAACACACTGCATGTATTGTATACACAGTGCACCTGCTTTCAGTCTTTGCTTACCCATGTTTTTGATAAGCTTCAGTATTTTATTTTTAAGATGACTGTGATACTTTTTGCATGTACACTGCACTTGTTTATATTTTATTGTTTATATTTATTTAGCCTTATTGCCCGTAAACTTTAGGCTACTATTATGACGTTCATCCATTGCATGTGTTGTACATAGCGTTAACGATGAATAAAAATTCTTGATTCTTGATTCTTAGTAAAACTAATATTAACTTATTTTGCTCCTCTCTTCGTAAAACATGTCCAGCCCATCTAACTCTTCTACACTTAAATTCACACACCACATCTGGATCTCTGTAGAGTTCTCTCGGTTCTCTGTTGTGTCTCTTCCTCCATTCACCACCTTCATAAATTGGTCCATAGATTTTTCTTAAAATCTTATTTTCGAATGTGATTAACTTCTTTTCTTCTTTTTTATTTGGTTTCTATGTTTCAGCTCCGTATAATAATACTGGGCTGATTATTGTCTTATAAATTCTAACTTTGGTGTTTTTTGACAGTAACTTAGAGGACATCAGTACAATTTGTACCAGCATTATTCTTTTAGCTTTATCCATATTTCACATTCGATTAAGCTGAGTTGACATCATTTTGATAGGCCCAATTTGCTTATGTAATTCCCTCTTTTTCCTAATAGCTATTATAATGGCTTTTGTTAGCCAGCTGTTTGTTTTATCTCCTTGCTCTTTGTCTTTACCAAGGGAAATGCCAATTCAAAATTATACATAAGAAAATTTTTATAAGCAGTGTTAGGATCAAAGATTTTAGCACAGTATAATGGTTCACAATTTGCGTTACTAATTGAATCTTGAAATTTTAACATGTTTCATGTTTTCTTTTTTAAAACATCACTTTTTGGTCTCAGTTTTGTTTTTATTTACTCTATAAATTATATATGTTGATAAAATCTGATAAGTGTGGTCAAAGATTTCAGTATCTACAACTAAAGTTTGAAAACTGTCTAAAGCTACATTAATAAACACATTATCAATACAGGTTTTAGAAACACAAGTAATCCTAGGAGGTTGTAAAATAGTGACTAACAGGTAAGATTCTATCAGGAATTTGAAATGCACTGTGTGTGGTCCTTTTTTGAACAGATAAAAAAAATCTCCAGATAAAAATATACTGTACTTAGAATTTTTTTGTAACAATATGAGAATGCAAGGAATTAAGAATACTAAGGAATTTCTTTAAAGTAGTTGTATCATTGTGTGGTGGTCTGTACATACATACTATCTAGGTTTAGCAAGTGAGGCTTCAACTGCACAACACTCCAAAACCTAATTTTGCATAGGCCTATGTCATGTTTTTCTGTGACTTCGGTTGTACTGTAAGACAGTATGCAGACACCGCCTTATGTTTGATTTTCTCTGATAAATTTAGGAGAAAGCTTGCTAATGTTTCCATAATAAATGCATTGGGATTGTGATTATTTAACCAGTGCTCAGAAATTCAAACAAATATTGGTTTGATTTGCATTGATTGAAATAAAAAAATTTTATTATCCGATTAAAAAAAATAATTTTAAGGAAGAAACTGTGTTATAGCTTGATATCAGTTTACTTACTTGACAATACTTGGCGTGGTAGCAACAGAGTGCAATGAGCTGTTTGCAGATAGGACAGTCTCCGTTGGCCTTGCGTTTGCAGATCTTGGTGTGCTGCACCACCCGCTTCATCTTCTGACAGCTGGGCAGACGACAGTTGGCGTCCCGACACTGACATGCATGCACCAGTGACTGGATACACCTCTGTATGGACAACTTCCGCGCCTCCTATCAACCAACACAGTTTGTTTAAGACTGAGCTGATCTTTAAAAAAGAGGGTAGTGGGTTCTTTAAATCTAGCATTTGCCTGTTGTCATGAAAGTGTAGAACGTATTAAATAAAGCAAAGGGTGTGCCAGTACAGTACAAGACTGGACTGTACTGATATATTTAAGTGGCCAGGCACTTGCCTTAGTTTTGTGGTCAGACTTTACTGACTCACCCACCTCGTTTGGAATACCTTGAATAGAACACAATCAATTGAGCCAATCTCAATTGATAAATCTTTGTTATTCTATTTTAAAGATACATTTCTTAGAAGAATCTCAGGATGACATTTATTTATTTACTTATTTTAACGTGATGACATTTACCTGTGGGTTTGCTTGTTTCTGGTCTGCAGGTGATGATCCGTCGTCCAGATCCAAGCCCAACTTTTCCATCTTGTGAGGATGTCCATCCTTGCCGTAACATGTTATACACAAATCAAAGTCCTGCAACAAATTAAGCGAGTTAACAAAGATACTTGGAATATTTTACAATTCTAATGTTATGTAGAAAAAAGACATTCAAACTTAGTCTTACAGAAACTTTTTCTACCAAGGTGGATTTCCTACTAGCCAATTATAAATTAAGCATGTGTCTAATAAAAATCTCAAATTTCCCCAAAAAAAAAAAAAAAAAAAAACGGTATCAGCAATTTGACACATACTTTCTTCCATAAGTGTGTCAACAACCTTTATCATGGGTAAGCGGTGGGAGTAAGAAACTATGATATCTTATAGGGGAAAATCACATTAGTTGCAATAACTTTTGAACCGTAATTGTTACAGCAATGGGGAGTGGCACTATTTTGTTTAGAATTATAAGGACCATAACACATTAATTGATAATCAAAACCAGCTTTTTCCTAAAATCCTATCTTTTGTTATTTTATGGGGTTTTATGGTAAAATAACATAAGTTATAATAACTTTGGAACCGTAATTGTTACGGAAATGGGATTTGTACCATTTTGTTCCAAATTTAATGGACTAAGTTATAACATACTAAATTTTTATCAAAATCGTTTGGGCCATTTTCGAGAAAAACAGATTTTTCTGTTATTTTTTATGGGGTTTTATGGGGAAATCACCATTAAAAAATCTAAATTTCAACAAAATGCCTGCAGATACCATGGGTTAGTACCGACATACCAAATTTCTTCAAAATCGGACTACAGGTATAGTCTGTAGCTCTGTACACATTCACACATCCACACACACACACACACACACACAGACATCACTTCGTATTAAAAACCACTTTTTGGGTTTAGGGAGACCCAAAACGGATATATCCACTCAAACTAAAAAATTTTGATGAAAACAATACTTTCTCCATATACTATGTATAAGGGGAGAAAGTAAAAAGCCAATTTAAATGTGAGATTTTACCACTGAAATAAGACAATTTCAAAGGGCAAGACAATATGGATTGGTAATTTCCATTTATAGCTCTGTTTGAATCTACTCATTCTCGCCCCTACTAATTGAAGTGCATTTCAGATCTCGTTTTAGCATTTGCTTGTCTTGACTTTTCCAAAATTCAGCATCTCCCACCTTCAATCATCCTAATCCTTACTTATAGAGTACAAGGACTTAAAAACATCTCTATTTCCACCTCAAACATTCTTTTGGGGAAAAACTGTCACCACTGATGAAATATTCTAACTTTTGTGTATGATGTAATTAATCATAACTATCCCCAATTATTTATTTTATATAACATCTCAGACTATTAATTATTAATCATTTTTCACCAGAAAGCTGTAAAAAAAACCCAATAAACATACATCACAGATAGTGCAGTGGTAACGGGTCTCAACGTGTAGCTTGCAATTGTTGCATGTGTAGACAAAGCGGTCTTGACCCTGGTTGTGTAACTCATAAAGCATCGCCATTGACGAGTATTTCGCCCTTCGTAATGAGGAGAACTCGTAATGCCTCTCTCGCGCCATAGTGAGAAAAGCATCACGCCCGTCCATCAGATCACAATTGATGAATGGGTCAGGGTCTTGGATTGGCTGAAAAATAATGCACGTTTCAATTTTATTGAAATGATCTGTTGTATGTTTTAAATATAACGATCATATAAATATTGTCTATTATCTATATACCTGATTTCATATTCTATTGACTACCGTACTTAATTGAATAGAACTTCAGTGAAGCCATTTGACTAGTTTATTGAGACTAGAATGACTAAAATTTTAGAGACCATGAGTTGTATACAAGTTGCAAAAGTACATAAATTTATAAAATACTATTTCACCTTTTCAATCGATGATTCTAATTATGGGAAATTAAAAATTAAATCAACCGTTCTTAATTATTTTAAATGTGTCGTTCTGATTAAATCTGAGACTGCATTGTTTAGTAGAGACTTGTTTGTGATAATGTATCACAAACAAAACAACTACAAGATTGAACGGTTAACTAGTAGTGTCGGTTCCAAAAGACAGTTCTTGGTTCCAACTTTTCACCTCAGGAAATAACCAGGACCGAGAACCTTTTTTTGAGAGAGTGTTTGTCCGACAGTTCCATCAACTACTTTGTATTTTTTAGTTCTTAAAAAGATTGGTTGTATATTGTTATTTTAATGTTAATTACCACCCTCTAATACAATGATAAAATATATAACTAAAAATTGCTGTTGTTATCAATAAGTGATGATAAATAACATAGACTAGTGTACATGTTGCTCGAATTCGAGCAATTCCGAAGCATTACAGACATTGTTTCAAAAAGAATAACAGTGATTCTTCTACTTGGTGGTGTTCCATGACTTTCCTATATTTTTAAAGTTTGCAAATTGGCTCTTTCAATGATTGCTTAAGAAATGCAGCACAATGTAAATTCAATTTTCTTTTTAGTATATCAAATTGTCCAGGCTTTCTCGCTTTTTCCATTGCAATATTTACACCAACCCAAATTCAAATAGTAAATATTTCATTTCAACCAAGTCAGTAAATGTTTGTAGCTTACGTTTCCTTAAATTGCAATTAAAATATTAACAGCAATTAAATTATCTAGCTGATCATAATGTAAACAAATATGTTCTTCATAAGGATAACGTGGTCCAGGTACCAAGAACCCTTTTCAGATAAGAACCGAAGTGTTAAAACATGGAACCAACACATCACTAGATTTAACATATAATCATTACCTGTAAACTGGCTGCAGACTGTGCTGAATGAAGCCTTATAACAAAAAATACTTCTTTGTGCTTCTCCATTGTGGCAAAGATTTTTGCAGACAAATCATTTCCAGTCTGAGGCGTATTTGATTTTTTGCTATTGCTTTTCCTTTGGTTCGCTTTAGACTTGTTTGACTTCTTGGCTTTTTTCTGTCCTTTCTTTTTACCATCCGCTCCAACTTCACTGTCCTCTGATATTGACAAGTACTGCAAAAGAACAACGTCATGTTTTAGCAGGTTTAAACAGAGTTTTCACAATGTTTCTTACCTGCATACTATCATTCTGCTACTAATCCGAGGTAGTTTAGGGCCTGAATATAAATCGGCCGGAATACAATATTTACATTATGAACGTTTGATTATTAAAAATAACACCGTACTTTTGAAATAATTAATAGGAAGGTATTATTTTAACACTGGTCTGCAATAACCCAAAAAAAGGTCTAGAAATTTTGAGAAATTTTAAACCTTGTCCTTCGAGACGAGATTTTATTTAAATCAAGATTTTTTTTGAGACAAGGAAAAAAAAATGGTTAAAAACGCCTGCAGAAAGTCAATGCAATACACACAATACAGGAGCGCGTTGTTGCGTTCCCTTTGAGCGTTCTTTTAATTAGTTCTTAACATGTGAATATTGGCTTTAATTGTTTTATAATTTGTTGTTTTGACATCTTTAATGATGAGAGGTTTTGTTAAGGTGTACGCAGTGTGAGACATGTTTTACTACTGTAAACATAGACAAAACAAGTCCAACTTCTCACGAAGTCATCTTTGGGCGTCCAGGGGATGTCAAATCACTTCATCAGAAGGTCGTCAATACACACATTATACGTTCATACACGAACATGGTCACGGATACGAACACGAACACAAACATTGAAACGAAAAAGTACAATTTAACGAGTGAAAAGCTAAAAAATGGTAACACCAGTGAGAATGATGCGTCACAACCGGATGGATGTAGGGTCTAGACTCATACCATGTTCGTGTATGAATGTATAATGTGTGTATTGACGACCTTCTGATGAAGTGATTTGACATCCCCTGGACGCCCGAAGATGACTTCGTGAGAAGTTGAAACTAGTTGAGTCATAGCAACAACATTTTGGATTACAAGAAGCAGGTATTTACACCAAAAGATTCACACATTCATGCCTATTATTATTTTTTTATTCAACCAGTTATCTGTCATAAATCAGTAGGTATTTAATTTAACAATGTAACAAAATCAGGTTAAAATGTCAAACATGCATTTCCCATTATGTATGAGAAGCAGGGCTGTGCGAATAGTTCGAAAAACGAATCGAATCCGAATCTTTTTAGAGATTTGATTCGGATTCGAGAACGAATCTACTGTTTCTAACTGGATTCGGATTCGGAATCAATATTCGAATTTACTGGTAAGAGATCCGGGTTTGGATTCGATATTCGAATTTCTTGGAAATAGATCCGAGTTGGGATTCGATATTCAAATTTACTAGATTCTAATTGAATATAATTTTCAATATAATTTTTTAGACACTAAAAAACTACTTGTGCACTCCGATTTGCTGTTGACTGGTTCATGTTAGGAACCTGACCATCTTGGTGTTAGGCTTTAGGCACATTAGTGTAGGTCGCATTTGAACCCTATCTTGGCTATCAGTAAACTTCACCTCACAGTGTTAGTTGTTACTTGTAATAGTAATGCAGACATAGGCTTGTGTGGAGGATTAACACCGAGGTGTATAATAGGCTGGGCCTATGTTTTAGACTACACAAATTGGTAGACCATCACTTTTAGCGAGAAACTTAGGCCTAGGTGGTATGCCTAACTTATGCCCAATTTTTTAGTTTCAAAACTTCAAATAGGTAGGCCTAAATTTCATAACTTTTTTATTTGACCCATTTCAAGAATTTTTTTAAGCAATTCCCTAAGTTATTTCAGCCCCAGAAAATGTGGTCTAAAAATGTGAAAATTGGTACTGCTGACTTTCCTCGGATTTGGATTCGACTCTGAACAGGTTTAAATATTCGGATTCGATAACAGCTTTAAATTTCAGATTCGGATTCGATCCAGGTTCGATAATGGCTGTAAATTTGAGATTCGGATTCGACCCAGATTCGACTCGGGATTAATTAAAATATTCGGATTCGATCCGGATTCGATAAAATCTGTTCAGCTATGATTCGGATTCGGATCAAAATTTCTGGATTCGCACAGCCCTGATGAGAAGGGAAATCCCGTCTAAAAATTTTATGAGAAATAAAAAATCCTGTCTCGTCTTGAACTATAAATCCAATCTCGTCCATCCCTAAGCATTAGAATGTCACTCATATTTACTCACAGCATTGGCTGCGGCCTCAGCTGCCTCAGCTTGTTTCCTCTTCTCTTCCTCCTCCTGGTCTAACTCCTTGATGCTCTCCTCCAGGACATTAGGCCAGAAGTCACCCTCAAAGTAAGGCAGTTCAGCTGCACTACTCAACTTGTCTTCCATTGCTTGCTTTAGAATATCCTGCAATAAAAAAAAACATAAGCACACTAGCAGTTGCCCGTCGGCTTTGCCTGACATAATTTTTTTTTGTGTTAATACTTTGAACACGCTCAGGTTGTGACTTTGAATCATAATAATAATAGGTTAAATACCTTGTATACGTCCTCAATCCAAGTCGTCTTTTATAATGACTATAGTTTCGGGGCCAACAGCCCCATTGTCAAATTTTCTGTCTTGTTAATTACTGTTTACAGCATTGGTCACCGTTGAAGTACACATATACACATACACTGACACACGAAACATTTATATTTACACGTAACATTGAAAAATTATACTTTTTGGCCGGCCTAAACAAAAGTGATTACATCATTGTGCGGACCGGTACACTGACTGACAGTCCCATATTGCTTATGGCATTGAAATTTATGGTGGAACAAATAAATCTAACTTAAATGAAATTTTACATTTACAAAAAGAGGCCATAATAAGGTGCATCCTTAATTTAAATGAAAATGAATCATGTAAAAATCGTTTCAAAGAATTAGAATTCTTTACAGTTTACAGCCTCTACATATATAAGACTATATTATATGTTAAAAGCCGGGAGTCGCAACTGCAAAGACAGCAAGATGTACATACTTACAATACTAGACACAAACAAAATTTTATAATTAAAAAGCATAAAAAAGAAAAATTTAAAGAAAGCCCTGATTATATTGGGGTTACATTTTTTCATTCCCTCCCTTGTAGCATCAGAAATGAGGAAAACGGAAATAAGTTCAAAAAAAAGCTTAAGAATTTTCTAATTAGTGGAGAGTTTTATAATTTTGAAGAATTTACTGCACTATGTTCAAATATGTAAATAAACATGTAAATATGTAAAAAAAAAAAAATAAAAGATAAAATGGATCAGGAAAATGGTTTTTAGTATTAGTTATAGTTTAAGATTGAGACGCATTCATGTACACATTGTTGTATGTCTGAATAAAGATTTATTTGACTTGACTTGACTTGACTATTTAACCTATTAATATTATTATTATTCAATCCAGGAGGCAAACATGGATAAACTTTGAATCAATTTTCTGTAAAGTAACAGCTGTTAAGGATTAAATCCATTTGTATGTATCCTAATGGCCTAAGCTAATTAAACATAGGGTCTACTGAAGTCAAACTAAGGGAGAACTTCTTCATTTATAAAATTAACGTTATTTTACCAGGAGCTTCTAACTACTCTCTCTGGAACAACCTAAATAATGTTTTTACCAGAAATTTCTGAATTGTAACTTTTAACAAAAACAATCAACGTTTTACAACAGTTTGGCTAATAATTACAGGTAATACTAAAATAAAGTTTCATAATATAAAATTTGCAATGTTTTGTTTTGGTTACAGGTTTTATTTGGTACATAGGCCTAATTCAGAAGAAATAGCGTGAACAATTTCTCCTTAAATGTAATGAAGTGCTTACTTTAATCACTTGTACAGTGTTATCCAAGCGCTTTTTTATCGATTTATGTATTTTATTATGTAAAATTGTAATGAAATAGAAGGTTTGATAATCGTGGTTTGAATGGCAAATGCCTTGTTTTGAGGCGTAAACATGAGGAAAAAGTAATTGTTCAAAGTTTTGACTTAAAACAGATTTTACTCAAAACCCGTTTGAGGTACTTAAGAACGTTAAATAAAAAAATTGTAGATATTTAATTCCACACTAACGATTATTCATCAGATTTAAGATCCAAACATTGGTTCAGCTTATACAGACCAAAATATAAAGAAATAGTAGAATTTCACCAGAAATCACTTTACCCCCCCCCCCCCAAACGCACCTTAAATTTTGAATTTTGTAAAACCCTGCCATATTGCACATCTACACCATACAGGGTCCTCCTATACCAAATTTGATAAATCTAGGTTGTACGTTTTGAGATATAGTGGTCATCTGTCAGTGAGTGGTATTTACCATTTATTATATTTTATAATAAGCACTTCATATGGCAAGAGTCAACATTATTACCAAAAAAAAAAAAAAGATTGGGTTAAAAATAAAATTATGGTTAAAACACACAATCAAATTATCTGAGTGCCATGCCAGTATTGTTTATAATTAATTTGCCAAAAAATGTGTCTTTATGCAACATCATGTAAGCAATAGCTGTGAAAATTTGGAGTTACAATTTTGTTTAGATTTGGATCAGGTAGAGATGGATTAAATTAAATTTAGCTAAGATAAAAGACAATGGCTCATTCAATAATTATTATGTTCTTTTGTAATACAAAATTCTTTTTTTGTGTTACATCTGGATCATAAAGATCCATAGATGGGTTGTTTGCTTAAGTATACAAAAATGAAAGGCAAAACAGGTTATATGTAACGATAATTTTTTGTATTAATTTACAAATTAAATACTATTTAAATACTGTAAATACAACCAAGCCATTCAACACAAGATCATATTTCATTTGAAAACGGGATTGTTTTATACCAGATAAGAAATCGATAGATCATTGCTTACCTTATAATCTAAAACTATCCTCTCGATAATTCCCTTGTCCAGCATCTTCTTGTACCATTCTTGTAATCGCTTTGGCTTTGGTATTTTTTGCTCCTGGGGATGGCAGTGGAAAATGTAGTCGTCACCTTCTGAAGGTGGACAAGCCCAGATGTGTGCCATCGTGTATCTGTTTGGCACATATTTACAGGTTAGTACTAGGGATGGAAGGGTCCCGAAATTTCGGGAATTTTTCGGGGAAAAAATATTCCCGATTATCGGGACGGGATTACATTTGACTCGGGAATTTTTCGGGACGGGATTTGGTCCGATCGTCGGCGATTTTTCCGCTTCGCGAGTGCCGATAACGCCGTTATTGCGAGCGATAGGTCCGCGAACGCAAGAGACGAAGTCGTTTCGACGATAACGCCGTGACCGCGAGTCATAACGACGATCGGGCTGTGACCGCGGAGTCATACCGACAGTCACGCCGTGACCGCGGAGTCATAACGACGATCACGCCGTGACCGCGAGTCATACCGACGATCGCGCCGTGACCGTGGAGTCCTACCGACGATCGCGCCTTGACCGCGAGTCATACCGACGATCACGCCGTGACCACGAGTCATACCGACGATCGCGCCGTGACCGTGGAGTCCTACCGACGATCGCGCCATGATCGCGAGTCATACCGACGAAAACCCCGTGACCGCGGAGTCATACCGACGATCTCGCCGTGACCGCGAGTCATACCGACGATCGCGCCGTGACCGCGAGTCATGACGACGATCGCGCCGTGACCGTGAGTCATACAGACGATCACCCCGTGACCCGCGAGTCACAAGTTTCTATAGGTACCTGTAAATTGTTACCCATTTTTTGGTTTTTATAGATCAGTGCCACAAATGGTAAAAATTGATTTTGTATGTCTTTTTTGGTAACTGCAATACAGTAGAGTTCGTGCGTTTCCTGGTGAAGCCTGGAGGGTGGGTGGTTAGTGAAGTGAAAGGTAAAACTCACACCACAGTTAAACATAGATACTTTATTAGCCAAGATCCCAAAAGTAAGTCTTCAAGCTCAAAACAACAATACAATAAAAACAAACATCAAATATGCAACATATGATAGCAATTATAAAAATACCAAACAGCACATCTTCTCTTTTCTCTTTTTTTTTAGTTTATTTGTAAAAATCTGAATCACTGTATCTAAGAGGTGGTTTTACACTTCTTTTAGGTCTGTCATTTTCATTGCTATTGTAATTATGTCCAGCATCAGTTTCAGTTCCTTGGTCTTCTTGGTATTGGTGTTCAAATCTATTTCCACCATTTTCAATAGGCCTATGCACAGCTATTATATGTCTCCTGTTCCTTCTGATCTTCCCTGCCTGTGTATTTATCAGGTAGGACCGAGGATGATTTGATTTATTCTCAACATGTCCATAACGTTTTAAATCTGGAATCCAAACTTTGTCATTTTGATCAAGCTGTGAGAGATCTCTTACACCTTTCCTTACATCGTAGTTTCTCTTATTTCTTTCCTTGATTGAAAAATCCTTCCCTTTAAACTTTTGCAATCTTTCCCTTGTTACCTGTCTGAAGTTATTTATTGACGGTAATGTTGATCGGAGCTTCCGTGAATAAAGTAACTCTGCAGGTGAAAGACCAGACTCTAAGGGTGTATTTCTATATTCTAACAATCCAAGATTTGGATCACTACATTTCGTTAGAATCCGCTTCGCTATGTCAACTGCTTTTTCTGCTTCTCCGTTTGATTGTGGATACCTTGGGCTTGATGTCACTATACGGAAACCATATTCTTCAGCAAAATTTTTAAAAATCCTGAGAAGTAAATTGCGGACCTCCATCAGCTCTTACCACATATTATGGTACTCCATGTCGAGCAAATATATTTTTCAATCTAGCAACCAAAGCTCCAGTAGTCAATGCATCCACATAAACCAGTTCAAGAAATCTAGAATAGTAATCTTGCACAACTAAATACCATTTTGCATTACATTTCAAAAGATCAATACCTAAAGACTCCCAGGGATTTTTTGGTAGTTCAGTCAACAGTAATGGTTCTGATTTGTTACTTCTTTGCTCCAAGCAAACTGGACAATTTGTTACAAGTGTAGCAATATCTGTTGAGCAGCCAGGCCACCACACCGATTCATACACTCGCCTTCGACATTTGACAATTCCCATGTGACCTTCATGTATTTTACTCAGTATTTCCTTTCTCAACGATTTTGGAATAAACAGTCTTGTGCCTAAAAGGAGGAATCCTTTACTGATGTTTAGATCAGTCCTGTACTTCCAATACACCGAATTTTTATTCCAATTGTTATTCACAATCCAGGATTTAATTCTTCCGCATTCCTCATCAGTATCCTGAGCTTCTTTGATTTCCTTGAGCCTTTTGTCAGAACAAGGAATAGCATCTAAAATACTCTGAACAAACAAATCTTGTTCCAATATGTCTTCATGTTCTTCATTTGACTTAATGGGGTTCCTAGACAAAACATCTGGTACATAAAATTCCTTTCCTTTCACATATGTTACTTTATATCTAAAACAAGCCATTCTCATTCTTAACCGCTGAAGTCTTGCCGATAAACTAGCGATTTGTTTACTTCCAAGCACCTGAACTAAAGGTTTATGGTCAGTCATAAGTTCAAACTCGGTTCCTAAAACATACTGTGAAAATCTCTCACATGCCCAAGTCAGTGCCAGTGCCTCCTTTTCTATCTGAGAATAACGCATCTCTGTCGGTGATAAAGATCTCGATGCATAGGTGATTGGTTTCCACTTTCCATCGACAAATTGTTCAATCACCCCTCCTAGGCCAAATGACGAGGCATCAGCTGCAACTCTGGTTTTACGATTTTTGTTGTAAGACACCAGAACTGGATTTGAAGAAATTAGGGATTTAATTTTATCCCAAGCACTCTTTTGAACGTCAGACCAAACCCACTGATAACCTTTCTTAAGTAAAATTCGCAATGGAGCTGTAACTTCAGCCAAGTTAGGAATAAACTTCATCAAATAATTAACCATGCCAATAAATTGCCGAAGCTCGTTAACATTATTTGGGGTTTGCATTTTCATAATGGCCTCCACTTTCTCAGGATCAGGCTTTATCAATCCATTTTCAATCAAATGTCCTAGAAATTTAACTCTGTTCACATTAATGTTACATTTATCTTTATTAAGTGTAACATTGTGTTCTCTCAATCTTTGTAATACATTTGCTAGTCGATGGTCATGTTCTTCCTGTGTTCTACCGACCACAAGTATATCATCTGCTTGGTTTACTACCCCATCCAGTCCATCCAAAACTTGGTATATCCTCTTCTGGTAAACCTCTGGGCCAGAATTAATACCGAATGGTAACCTCTTGAAAAAGAATCGCCCAAAAGGAGTTATAAAAGTCGTAAGCTTGTAACTTTCATGATGTAAGGGAACTTGAAGAAATCCATTTGTAGCGTCTAGTAATGAAAATATTTGTCCGCCTTCTAATTTACTTAGACTTTCTTCTACAGTTGGTAGTTGCCACCTTTCTCTCTGAATGCTTTTGTTGAGTTCGGTATAATCAACACATAGCCTCACTCTATCACCTGTCTTACGCGGTACAACAACAATTGGTGCACACCAGTCTGTTGGTTCTACCACTGGCTCAATTATTCCCTCAGAATGCAGTCGATCCAATTCTTCTTTGACTTTGCTCAATAATGGAGCGGACACTCTACGAGGGGCTGCCACAGCAAAGGGACGAGCATTTTGTGTTAGTGCAATTCTGTAGTTTTCCCCTTTCATTTCACCAATAGAACCAAAAACATCAGAAAACTGAGAAAATATTTGGTTAGAGAAAATCGAATCTATGTTGAACTGAATTAGGTTTAATTTCAACATTGCATTTCTACTTAAAAGTGGAGTAGGTTGTTGCTCAATGACGTAAATATCTTCTACAATAGATTTATTTCTAAAAACCAAAGTAGCAACGATCTTACCAACCACTTTCAACCTAGTTTTCCCCGGACCAAATAATATTTTACTTGTTTCACTCGTTTCCAGTTTTAATTCCTTGCAAAGATCATATCCAATTATAGAAACATCTGCTCCAGTGTCTAACTTAAAATAAATATCATGCCCCTTGACATTAAGTTTTACTTTACAAGGATTTTGTCCTCCAACCTCTTCTATGGTCAATTCCCCTAAATAGGTTTTAGGTTTTTCTAATGGTTCATTACTTTTATTAATTTCTCTCACTTCAAATCCTTTGGTACAACATCTCACATAGTGTCCCTTTATTCCACATCTGAAACATGTAGACTGATTGGCAGGACAATCATTGCTATTGTGATGACCAACAAATCCACATTTGTTACATTTACCTTTCTTTGAAAATCTTTGATCTTGACTTTTATTGCAAGAACTGTCCCTAAACCGATGTTTAGTGGATTGATTAATCCCCTTATTGACAAACTCAATTTCTGGTGATTCCCTCACTACTTTTTGTTGTTGTTTTAAACTCTCTGCTTGTCTTGCTTTCAAAATTGCTGTACTTAAAGTTAATTTTTCATCCAACTGTAAATTTTGAGAAAGTTTATCATCATTTACCCCAATTACTATCAAGTCTCTAATTAGTTCATCTTTTAATTCCCCAAGTTTACATCGCTCTGCCAGTTTGTGTAAACTATTTATAAAAGAATCAACAGGTTCCCCCTCAGACTGACGTCTTTTTAGAAATTTAGCTCTCTCATATACAATATTGATTTTGAAACCTAAGTAAGACTCAAATCTACCCTTGACAGTGTCATAACTCTGTAATTCTTCATCTTTTAATCCGAAAGATGTTAGAAGGTCTTCTCCTTCATCTCCTAGACAGTATAAAAGCATATTAACCTGATTTTCCCCGCTCTTACTGTCTAATCCTGAAGCTAATCTAAACCTTTCAAATTTTCTTATCCATCTAGGCCATTCAGAAGGTTCCCTGAAATTGAAAGGTTCAGGTGTGACAAGTTGGTATTGAACTGTACTAATTGTACTACTCACTCATTTGTCATTTGTCATTTGCTTCAGCCATGCTTAGTTCTTTCTTCTCCACAAAAGTTTATTTAACCTGACACCATGAAGTGAAAGGTAAAACTCACACCACAGTTAAACATAGATACTTTATTAGCCAAGATCCCAAAAGTAAGTCTTCAAGCTCAAAACAACAATACAATAAAAACAAACATCAAATATGCAACATATGATAGCAATTATAAAAATACCAAACAGCACAGTTAGAGTGGCTCTAAACCGGTTTTGTATGGGCTTCAACCCTACCCCCAGGCTTCATCCCTACCCCCAGGCTTCATCAGGAAACGCACAAACTCTACTTTCTTTTTATGAACAGAAAAAAATCCCGTCCCGTCCCGTCCCGAAAATCGAGAAGGAAATAAAAATCCCGTCCCGTCCCGTCCCGAACTAAAAATTCAATCTCGTCCATCCCTAGTTAGTACACAAATAAAACTAGAATACCAAGTAATCACATTCCATTGCATATATTGTGTTTTTAGGGTACAAACTGTTAAGTACTCAGTGTAATTTCCTGTTCTACTGTAAGAGTGGAATGAGTAGAATTAGCAGCAGTTGTATGACTAAATGCTTTTTTGTCAGTTGAACTTGAAATGCTCCCCAAAGCTGTATATTGTGTTTAGTGTTAGTGTATAAAGTTCATAGGCCAACTTCATTTTGTAACATTTTTTTAATAAACTCCTTTTGCACATTGGACATAAAGTTTTAAGTAGACCTCAATTTGATATCAACAGGGAAAAAGAGTACTGTGACCTTTAATTTGAGACCAAGACAGGAGAGGGTGGCCTAAAACTTTGACAACACATTTCAACTTGTAATTCTTGTAATCCAGAAAAAAGAGCAAAGAAAAACGAAATAACTAGCCTACCCAAGTTGTTTGACATAGTCCAGATAGCCGAGTAAGATCTCATGGTAAACAGCAGTCCTGAACTGCCTCGGCCTGAAGAAGTGAACTGAGTCCAGGTATGCGATGTACACCCGCCTCGTGTTGGGGTTGGGACACTCGGAGCCATATTCCTGCACGTGCATGCCAAAGAAACAAACGTCTGTGCCGTCGATGTCTTCAAAGGCAAACAAAGCTTTCGCCCTGTATGGGAACTGTTCTGGCAGATCACCGTTTTCCACAAACCTAAAAAGATCACACAGAATTAGTAACCCTATAATGTAATTGCTAAGAAATATGTGAAAAAGAATAAATTGTATTGGACACACAAACACCTGCCACAAAACTCTTTTTTTCTAGAGTATACTGTAACATATCTCTATATGTTTCTCTAAGACCACAAACTCTAATGTTATTATAAAATGAAATTAATCACCTTGCATAATGTAGGCCTACGGCATTTGATTGGTCACAAAGTCAGTTACGTAGGTATTTGAACTTCAGATTGGATTTTGAGTCTGTTAGATAGGTACTCAACAAAAGAGGTTTAGACTATTAACTCTACTGTTACAGGGTGCATACTAATTTTTAAAAGTAAAACTCCAGGTTTTTTCTAGGATTTTCCTGGCTTTTAAAAGTTTTTCCAGGTTCCCCCGTGAATGATTCCAACGTGAACATTATATTAATTTCCGCGTAAATGTTTTGTTCCACTTAAACTATAACCAATTTATGACTTGCAGCTTAAGTATCCATCAATATACATAACATTTGTATATTACTAATTGTCCCATTTAAGTGAGCTAGAGTTGAAAAAATTATAATAAGCCTTATTATAGTAATCATTTTCATTATCATCATTACTAAGGCCACGAAAACAATGTTTCTCTCGATAGCAGCATATTCCATTCAATTCAAACAATTTTACTCATCCAAATCTTAAATTAATTACAAAATCCCAAGTGCCATGCACGCGCGGGATGAAAAACATACATTTTTATTAATACTGACTAAAACAATTTATTTTCTTGTTGCTGGCAGCAAACAGTTCATGTTTCCTTCTTTATCACTTTTACAGAACAGTGCGTAGACATTTTCTCTTGCAACAGTTTTAATTATATAAATACCACTTATGTTAAAAATAAATAAATTAGAATAAATTTAATAAAAACAAGCATTTTTTGAATTACAATACATTCTACATGCAAATCCTGCATAATACTTAATATTATTTCTATTGTTGACAAAAAGATTATATAATCAGCAGCAAAATTCTGAATATCTTCCACAGTCGTGTGACGGAAACCTCTTCCCCGATCGCGTGAAAATTATAAAAATCTTCCGTGGCCGTGTAGACGTCATCGTCATCTCCCGCGGTCACGGAAACGTCATCATCTGCAGTCGCGGCAAAATTATGAAAATCTTCTGGGGCCGTGTAGATATTATCATTGAATCCCAGCGGTCATGGAAACGTCACTATTCATTGTCATCGGCAATTGCGGCAAAATCGTGAATATTTCCTGTGGCCGTGTAGACGTCATCGTCATCTACCGCAGTCACGGAAACGTAATCGTCTGCAGTCCCGGCAAAATCACGAAAATCTTCCGCGGCTGTGTAAATATCATCATTGAATCCCGCGGTCATGGAAATGTCATCGTCGTCTCCCACGTTTACGGAAACGTCACCCTGGCAAAACCATTAACATTACCCGCGGCCGTGTACACGTCATTATCGTCTTTCGCAGTCACGGAAACGTGTTCGTCGTCTTCTGCGATCGTGGCAAAATCATGAAAATCTTCTGCGGCCGCGTGGACGTCATCTTTGTCTTCCGCGGTCACGGAAATGTCATCATATTCTATCACGTGAACTTCTCACATGCGTTACACGATTGCAATCTTCTTCTGGGGCTAAAATGTGAATCCCGGAATCGTTCCAAAAATCCCGGCTTTTCCCAGTTTTCCCCAGGTCCCTTCTAATTCAAGGTTTTTTCCCGGTTGGTAAAAACCTTGTGTTAATTAAATTGTAAAATGAATTGAATTGCTTTGCCTAATGAATGGATAGCCTCTGATTGTTTAGGTACTCACTTGTTCCTCATGCCGGGCTTCACCTCCACTATTTTGTCCGAGCTGGCAACCACCCTAATGGCCACTTCCCCAGCTCCTGCCTCTTTCTTCTTCAAGAAATTATTTACTCTTGTCTCTATATAAGTGCCCAATTTTGTCACTGGTAATCTTTTGGCGTTAAATTTGTTATCTTTTCGTTTTTGTGATTTCTTTTTAAGGCAATTTTCACAAGCAAACCTGAAAAAAAAACATTTGTTAATGAACATATATATCTCTTTAATTTACAACATGAGTATAAATAAAATAATACAACATAATTATTATTTAATGAGATATGATACAGGCAACAAAGAGTTAAGTGCTAGATAATAGATAGGCCTTTTACAAAAACAGAGATTTTTACTTTTTCAAATTAATGATGTTGAGATAAAATACAACAGTTCTCGAGATAAGCATGCATTTTTTGTACTTTAAAAATTATATTCATTGATAGTATCACACCAAAAAAACAAAATGGTACTTAGGTTTGCTGCTACTGGGAACATATTGAGGTGTGTTTTTTTATTGCAATGTTGATAGCTTCGTATTAAATAAAAATTGCCTGATTTGATTAAAATATATCCATAAACAACTAAGCAAACTACAACAGTTTATTTATTCCCCATAAGAAAAACATGGGAATTTGAAATTTATAATTTTGTAAATTATCTCTGTAACCACTGGGCATACAACAACGCTTCAATATACAAAATTATTTGTTTTTTTAAGCTGAACAAAATGGGTTGGGGAGAAATTATAAAATGTTTGTTTTAGGGTCAAAAATGGGAAAAATCAATTTTTAACCCATAAAACCCCTTTCCCAAAGTCCCAACCTAATAACCTGTGTAAATATCATCATTGAATCCCGTGTGTCACGGAAACGTCATAGTCGTCGTCCACCATCACGGCAAAATCATAAATATTTTCCCCGGCCGTGTAGACGTCATAGTCGGCTCCCACGTTCACGGAAACATCACATTAAACAATAAACAAATCCATAATGTTCTTAATGTTGAAATTTGGTACGAACTTGTAAACCTGCATTTATTTGAACGAGTTCGTGAACCAGCATGTTATGGGGTAAAAATTGGTTTTTCTCATTATGTAGAGCTTAAAAAAACTAATCATTTAGTGTATTGAAGCGTTATTATGCGCCTAATGGTTACGGAGAAAATATAAAAAATATTTAAATTTGAAATTCCCATGTAATTTTTATGGAGAATTAGTAAACTTTTGTTGTTTGATGTTTAAGAGTATATTTTGATCACATTTGGAAAATGCATTTATTTCATACTAAACTATAATTATTTTACAAAAAAAAAACCTCCCTGTTGCAGCAAAATTAAGAGTATTGGTTAAACTAATGCTATTTAAATAGAGAATAAATGGATATTGTTAAGGAGTCATTTTAGTGTAAATCCAATTCTAAGCAAATGGAAATTTGCTTAGTCTGCAGGTTTGCTGCGGCGGGGGTATTATTATATAGATGTGTTAAAAATATGTCTCAGATTTAAGAACCAAAAAAACTTACTGAAACTGTTGACATTTTAAGTCATTATTATTTGGTACTCAATAAATAGCGAAATAGCCATCAATGTCATAACAAGAAAACTTCTTTATTACAACTTGTATTTTATTCCTCTAAAATTGTATGACTTAGCTGAATTGAAATTTGCATTATGGTATTCTCAACACCTTTTTTTAAACAATTTTGAAACGTTTTATTTATTCATAAGAAGTTAAAAGAGAGTCACATATTCATGTTATTATGTCAGAGTCAGGAGTCCAATTTCTTTCAGTATTGATTACGTTATGAAAATGTTATTAAAAAACAGGCCTCCTGTATATTTTTGGAATAATAACCGGGCAAGTAAAAACACATTTAGGTTTTAGAATCCGGGTTCAATTTTTTTAGTTTTGGTTCCATGATTTAAAATTCCTGGTTTTGACCATCACTTAGGTTTATTATTACTGTATTACAGTACCATAAACTGATACAACTTACCCTTGTGGCCAGATAGCCTCCATGTGTAAACAGCAGATCTGGTGCACTTTGCGGCCACAGTCCGAACACTCCACAAACGGCTCCAGCTCCAAGTGATCGTTCTTCATCTCTTTGAACTGGTCCTTTTTGATTACACTATAACAACAAATTGTCAGACAAAATAATCACTAGGACCTAAAATTACTCTTTTTAGCATCGTTTTAACGACAAAAGTAATATAGAAGTTGGGAAATGAACAAAGTTTTGAACAAAAGATTTTAACCCATGTGATTAACTATATTTTTGACGAAAACTGTAAAAATATTAAAATATATTAAATAAAAATGTTATGAACAAATTTTAATTTAAAAATTTTAAAGAAAAAAAAACACCTGCTGAAAGTCAATGCAATACAGGAGCGTGTTGATGTTGCGTATTCTTTGCGAAGGCGTTTTTATTTAATTATTAATTCTTTACATGGAAATATTGCTTCAATCGTTATAGGATTTTTTTGACATAGCAAATGATGAGAAGTTTTGTAAATGTAGGCAGTGTGAGACATAGCCAAAATAAGTCACTCCAAAACCATTCTAAAAATAACACAAGACTTAAAAATTGTTACTTGATACTAAACTAGCAATACTGTTGTTTTAGACATATAAATTTGATATTTTTCAAAGTTGAACTATATATTAACTGATATCTCCAATCTCCATGTTTTCTATGCGGAAGAGTAATTTTTAATCAGTTAGGCCTTATTATTATTTTTTTATACAGGTGTTTTTATTAATGTTTTTAATAAAAGATTTTAAAAGATTTTTTAAGTATATTTCTGTCTATTATTATTAGTTTTGTATTTAACCAGTCTATCATGAATCAGTAGGTATTTAAAAAATGTTTAAAAAAATCTGGATAAAATGTGGAACGTGCATTTCCTGTCATGTAAGAGAAGGGAAATCCCGTCTCGATCTTGTCTCAAAATTTTATGAGAAATAAAAAATCCCGTCTCGTCTCGATCTAAAAATCCATATCTCGTCCATTCCTAATTTTTTAGTGTTCCAGCAAAGCTGAGAAGACAGATTGATGTATAATTGAAAGTAAATAAATATAACGTGAGAAATACACAAAGAAACAGTAGAGCATTACAAAGCATTATTATCACTTGAATGTATATTTATTTAATGGGTTGGCACTACTGTTGCCGTAGACGATAGAAGTGGTTTCACACTGTCTCCAGTTTTAATACGCTTTTATCCGAGTTAATGGTTAAACATTTTCTTATCAGTAGTGATAACCATAGTTCAGAACAAGTATTATCAGTTTAAGTTATATTTCCAGCGAGGAACTAGTTATAAACATTATTATCCGAACAACAGTTTCGAGGCCGAGTCAACGTGGTCGTGTCGTGCCGGAGCAAACGGGTTAGTCTAGTGCAATAGTGTATAACGGTGATCGAACAGCGACCGATGTTTTGTGTTTTTATTACAAGACGTTAAAATTGTGAAAGTGTTCTTAATGAGCGGTTCAAAAATTGAAGACTATTTCACACCTGCAGCGCCGAGGGGAAGTAAACGTCACCGAAAATACACGTCACCTGAAAGCCCGGTCGACAGCGGGGATAACCTCAACATGGGTGTGGAGAAGGTCGGGGACATGCCGCTCGAGCAGCTAATGAAAGGTTTGAGTGATCTGTTGGATAGGAAATTGGACCAAAAACTAGGGAATTTAGCTACTAAAGATGACCTGTGTAGTATAAACAATAAGGTGCAGGAACTGGTAATTGAGAATGAATCGCTAAGGGATCAAATCTGTGAGCTTAGGCGTCAGGGAAAATTTGTGCATGACAAACTTATTGACTTAGAAGGGAGGTCTAGAAGGAATAATTTAATATTCAAAGGCCTTAAGTTTAGTGGGAAACGTCCAGATTGTAAACAAATTATAAAAAACTTTTGCCGAGAAGTGTTGGGCATCGATAAATTGTGGGTTAATAGGGCTCATACAATTGGGAAAGAGGGAAACTCTATTATTGCTCACATTCCGGAGGACGCGGATATAGACTACATATTGACCCAGGCTAGGACTTTGAAAGGAACTAACTATATCATACATAGAGACTTTCCGCAAGAAATAAGGGTTAAACGGTCGCGTTTAGTGGCAGTACGAGCAGAAATAGACAAGTTAGTTGGAGGACTTAAGATGCCACTTGTCCATGATCACCTGTACGTGAAGGGCACGCGTTTTACCTGGGAAGACAACACACTGAAAGCTGGACGAGTTGAAGGAGCCCGAGAACTGATGAAACTATTCCGACATGACTTCTCGGACTTCCTCACCAAACTGTCTCGACGGGGCACGGAGAAGGACGACGACGAAGAGGAGCCACAACGGATGACGTCTCAAACATATGCGGAGGCTGCAGCCATGGACACGGGCGCGGGACCTAGAGAGTCATTGCCGGGGGCACCTGAGGCGGCGCAGACCACGACTCCTCAGCAGGTCGTCGTGTGAGGGGACTACGCCAAACCTTCTGAGAACCAACGGCAGGACGGAGACAGCGCTGTGCAAGTAATGGGACATGGTATAGGAACCTTTAAGGTACTTTCATATAATATATGTGGGCTGAAAAATAGAATTATTGATGACAGTTTAGTTGATTTTTTATGTAAATATGATTTATTTTTCCTAACAGAAACATTTTTAGTTAAATCAGACGAATTTTTTATTAGAGACAAATTAAAATGTTTTAAGTTGTGTATTAAATTTGCTGAAAGGATAGGTAATGTTGGCAGATATAGCGGAGGTGATATTATTGGGTTAAACTTGAATTCACCTTTCCAGAAAAATTTTACTTTTGTTAATGAACATGAACTAAGTTATGTAAAGGCGAGTTTCAATGGTGTTCAAAAATCCTTAAATTTCATACCTTTATATTTGAATTACAATAAGTGGGAACAGAGTTTTAGTGATATTGTTGAATATTTAAATAGTAATGAAATTGGGAATTTAATATTTTTTGGAGATCTGAATGGACGAATAGGTGATGAACAGGGTTTTGAAAATGGTGAAATAAAAAATGTAAATAGTTATTTAGATAGTGGTAGGAAGTCAAAAGACAAAACCATAAACAGAAGGGGGAATAAGCTATTAGAATTGTTTGACAATAGAGGATTAATCGTTCTAAATGGAAGGTCAGCTAGTGATAAGGAGGGTGAGTTTACTTTTATAGGGGCGATGGGCTCGTCTGTTATAGATTTGGCAACTGTGTCATTGGATTCCTTGCATTTAGTGAAGGACTTTAGAGTAGTGCCATATCCAGGGTCCGATCACCTACCGATCGAAATTATTCTGTCAGTTGATGAAAGAAATAGTAGCATAGGGAGAGAGGTTAATACGTCAACTTTGTTACCAAAATTAAAGTGGTCGGATGAGGATCAATCGAAATACAAAAGTCGGGTATTACTTAATTTGACCAACGTTCAGATAGGAAATGATAATCAGGATAATATAGACAATTTGACTAAGTGCATTGTTAGATCGGCAAAACATAAAACTCATACAGCGGTAAAAAACAGGTTTGTAAACAAGCAAAAGTGGTTTGATTTTGAGTGTTTAGCCGAGAGGAAAAAGATGTTTAGATTGCTTAGTCTTTTTAGAAAAACTGATTCGAACTTGGTTAAAAGTAACTATCTTACTCAAGTAAATATATACAAAAAATTGTGCAAGTTAAAAAAGAAGTTATATAACGACAAAATTATTTCAGATTTGAACGATAATAATACAGATAGTAAAGCTATGTGGCAAGCAATTTTAAATTTTAAGAGAAAGTGCAGTAACGCAGTAGGAAATATAACGACGAACAAATGGATAGAGCATTTTAGCGCCTTGCTTAACCCCCCGCTTGTGGCAGGTGAGATGAGCTATGCAGAACCTTTCATAGATAACGACCGATTAGACAGCGATTTCACCTTGGTAGAGATAAAGGATGTATTGGCCGTGGTCAAGGCAGATAAGGCCCCAGGAGCTGATAGAATTCCTTACGAGTTTTACAAAAACGCACCTGATCATTTTCTAAACACATTATTATCAGTCTATAATAACATTTTCAAAAGCAATAAAATCCCTAAAAGTTTTAAGGAGTCCATAATTTATCCATTACACAAAAAAGGCAATATAGATTTAGTGGAGAACTACAGAGGTTTATCTTTTATAAATTGTGTAGCTAAATTATTTACCAGTATGTTAACGAATCGATTACAAAATTGGATCAATGATAACAATATTCTAACAGAGTTTCAAGCAGGTTTTCGGAAGGGTTACTCGACAATTGATAATATATTTAACCTAAGTTGTATGGTCAAACTAAGGCTTGCGCAGAAACAGGGTAAACTTTACTGTTTTTTTGTTGATTTTAGTTCTGCGTTTGATACGATTGACCGCAAGGCATTGTTCTACAAACTGTCAACGCTTGGAGTATCTACGCGCGTGATTAATAATATTAGGAGTTACTATGACGAGACTTTTGCTAGTGTGTGGTGCAAGGAGGGAGTTACAAACAGTTTCGTTACAAGGACAGGTCTGAGGCAAGGATGTAATCTCTCACCTACCCTTTTTAGCCTATTTTTAAATGATTTGCCAGAAGCGTTAGGAGGAGGGTGTAGCTTTAGCGGGGAAAAAGTAAATTTATTAATGTACGCCGACGACATTATACTCCTCTCGCCGACGGGAACTGTCCTTCAACATATGATAAACAAATTGGAGGCTTATTGTAATACATGGAACCTAAACGTTAATTTAAAAAAATCTAAAATTATGGTATTTAGGAATGGCGGAAAGTTAAAAAAAGAGGACAAGTGGTGGTACAAGGGTAAAACGATTGAAGTAGTAAATCAGTACAAATATTTAGGAATAAATTTGACAAGCACATTATCATGGACCTTACACTTCAAAGAAAAGTGTAAAATGGGTAAATTTGCTCTAAATTCAATTTGGGACAGGTTGATTTCTAATAGAAATGTACCCATTACTTCCAAAACTGTTTGCTTTGAGTCGATAGTTAAGGCTATAATTTGTTACGGGGCTCAAGTGTGGGGTTTTATAGATAGTGAAATTGTCGAGTCAGTCCAAAAACTGTTTATAAAAAGATTGTTCAGATTGCCTTCTAACACTCCTAATTACATACTATATATAGAGACGGGTGCTGATAAAATTTTTTTCCAAACTTTAAGAACAAATATAAATTATATAGTTAGAGTGTTATCTTTGCCTAATAATAGATTGCCTAGAATATTAGCAAAACAGGTTATTGAAAAACATATATTTTGGTGCAGACATTGGGAAACCGTTGGGAAAACTCATGGCTTAGAAATAAATTTTAAAACTCAGGATGTCAGCGTATTGGCGATACAGTTAGGATCGCTGGCAGAAGCCATTAAAATCAAATGGAAGGATGAATGTGTAGGCCGAGCTAGGACATCTGTTTATCACAAACAGCTATTGCGAGTCGACCTTGAACTAGGAGATAAGAGTCCCCTTGCCTTCAGCGATGTTGAACTAATTTCTTGGGCGATTAAAGCTAGGGCAGAGCTGGTAAATTTAAATTATAAACCCTGGACCGAACAAAATTTTATTTGCTCATTATGCAATCTTGAAGAGTACGAAACTACCTTTCACTTCATTGCCGTCTGTCCAATTTTGGGTAATATTAGAAGGTCTTGGTTAGGAAGCAACACTTTGAGTGAAGTAGAATATTATCAATATCTAAACGGGAAGGATTGGCGTATCTTCACAAAATACATTAGAGAAGCTTGGAAGTATAGATGGAATCTTATAAGCGAGTTTAATTTCTAAATTTTAGGTAAACAAACAAAAACAAAAAACCTTGAAACTCGTTTATTTTTATCTGATTACGTTTAATTCTGTATTATGTTTTGTTATCTATTGAGTACTCTAATTGTGTTTTATTATTATTTTATTTATTGTATAAAAATGTTCATTTCTTTTGTGCTAAATGTTGTTTAAAAACTATTTTAGAAGGCAAAGATTGTGTCAACCAAACAGACGGTTGTTATCAACCATTGTTTAAAAGTGTTATGTTTTTGGATGTACATATTACCTTATCGTTTAATAAAGCACTTACTCATTTCATTTCATTTCATTTCATTTCATTATATTTATTTAATAATTCACTTTAGGCAAAAGATAATACCTTGAATTTTTTAAATTGAATTTATTTGATCCTAGTTAATTTTTATATTATATTTGTACAGTATGGTAACTTTTCAAACAAATAGAAGCTATGTTAGAAGTATTATTTTTAAATGAAGAAGGAGAGATAGTTAACACTAAAAGCTATTTTTTGGTGATTTTTCTAACAAAGTTTTTTCAATAACTCGAAGTTTAAAATGTGTAAAAACTGGATATTTTTAGTAAAGCATATTTTTCATGAGGTTTGCAAAATGTTCTGTTGTGAGCAAAAATACACGGAATAATTGTAAAATATTTATTGTATTCTATAAATATTGACATTGAATTATTGTAGATAAAATAAAAGGATTACCTTATCTAACCTAACCACAGTTGGAACTGTGGTTGCCTAATGATAAGGAGAAATCCTTTATTTTATCAAAAATATATTCCAACCAAATTCCAACCCAAGGGTCACAATAAATAACATTGAATTGTGTGAAGACCCATAGAACAATACCATATTGTATTACAGATCTGTAGCATAATACAGCAAGAGGGTGATTAAAAAATCCATATATAAATCCCAAAGTACGGTACCCATGAACTTTTGAAAAAAACTACAAGTCACACCCCCATAAACCATATAGGTACTTAAAATGCTCATAATGACAAGAGACCTTGCGCAAAACCATCCATTATTTCATAAATTACCCTTTAAGGCCGTAATTCCTTTCAGAAGGGAACTTTCCATTTACCTAATAATGTTAAAAATACTTCATCTGTACTTAAACAGTTAATTTTTTGCCCTACTTTCTGTGTTATTCTGGTCGGCAATACTTACGTCTGTGGCTGGGTGGGATCGTCTCCCAAGGTGACAGTGTCTCCGGGTATGTCGTTGAAGCACTTCTGGCAGAAAGTGTATCTATCCGACACAACACCGTAGCTTCTTTAGTACCAACCAAGCAAGAAACAGAAAAATATGTAAGCAAGTGGGGTAGTGCGAGGTGCAGAACATGGTGCAGTCAGACAAACAGGTCAGCTCTTACATCAACAACGAAAAGTTGGGCATTCAATACTGTTACAAATGAATGAATGGAAGAAAATGTAATTATTATAATTTTAATGTCAAAGAAAGATTGAAACACGGATTAAACTTAGATTTTGTCATCTACCTGATAAAGGTAGGCTATACCATACTCTACATTAACCCTGGGACTGCCCTGACCTGATTTATGCCAAACTGCTTGGTGCCCTGGCAATTTTGACCATTTTGCAGAGTTGTTTATGACAATTCTCAGAGCCTTAACTACTGTTGATAACCTAGTCATATTTATACTTGTTTTGTTCAGAAAAAGAAGGACATTTAGAATAACATAAAATAAGAGGAATTCCTTGTTTTCCTATTTTTTTTTTATAATTTTTAAAAGTAGAGACCTAGCATTTTTACAACAATTTTTTTTACGGACAATCTAAGATATACAAAATGTAGGCAATTTATTTCCCTACGTGGAAATGTGATTGATTTGCATAAGATTTTTTTTTAAAGTACAGAAATTGGGGAAAATCAACAAAATTGCGCTGTAGATTTTAAAAATAAAAGTAAAATCAGAAGTATAGGACTTGCTTAAATTGTTATATTTGTAATTTATTCAGAATAATGTATCATATTGTACAATATAATAACTTTTTTATGACTTTATATGATTGAAAAACAAAATTTTGGTTTTGCAGAAAAAAAATTAGTCATTCAAAGTTAGAGTTGGCCAGTTGATAAAACAGCTGATTTCAAAAATTTATTTCTCAAGACTTCCTAACGTCATATTACAAAGTTTTCTTTATGAAAATAAAGTACAACTCATGTTCATTCCAATGTGACAAACCGCTTTCTGTTTGGGCCAAAATAAAGATTTCACAAATTTATTACAAGAAAACATGTTTTACAAGATTTTGTCGATCGCGACTCGAGAATTTTTCGCACGCTAAATTTCGTTCAAATTATAATAGCAGTTATATTGATCCGTTACAGACTACGAAGTTTGTTTATATATGAAAATTAAAGTTTTGAATCTCCTCTTTTTAACGGTATTAAAATTATTACGCTACTGGAACATTTTCATTGTGTAATAAGTGTAAAAAAAAAAATCCATACCGCCTTTAACAGCGGTTGGACATTTGGCACACACATGTTATCGGCGGAAGGCAGTTCTAGGGTTAAAAAACAATTTACAGGGTGTTTGATAAAGTACCGTACCCAACAACTTTGTTAGCTTGAAGAAAAAGTCATCTATTCCATGACAGGCATTGTTTAATAACAGGTGATAAGGTATAAATCTTTGTTTAATTATTCATTTTGTCAAAATTAATATTTATTTCATGAAAATTGAGTGGTGGAGAGGGTTACTCCGATTGTTGATCCCTAAAATAAATGTTGGAAAGGAACACAATTTAAGTTTTGACAAATTCCCAAGATCAAAATCAAATTTAGCAGCCTTAACTCTAAAGAATGTGGCCCATAAGTATTTTACCCAAGGCACATGAAAAAAGAACACATTTTCTAAGAAATCTCAATTAAACCTAATCAGCAAAAATGAAAGTAAACCGGATGTATTAACTAAGGTATATGATGATGTCCAAACCAAAACTTTTAGTGAAACAAATAAAGCCAATGAAAGACAAAGTTGTAGTACTTTTTGAAACACCTTTACTTGAGGTTTACCATAAGATTACGTTTTGAGGGATGAAGAGCGGACCAATAAAATCACACATGCATAAACTTGACCAATCATTCGTCACACTCTAACACTGCCAAGCAAGGTTAACAGGTGTGTGATTATGACAACTTTGGTTGAAATGCAAGTGAGAATCTTACTAACTAGACACACTATTTTTTTTGCTATCAATGACAAGTTACAACAATATTTTCAACATACTAGTAAGTCAGTTGGAAACTGCTAACACATTATAAAATGAAACTAAAAAATAATAAATGTTTTAAGTATTAGCTATGAGACTGTAGGAAATTGTACTAAAACGCCGTATTTTATATTTTAGTTATCTTTTAAGTTTCCAAAAGTGACTAAGTTCACCAAACACACACTGAGTTCTCTATCCCCTTTTGTTCAAAATTCAAGAGAAAAAAATCAAGAAGCTTAACAGAGTCGATAAAAGGATAATCTACAGTACCTCCTAAAGAAGTCATAAATTAGGTCAAAATATGACAGTAATATTTCGTAACCTTTTTTTAGTGTCCATTAGCTCCTAGACTAAATTTTCCAAGGTAAGCTCTACTGTATCTGAACCCTGTCCTTTTATAAACATGATTCATGCAACACTAACCTGTTCTGATAGCTGTAGTATTTGGCATCTCTTGGGATGGTACACAGCTGTTTGCCGTAACAGCATAAAACTTGAGGGTTGAACGTATATTTGCGGCCACAACAGTAGCCTAAAGCTTGCATCACAGGGTCTATCTCCACTTCAAACACTTCGGATAACTATAAACAAAGTAATCAAGAGTTAGGAGGATATATATTTAGAGAGCTAAGACATAAGTTACAGGTTTAAACCAATTTACCAAGTTTTTCAATGAGTAAATTTTACGATTGATTAGACCGTTTCAACTATAAAACCATCAGGGTATGCTGAAATCCCTTAATATAAATAAGCCAGCAATAAGAGGGACAATTTCAGGTTTAAAGTATTTAAAAAAAGAGGTTTCTAATTTTTTCTATCTGTGTTCGATTTGTGTGATTTTTTATACCTAATGACAACATGCTTAGTTTACAACTACTTAAATGTAAGTAAGGCTTATAAACTCAAAAATTAAATTAGACCATCTAAAATGTTATTTGATATAAAAATTGGTTTTAAGCAACCCTTGCGACTCAACTTACATCAAAGTCAGGCACACACCTTTGTACAATATCTATAGACGCGGGAGCTCTTCCTATTGTAGAGCCAGGCGTTGTCGAACATGAGCCAGACATCATCCACGTACTCCCACGGGTCTGAGTATTGGCCTGTGTCCAGCTTACGCTTAATAGTGCTCAGGTCCATTGGCCGCTTGACAATCTCAAAGTACTCTGGGATGCCGAGAGACTGTGGGTCTACAGGCTGACGGAACGGCAAAGACTCTGGGTCCTGGCGGTACAGCTTCTCCAGCGTAGGCATCAGAGCCTGTCTAAGCTCATCAGGTTTGAACACTGCAACATAACATGTTTGGTTCTAAAACTCGTATCTGAGTTAAACATTAACAATAGATTAATAGGGCTACTATCCTTATATAATAGCAGTTACCCGGCGCGTGTTGCTGCGCTAACGACTATTATTTTAAATGGTAATTTGTTCTTTAGGATAAATAATAAAAATGTATACCAAAAACAAAAATATAATATTTATTTTATTTAATTACCAGTGGATAAACAATGTTTTTTGTTTTTCCATTAGGTGTATAAATAATATATAAGTCTTAATGCGTATAATCCGCATGACCAAAATGTAAACAAATCTGTGGAGGGATCTTTAAAGGCTTCTGGGGCAGAGCCCTAAGGGAATTTACTTTGTTTTTCTTTTGATAACTCATATACAGACCAAGACATTTCTTTGGGCACCTCTACCAAGTTTCTAAGCCCAGCCATTCTCTCAAATTAGTGGAGACAAAGTTTCCGAATAACTATTTAGATTCCCCCATGTTAATCTTATGGGAGAAAACCCAACTTTGATGGAAGATCCTGCCCAAACTAATAAAGATTTAAAAAATGAAAAACACTTTGCAAAACTACAGACCAGGGCCATTTTTTTTGACACTTTTATCATTAAAATCGGTCCAAAAAAGATTTGTAACCATATAACTTTGAAGATTTGGCGAATACTTAAACTACCTATTTAGGCCTAGGCCTACTTTATCGCAACTACTCGACTCCACTCGACACTCAAGTTTTTACTCAAATACTTGACTCGAATTGAAATATCACTACTCGCCCACCCATACATTTTTCTGTTTGCAAAATGGTTGACTTTACTTCAAGATTAGTAATTAGGTAATGCTTTGCAAAGTCTTATTTAATAGTAAGATAATTTTTTTTATACACACAATTGAATAAACTGTCATTGAGTTTTGGAATGTCTTTAGGTTTGTCCAATGTAATAATTGTCACAATCACTGCTTATACATTTCAGATCTGTCGTAAACCTTTGTCCTAAAGTTTGTTAGAGGCTTTTCTACAGCTGAGTTTTACTAGAGCCACTATTGCCAATAATTCCTTAAATTACCACATAAATTAATGAGACACACACACATATTTAAATAACACAGTAAAATGTAATACTACTTACGGCACTTTTTCTTTTTGTCACTTCCTTGCACTATAGGCTCGATGGGAACTGGTGGTTTGATATCTGCTTCTGTTTTAGGAGATCTCGGCTCCTCTTTGATTGAAACTTCTTCTGTAATGTTAATTAAAATTAGCACTCTAGTGAATGAGAGGCATAGAGCTGCAAGTTTAATTCATCTACTTTAAAACATGATTGTATTGAAGCATGCAAACTACTGAAATCTCTTCTATATTATGATATAGTAAAGTCTCAATTTAAAGAGCCGTCGGGTTAGCGTCGTCTGTTGTCGTAACTGATCAGTAAATGTTTCGTGTCCGTAACGTGTTTTGTGTCGTGTGTAAATGTTTTATTTATTTTTACTTGTTAAATATGACGCTCTTCATATGAAGAAAGAAGAAGTCCTTGTACCGCCTGATGATGACTCCACATAGGAGTCGAAACTAGTTGCAACTGCAATTAAATGGATTGCTTAATAGCAGGTATTTAAACCTTTTTAATCTCAATTTAAAGAAATAAATATTTCAAATAATTTTTACTCCCCTGAAAAACCTGTCCAAGTAATAAAATACTAACTCAAATAATTTAGCAATTATATATTCAAAGGTTTTTTCTCTTGTCAAATTTAATCACGAATTACTTCAATCGCCCAGGACAACCTGCATATCAAATCACAAATAAGAAAGACATTTTTTCAAGAGGTAAGAGGTCTCTTAACCCCTTCGCTTACAACGACGGCGATCCGCCGTCGCGCTCCCGTTAGCCATTGTGTGAAGCGACGGCGAATCGCCGTCCGCTATTAAAACCTGTTTGTGCCGAGTTAGTTCCCCAGAAATCCAATAGATCGCATATGCTTCTTGTTCTATGATTTCCAGGCTTTCTTTTGGTTATATTTTCGTCATCTCAGTCCAGTCCAATCGGCAAAAAAACTGAAGTTGAAATGGTGCAACTTAGCAGCTGACGACGTCTACTCTGGTTTCACAGCTGATACGTTGTTGTGTTTACTTCGACGATGTAAACATTGTGTTAGAGCCTTGTTTTACTTTATTATTTTATTGAAAAGTGTAGTTATCTTATAAAATAAGTTATAGAATTTACTTAGTGTAAGTTTTTATCAGTATTTTACTTTTTCATCGTTATAATGACTGAGTTATTAGGCCTATCATGTCGTGTTTCACTTCGTCGCGATAAAGATTGAGCTACAGTATCTTGTTTTACTATATTATTCAATTGAAAAGCTTTTGTATAATACGACGAGTCTTCAAAATAACTTGGTATTCGTGGATGAATGTGGAAAAGAGTTAGATGAAAGTGACATCATAAAACTTATAGGGGATTGTGACAGTGACAGTGATTGTGACTTGTTTGAGGAGAGTGGTTGGAGTGATAATGATGATTTGGAAGGGAGCAGAATTCAAGTGAGTAATAAGTCTAATACGCCTATTGATTATGAGACCACAGTTTCCCCAGAACATAATACTAATTGTGTTAGGCCTAGGCCATTAGAAAGTGACCAGTTGTTGCTTGAACAGCCTTCTTGCAGCTATGCTAGGCCTATGACCCCTCCAGATGCCCTTACTGTCCAATATAATTCAGATTTGTCTAGTAGGCCTGAAATGTTTGATCAGCATGTATCTTCTCCATCACGTGATGAAGAATTGCCTAAATCAGTCCAGTTTCTTGATCGGTTATACCGCGGTAGTATGAGCGCGCCTTCTCTCTCGCCTACACCGAGTGAGGAAGCTGACGACCCTGGTTTCCCTGACTCTAGGCCTATAAATGATATAGATAGTGGCAGGCATAGGCCTATGACCCCTCCAAATGTCCAATCTGATTTAGATTTGCCTATTAGGCCTGAATTATTTGACCAGCTTGCATCTTCAATCGTGCCTGCCCTCTCACCTACACCGAGTGAGGAAGCTGACGACCCTAGCTTTCCTGACCCTAGGCCTAAAAGTAAACCTGTTAGGGGCAGGTCTAGAGGAAGAGGTAGGCCTATAGGAAAAAAAGCTATTTCACAACCATCTAAGCCTACTAAAAGGTCCAAAACTCAAACTAGTAACGATACAGCTCCACCAAAAAAGAAGAAAAAGGAGGGTTGGCAGTGGACCAGTACCATAGAAAGTAATATAATAAATAAAATCCCTTTTACTGGTTGTCCTGGTGTTAGAGCAAGTTTGGCTAGAAGTTTAGGCTCAGCTCCCTCTGAATTAGATGTTTTCAATGCGTTTCTTGATAATGACTTTTGGCAACATGTTGCAACAGAGACTAATAATTATGCCAAAGAAACAATTAAGAAAAAGAACGAAGCAGGCGGGGTAGGAAAAACTATATACTCAGAATGGTTTGACACAACTGCAGATGAGATGGCTTGTTTTTATACACTGTGTGTCCTTATGTCGCTTGTAAAAAAAAGAACCATACAATCATACTGGTCGCCTAATGCTGTAACTGAGACCCCTTTTTTTCGTAAAGTGATGCCATTCCGCCGTTTTTTGCTACTGTCCACATTTTTCCACCTTACAGACAATAATAGGAAACCTGTGAATGATAAACTGTGGAAGTTAAGGTACGTTATTGAGTACATGAACAGGAAGTTTTCCCATCTGTACATACCTGATGAAAACATAGCTGTCGATGAGAGTCTTATGAAGTTCCGAGGGAGGTTGGGCTATGTCCAATTTAATCCCAAGAAGAGAGCCAGATTTGGCATAAAGTTTTACAAGTGTTGTGAATCTGGAAGTGGTTATTGTTCTAAATTTAAGATCTATACTGGAGCTGAAGTCAAAGAAAATGTACCGGTTGAAGAAGGAAGTGGGGATTCTACACAGGAGGAAAAGCTGTTAACGAGTGAGGCGATAGTCGTTGAAATGACAAAAGATTTGGCAGGAAAAGGACATACTCTGACAATTGATAATTGGTACTCCTCACCTCTTCTCTTCTATAGACTTAAGCAAATAGGTTTCAATGTAATTGGAACAGCTAACTGGTGGAGATCAAACATGCCAGAGAGCTTCAAAGAGGGTAAACTTAAGTTGGGCGACTACGAGACAGCCTATAGCCACGATATGTTAGCAGTAAGGTGGCAGGACAAGAAGCAAGTTTGCATTTTGTCTACCTTTCATCAAAAAGCTGACAAAAGATCAACTGGCAAGAAAGACAGAGTTACCCAAGAAATTATAACAAAGCAAGAACCAGTGATCTACTATAATCGTTCAATGGGTGGAATTGACCGCGAGGATCAGCAATTAGCGTCGTTTCCTAGTATGAGGAGGTATGCTAAGGGATACAAGAAGATCTTCTTTTACATAATGGACATTGGCCTTTTTAACTCTTATGTAGTGTTCAAAAAATTAACCAGAAAAAAATTGGGGTTCAGTGAGTTCAAGGAGAGGTTTGTCAAGCAAATGTTTGAGTCGCGACAACTGCCACCGTACAATCGAAGAGGACGATCATCCAACTCAGAAACACCTCTGAGGCTCCAGGCAGCAACTTGGGGACATTTTCCTAGGCCTATTCCTCCAAATGAAGTCAAACAAACACCTTCAAGAAGATGTAAGGTGTGTAGTGCCCAGGGAAAGCGCAGTGACAGCCGATGGGAGTGTGAGCTCTGCCTTGTCGCACTTCACATGCCAGAGTGTTTCAAGGCATACCACACCAAAATGAACTTTGCTTGACATTTGGTGAGTTTTTATAAGTGTCATACAGTATTATAGACTAGTTCCAAAACATATATGAGCCCTATGTAGCTAAAAATTACCAATAAAAAAGTTTTTTTAATTTTTTAATTTTTTTATTTTATTTTTATATGGTATAATAAAAAATTATAGTTATATTTTTTTGGGAAATATTTATATATTTTGAATCTACATTTAATTTTGAATAAGAAAATAATAATATCTTGCATATAAATAGTAAATGTTGCCTGAAAAAAAATTAAATCAGAAATGAATGAAACTAGCCACAACAAATTCGTTTGTTTTGGCCTAGGCGGGTAAAAAAAAAATCATAAGTGAATGGGTTAACTTTGAATTTACCCGTTCACATGGACGAATCATGTTAAATTCATCTATTAAAAGGAGGGCTTAGATGGTACAGAACAAGAATAAACTATGCTAATAAATTTGAGGTAACAACACCAGGGTGCGAACCCTAGACATGGTTGACATAGTTCCACAGTGCAATTAGTTACCAGTTGAGCCACCAACTCACCCAAAATAATCAATGGTTATAATGCTATTTCATGGCAGACCTTTCCCTACTAACTGGCATCTACTGTTAGATTGACAGTACTTACCTTTGATTGTGTCGTGGTCCATTGGCTCAGTCTTGATTTCTTGTTTGATCTGTTTCCCACAGTCAAAGTTAGGCATGCCCTTGCCTCCTCCCTCGCCACCGTGACGAGATTCACCCTCATCATCCCCTTCGTCCCTCTCACCTTTGGAGCCAACTTGATTCAGTTTTCCCTTATTTTGGTTTGAACTCGGGGGTGAATCTTCATCCTGAGAAAAACCATAAATGAGTATAACAAGAAATAATTATAATTTAAAATATCCCAACATTTAAAAAAATAGATTGTCTATTTTTAGGTGGACGTAATCGGTTGGGTGGATGGACAGCTGAGTTGTTCACGCACGGTCTTTTGCAGATCAACTTGGATAAATCTCACGTTGGTTGTTCCTGCAACAAGTGTGGTCAGTGATACTGCGCAACATTAACAGACATAAAGACCCTGAGCGGGACCGGCCTGTCAAATTCAGTTATTTTTCATGTCTACTTTTCAACAATACGCAGTGAACTTCATAAAAAAAAATCTGAATGGTGGGAAGAACCTAACATGGTTTCATAACACTAAAAATAGTAGTGATGGCTGTTTAGCGATGTAATTTTATCATTATTTGTTGTTTTTCTCTAAACTGAAACAGCTGCCGTGACTTTGTTTGTATTGGGAATGGCAAATTGCTTTGAAGTTGATTGCTGTGCGTAGTGAATTGTTCAAAAATGGGTTATGATCACCGTTTGAGTTTTTTTTTATGTTCTCCGTTACCAATAACCGTACAAAAACACTTTGATATACTATATTATTTGTTTTTTTAAGCTCAAAAGGTCTAGAGAGAAACTGGGAAACATTGTGTTTTGAGTGCCTAAAATGAGAAAAAACCATTTTTACCCCATAAAGCCCCCTGTGAAACCTCGTTCCCATGGTCTGATCATGCTGATTCGCAAACTCATGGTGTTTTTGGCCTCAGGGGACATTAAAGTGAAAAAGTAAATCAGTCCCGGGCCTAGGTCTTACCGTGCCTACGGTAATAGCTACTTCCCTATAGGGAAATTCGCTAAGAAATAGGCTATGTTATAATGTATGTCTTCTCGAAGTATCTTATTTTCCTTATAGGCTAAACTTATCATTAGTAATGCAGTTATCTTATTGTATAAAAAATAAATATAAACAACATGCCCTTTTATTCATAGCGAGATTGAGAAGCACACATATATGTGTTATTAACTTGTTCACTGCAACTCACCGGTGAGTGTTCTAACTTCTAATTCCTTTTTGCCACACTTAACGCTCACCGGTGAGTGCCGGCATCGCCTACATTACATTTAATTTCTCCAAAGCAGCACACCGAAAAAAATGGGTAGGTATTTTTATGTCTGCGTTTAGCTAGGAATGTGTGCTTTATTGTGGTGTAGGTTAGTAGTATATTTCCCCGCAAAGTCCCCTTCTGGCAAGCCTAGAAATAAACTTTTGTCCCGTCTTTCTCCCTGCAATTGGCAGGCAATACAATGTGACCGGATAGTTCCAGACAGTGCTGCTATCTGTGAGTGTTTCAGCAAACAACGTTGACTCTTGTCACAACACAGCACATCACCGCACGTCATTTGCTATTCTTCAGACCAAAATATTTTAAAGCTTAACCAGTTCACTCGACTCTGCGTCGCACTAGGGATACGCCTGGTGGCTTAAGCCAATGGTGGGTGCAGCGAACAAGTTAAATGAATTTATAACAGGTATCGGCATCGAGAATCAAAACCAAAGTTCTGGAATCGGAAACGGGTTTGGAATCAACCCATCACTAATCTAACAACGCAAAATACGTACCCGTGTGAGTGCAGCAGTGATTGCAGCCATCTGACTTGTATATGAACTGGAGCTTGTGGTGGAAGTTGTTCTAGCAAACTGTGACGTGGTGGTGGTGTTGGCGGGACTGAGTGACGGGGAAGGGATTGTGGGAGGTCCTGAGGTGGGAGGTAAGGGTGAGGAAGTGGGGGGAGGAGTGACACACGAGGGTTGTGACACCATCACTCCTCCACTACTGGCTGACGTGTTGTTGGGTGATGAGAACGGAGGTAGAGGGAATGCCGGGGAAGTCTGCGGTGCGCTGAGCCTCGCCTGCTGCTGAAACTGATCATCATATATTATAAAATAGACAATGTTCTTTATTTAGAACAATAAGCTCTTTTAAAGCAAAGTTTTTCTCTGATTCACTTGTAGATTGGAAGGGCTTTACAACTCAGCAACCTAGTTTTATGTTTATTTTTTAATCACAGCAGTTAAAGTAGCTTGATCAACAAATATTTTCCAAATCTATTTTGAATTTCAAAAATGTAATAGCAAGCAGGTCAGTGATATCAATCATTCAGTATGTATTTTAAAAAGTTAAAATATTAATGCAGAAGTAAAATGGAGTGAGATTGTCTATGGAGCTCTATTACCATGACCAGATGTTCTATTTAATTTTAAGCTGACAGTATAATTGATTAAAAACCCAATTCTCAAGGACCTTCTGCTTACCTGATGGTTGGTGGTGGAGAATTGACTAGTAGAAGAGACAGGGGTGGGAGCCTGAGAGGGGGTGGGGCTAGGACCTGGAGGGCCCACTACCATACCAGGGGTGGAAGGACCAGTCTGTGAGGTGGGCTGTGTGTTGTTAAATGGCATTCGGGGTCCACTCAGGTGTCCACTCAACATACCTCCACCCACTGCAACAATTGAAAACTAAATAAATAACCGTTGCTACAAGTATTCTTTATGTCAAACTTCACTGGTGGGATTAGACTCCTTACAAACTGAAGGTTTTTTTTATTTGACATTGTTTGATGCATAATTTGCAAGTAGTCTACCCCCGGATATGGCCCATAACACGTGACAGGTCAATCACCTATAAATGTATGCTTTTCAGCCTGCCGTTCCCGCCAGCTGACGTAACCTCACTTGTATACGTAGGAGTTGCCAGCTGATCATGTGACTATCCCTGTATACGTAGTTATTCCCAGTCAAGGTACACACTTTTTATCCATAGTTTAATAGAAATATCTACATATGTTGGCAGGAACAGCTGGCAGACGACAGCTCCTACATATACAAGTGAGGTTACGTCAGCTGGCGGGAAAGCATAAATATTCAGGTGATTTACCTGTCACGGGTTTTGGGCCATATCCGGAGGTAGACTACTTTTGCAATCTATATCTTTCTCACATTTGATATTAGGATAAAATAAACACCTTTTATGAGAGTCAGGGTGTTAGCAACAATCCCAGTTTGTTTCAACTGGAAATAGTTCACCAAATCACTGTAGGATAGAGACACATTTATTGGATTGTTGTTAACCGCACTGGTGAGTTTACCTGGCGAGTGAGAGGGTAAGTGTTGTGAAGTGACTGGTCGTGTAGGGACACATCCTGCACCTGGCCTCATCTGAGGTTGCGTTGCCACCTGCTGTTGCTGCTGCTGCTGCGCTGGCTGGTTCTGTACCTGCGCTGCAGCCTGCTGCATTTGCTGTTCTTTCCTCTTTTGTCTTTTCTCCTCTGTGAAACAGTAAAAATGTGGTGTTAACTATCACATGTTTGTTGCGCTAGCAAAAGAAACACTTGGTACCTGGTAGTGATGTGTCAAATACGAACCCACTTAATCCAAAAAAAAAGATTCAAATTTGAGATTTGATAAACAAGATTAGAATCTTGGGCACGCCGACAGAATAGGCCTTAACGGCTCTGACTTGCCGCCAGCTCTATAATAACGTGTAGCAGTGTCTGTCTACGCATTAGCTACGGAAGAAAGCCAAACTTAAGTCTCAAAACTCAAGGCCATGGCTTGAATTACGACCTAGTCGAATATTGATTGTATTTTATATAAGGATGGGCTAATACTAGAATTTCTCGACACTGATTTTGTTATATTATTCACGATTTTCGATACCGATTCCAGGCGATAAAAGAAAAAAAAAAACACATTTAAATCAAAATAATAATTTAATATAGCCTAATAAAAATTGATAAAAATACCCCCGCTGCAGCAAACCTGCCGACTAAGCGAATTTCCATTTGTCTGGAATGATTTTCAATTAATCTATTAAATTAGAATTTATGTTTAACAAGTACCTAGGTTAGCTACTCCAGGGGAACTAATAAAGCGTGTTTTTTTATTAAAATATAGCTTAGTATGAAATAAATAAATCCGCCAAGTTTGATTAAAATATATCCATAAACAAGCCAACAACAACATTTTATAATATTCTCCATAAGAATAACACGGGTATTTTAAATTAACAATTTTTTGAATTTTCTCTATAACCAATCACTACCCATACAAAAACCCTTTGATATACATTTTTTTTTTTTTTTAGCTCTTTAAAAAGGTATAAAGAAAAATTAATTGATAAATATTGTGTTTTAAGGGAAAAAATGAGCAAAACCCATTTTTACCCCGTTAAACCCCGTTCCCATGGTCCGATCATGCTGGTTCGTGAACTCATTCAAGTTTATCCCGCCTTACACCTTCAAACCATATTTTATCAAAATCGGACAAAAATTACTCAAGTTATTATCTGGACGGATACATACATATATACAGGGAGCGGCAAAATAATCTGACGGTTTTCTTTGCCGCCCTGTCGAGCGAATGAGTGGCGTAGGGTGGTGGGAATAGGGGCGTTACAAAGCCAACGTGTGAACATTTTTAGTAGCCATGGAGCCGTGGGATAGCTGAGCAACATGTATTTGTAGTAGAAGTGTTTTTAAAAGTGGAAATTCCTGTGTAGCTGTTCAGTACACGTTTCAATGTGGGTCCAAGGGGAAAAGTCCCAACTCAAAAAACCATTTTGCAGTGAGTAGGTAACTTCAGAGCTACTAGTTCAGTATTGAAAAAAGCCAACAGGCTGTCCAAGTCCAAGGTCAGCCCGGACGCTAGAGAACGCTGAGAGAGTGAGAGAAGCTGTGGAAGTTAGTCCTCAGTGGTCTAAACGTTAATAATCTGCAGCTCTGTACTTGTCTGGCCGCTCGGTAGAAGAGTATTACAATACGACCTGCATTTCCAATCATACAAAATGGCAATTGTGCAACAGTTGAAACCCAGAGATGCAATGCGCATCTCTTTTTCAGAACAAGTAGTGATTGATTTTCTTACACGTAACAACATTTTCATTACGAGCGACGAATCACACTTTGAACCACAACATACAGTCTTCCTCACTCTCTTTAGTTTCACACCGAACTAGTAGCTCTAAAGTTACCCACCCACAGCAAAATGGTGTTTCGACTTGGGACTTTTCTTCTTTGACCCACATTGAAACGTGTACTGAACAGCTACACAGGAATTTCCACTTTTAAAAACACTTCTACTACAAATACATGTTGCTCAGCTATCCCACGGCTCCATGGCTACTAAATATGTTCACACGTTGGCTTTGTAACGCCTCTATTCCCACCACCCTACGCCACTCATTCGCTCGACAGGGCGGCAAAGAAAACCGTCAGATTATTTTGCCGCTCCCTGTATATCTATATATAGATAATAAACATTATATATGCATATATAAAAATTTGAACGAATGGTGTTTTTTGCCTCTGGGGACATCAAAATGAAAAAGTAAATCGGTCTCGGGCCTAGGTCTTACCATTAGACCTACGGTAATAGCTACTTCCCTATAGAGAAATTTGCTAAAAAACATATCCATAAAAACATAGACAACATTTGCAGGTAAAAAGTTGGAAATACCAATTAGTTTAGTTAACAAACTGAAACTGTGAATAGTGAATCAAGAATTTTATTGTCGTTAAGCACATGGCAATAGACAAAGTCAAATACAGTATTATAAGACATCAAATGTGCAATATGGACAAATACAAAATAATAAATCAAAACAGACATATAGATATAGACACTGAAAAAACAGCTACAAGTACAAAATCACTATCTAATTAAGTTAAAATCTTAATGTACTAATATCACAGGCCGAAAATTCGTTAACAGAATAAAAAACATTTTCTTTTAACCACTTTGACAGAGTTATTTTGCATCTGCTTAGGTTCACAGTCCAGGCTTCTTTTGGCAGCTTGTTAAAAAGCTTGACTTTCATAAACAAATGGCTTTTTTTAGATTTTTCTAGTTTTATAGATATGCAATCAAGTAAATAGTTCCGTCTAGTATTATATTTGTGAAATTCACTTCTCTATAGCTATTTAATAGGGATGGACGGGATTGAAATTTTAGTTCGGGACAGGACGGGACGGGATTTTTATTTCCTTCCCGATTTTCGGGACGGTACGGGACGGGATTTTTCCTGTGGATAAAAAGAAAGTCTTGAGTATTGCAGTTACCAAAAAAGACAAACGAAATCAATTTTTACCGTTTGTGGCACTGATCTATAAAAACAAAAAAATGGTTGGGTTACAACCATTTACAAGTACCTATAGACACTTGTGACTCGCGGTCACGGTGCGATCGTCAAAATGACCATGGTCACAGGGTGATCATCGGTATGACTCGTGGTCACGGCGTGATCGTCGGTATGACTCGCGGTCACGGCGTGATCGTCGGTATGACTCCGCGGTCACGGCGCGATCGTCGGTATTACTCCGCGGTCACGGCTCGATCGTCGGTATGACTCCGCGGTCACGGCGCGATCGTCGGTATGACTCCGCGGTCACGGGGTGATCGTCGGTATGATTCCGCGGTCACGGCGCGATCGTCGGTATGACTCCGCGGTCACGGGGTGATCGTCGGTATGATTCCGCGGTCACGGCGCGATCGTCGGTATGACTCCGCGGTCACGGGGTGATCGTCGGTATGATTTCGCGGTCACGGCGCGATCGTCGGTATGACTCCGCGGTCACGGCGCGATCGTCGGTATGACTCCGCGGTCACGGCGTGATCGTCGGTATGACTCCACGGTCATGGCGCGATCGTCGTTATGACTCCGAGGTCAGGGGGTGATCGTCAGTATGACTCGCGATCACGGCATGATCGCCGTGATCGCCGGTATGACTCTGCGGTCACAGAACTATCGTCGGTATGACTCCGCGGTCACCTCACCATCGTCGGTATGACTCCGCGGTCACGGCACGATCGTCGGTATACTCTGCGGTCACGGGGTGATCGTCGGTATGACTCCGCGGTCACGGGGTGATCGTCGGTATGACTCCACGGTCACGGCATGATCGTTGGTATGACTCCGCGGTCACGGCACGATCGTCGGTATGACTCTGTGGTCACAGGGTGATCGTCGGTATGACTCCGCGGTCACGGGGTGATCGTCGGTATGACTCTGCGGTCACGGCGCGATCGTCGGTATGACTCCGTGGTCACGGCGGGATCGTCGGTATGACCCCTCAGTCAAGACGCGATCGTCAAAATGACTTCGCCTCCTTCATCGCGGAACATCTCTCGCGATAGCGGCGTTATCGTCACTCGCGAAGCGGCAAAATCGCCGACGATCGGACCAAATCCCGTCCCGAAAAATTCCCGATTCAAAAGTAATCCCGTCCCGAATATCGGGAATATTTTTTCCCCGAAAATTTCCCGAAATTTCGGTACCCGTCCATCCCTACTATTTAAGTTTCCCTTAACACTAACTAAGCTAAAATATACATACAAACACGGAAGAGTTGTGCTGGTTTGTCAGCACAAATATTCCCATTTAAATTGTGACGATGGGCTGGGCAGTAAAATGTCTCATATTTTTAAGACGGAAGTTGCCAAGGTCAATGTTATGCTGTTCTAATCAGGGAACCGCTCTTGCTTTTTACGAAACGTAATAGTCTTAGACTGAAAACATCCAAGCGCTTTTATCATAGCGAGTTTCGACTGAGCTAGAAATTATACAACTGTAGGTAGCACTGGCACGGCAACTCTGCGAGCCGCTGTAAAATATTGTTAGGTTGGTACCTAGAAGACTCAACCAGCTCATTGGCTCTTGGCTTTATTACAATCCCCTTGTTCTAAAGTACTATTACCCCTAATACATATGGCTACCAACGTCTCTCAATTCTTTCATTCAGCTACGGTCGGTTGTAGCTCTAGATCAGTCTTCAGTGCGAGCAACTATTGCTACCATTGTCGGTATTGACTTTAACTTTGACGGCAATACATTTGTCTACGTTCGTGTAGCAATGGCGGATATAACTGTACTGTAAACATAGACAGACGACACCACAATTTATGTGATGACGCAATACGATTCCCAATCCACGCTCGTGTGTGGATTGATGTTTATATTTAAAATTGTATTAACAGTGTAAACTATTGATCAACAAATTTAAAAATATCAAGTACACAACAAATATCATAAATAATGCTATTTAAAATGTTATTAACAGAGTATACAATTGATCAAAGAATTTTATTAATCACCATATAAAAAAGCCCATTTGTAATTATTTTTGGGACTCGAGATTCAATTTTTTCGGATTCAGATTCGAGATTCAAAATTCCTGGATTTGACAATCACTACCACACCAATAGCTGGTGACATTGTCAAAATGAAATCTGTGAAATTGGTTCAATTATTTTACATTTTAAGTTTTAAGGTAGTTAATTCCCTTAGATACCGTAGAGAAATGTTTTCCTTCTATACAGTTGTATAGTAGCTAATCAAGTGTAAGTGTATCAAGTTTGAAGAAATTAAACTACTATTTGAATGAAAACAAAAGGCGTGTTTTATTTAATGGTAGTATAAATGTTTTAAACAGCTAATCAACCGAGAAGTAATTTTACTTCAAGCTCAGACTTACCAAGTTCCTTTTGAATTTTGTAGATCTTTTCAGCCAACAAATGGTAATATTCGGACTGAAAAAATAATAATAATAATTAGAAAAAATATTTCAACCTTATACAACCAAATTCTCTGCAATTAAAAAAACATAGGCAACACTAAATACAGCAAAGATATATTGAGGCTTTTATTTACAATGGATATGAATGGCTTAGAAAATTTTAATCCCCTCTTATCATTGGCAACAAAGAAGTACTGTACAATTAATAACAAGTACTGAATAAACACATTTCAATCAATTTATAATGTAAACACTAAACTAACTAAACACAACAACAATCTGTCGGAACATCCCATCTGTAAAATCTATTTCTATATTTCCATTTTACTTTTGTTACATTTACAAGTACAATTGATTGATTATAGCCTCCTTACAAGTAAATGAAAAATTATGTGAAATAAAGAAATTTAAGAGCTAGTCGACCAGAGCTGAGAGATTGATAAGAATGATCTTCCATAAAAAGTCTATAGTATCAGAAAAAGACTCGCTATGATACATGCTTGGGACCAATTCAAGCATCTGCACCACAACATTGAAATAAACAACATGTGTAACAACAATAATTTGTAAAAACTTAAAAACACCCAACATAATTGAACTATCATGAAAAAATCTCAAAATTATTTAGTTTAAAATTTTTTAGTGTTTTAACAACCCTTGATGTTGCTTACTTTATTCAAAACTCACAACTTTTATGTTTTTATTTATAATTGATTTTTATGTTTGACAACCGTAATAAGAAAAGTTTAAATTCTACTTTCAGGGTATATACATAGTTATGAATAATAATTAATTTTTTGGATGTCTGAAACCAACTTACCCTTGAGTTGGCCATTTCATACATGTCTCCCTCCACTTTTCTTGCATAGGCTACGAGGTTGTGCATACGTTTGTCCCTCATGGCATTGGGATCTGGTGTTGGAAATATTGCTTGCACACTAGAAAAAAATCAAATTAATATAAAATACATTCAAGCAAACCAACCTTCATTAGCTTCAAGGTCAAGCTATCCGCTTGCACTGACAGTGACTATAAACAAAATGACTGGGACGGGTGGCGTCGTCCTGTAATCCAGCTACTAGGAAGTCACGAATTGTGGATAATTATAGGGATGCACTGTGGTTGCGATGCTCCCTGGTATGGCTTAACGTCCGCACTAGTGAGTACTACGACTATCCGCAGTACTATCCTAATAATTAGACCAATTTGTTAATTACGAGGAAAAAATGTGGTTCTAAGGAACATGTCGGCCTTAGTCACTAACAAGACTACAAGATGGCGCCACTCATCCTACACTCATATTTGGGTTTAAATACGCACATAGTGGTGTCCCCATATTAAATAATTGATAATTGATAATTGACAATCTTGCACTGACACTCACAGACTGACAATCGTCTGCTCCTTACACATCTGTCTGCTATGTCACAAGACTACAAGAGTTTGTGGTTGAGTGATTAGTAACCATGACAACTTGTGGATGAAGAGAAACCAAAGAAAGAATAGAAGAACAAAGAGAAATAATAAGTGGTGTTTACGTCATTGTCATTGTTATATTTATCTTATTTCACAACTGTTTTTATTACCAAGACTTAAGTACTATGATTTTATGCTGTTTTATGAGTTGTTTAATGTTTTTATCCACACATTCATGATGTTTGTTCTGAAACATCATGTAGTTTACTAGTCTAGACTTTCTTTTGTTTTGTCCTTTACGTGATTTATTGCTGTACAGTGTTAAGCAATTATTGTTTTGTTTGAGTTAGCACAGGTGAAGTTTTTATTACTGAACCAAGGTTAATGACTTCACATATCACGATTGCGCAATACTTATTGTATTTTGATGATGTAAAATGCAAATTAATCATAATATTAACATCCATTTATATAGTATTATGTTGTGGTGATGTGGAGTGAGCGTTTTATGGGTTTGTAATACATGTTTATGGCGTGTTGGATTAACCTTGGTTTTCAGTTATCCATGGTGTCCCTCCTCCCCATTACCCCGGATAATCGAGATTCTACTGTACTGTAAAAGCTAAGAAACATTATTCTCTGTATACACTAACTTGGCGTCTGAACCCTAGTCTACCTGCGAACGGACCGGGGCCGAAACCTTTCTCACCCACTGTTGAGCAGCTGTTTCCATAATTATAAAGTTTTTATTCCTCAGTAGCTACTGTACATATGCCTGTAGGTTCTACAAACATAATAAGAATATGGTCAAGTTTGGTATCATTTTACTTATTTATTCATGGACTTTTTGCTCGTACGGATAAAAATGTAAAATTCCGCCCCGCACAAAAAAGTTAATAAGTGCATTGGGGGTGTGACTAGATGATTAATTATGGAAACAGCTGCTCAAGAAGTGAGCGAGCAAGGGACGGTCCCGGCCCGGTCGCAGGTAGTCAAGGGTCCAGACGCCAAGTTAGTGTATACAGAGAATAGTTAAACAGGCATTTAGTATGAGTACACCCAATCTGAGGCATATTTCCAAAAACTTGGTAGATTGTGCTCGTTAGGCTTACCTAATGTAAACAAATCTCCTTTGACCAATACTGGATTTTTTAATGTGCAGAAGGATTACAGAAGGAGGTTAGAGGAATTTTACTGTAAAAGCAATTTTTTTAAATGCATAAATACTTTTCACTACTGTAGAACTCGATTTGAGATGGAACACAATAGACCCGTGTTTAAGAACCTTTTACTCAATGGAATATTTTAACTTTTTGGAAAGTTTCTTTTGAAGAAAAAAAATAAATAAATAAACAACAAATACTTAATCAATCAAATCATCTTTAATCATTATTAGTATCTCCATCAATGGTACGTTGATCAGAGTCGCTAATGTCCTTAATTAAAACAGTAACAATGGTGTTGTATGATACTAATAACAAATTTTATTTTATCTATATAAATAAAATTAGAGTTTTGTCTGTACATTGCTCAGAATTATAAATTTTTAGGTTATTTTTACGTTTTATAGGCTACATTAAAGAAGCCGAAACAAGTCTCATCTAAATTTCTGTCTGTCTGTCTGTCTTTCTGTAACACTCAAGATGGCATTTTACGCAATCTTCTCCAGGAAAACAAGAGTACCGATCTAAGTCATTTTAATGTATTCACTGGATTGGCGAGAGTGTCTTTAGCCATTAAAATATGGCCTCACTACTTGGTAAATAAAATTAAGGACGTAAATAAAAAAAAAACAGATCATATACATATAGGCTACCTAATAACCATTCTCATCATGCAGTGATTTTATGTAATAAATCATTCATTCATTCTATATTCATTTGACTGTGTATATATAATACAGTGATACTTACAGTTTGTGGACCAAGTGGTTTCTGAGATCAGTTGTGACTGACTGATGCCACTCCTTAGTTCCGGGGACTGGAGTTGCAGTGACCTGGCCGGAACCGGCTAGTCCCACTCCCGGTAGTTGTAGGCTGGCTAGCTGATTGTCTACTGTGCCTAGCTGCTGGGACAGATACAACCATTAGTAGATGTAATAGTGAAATAAGCTGTGGGTTGCGAATAAGTGAGGACAAATGACAAAGATGTAGTAACACACTTCAGATGTTGGTTGGTAGGCGTCTAATCCTACAATAGGGTCATTTAATTTAATCCGCTCACTGGAACAATATTCAAGAAAAAACAACTTTGAAATAAGTGGCATCCCTCAAACTCCAAATGAAGATGTGGTTAAGTTGGTGAAAGACGTTGGAGCTGCTCTAGGGAATCAACATCCAGGAAGGTGACATATCGATTGCACACCGTGTTCCATCCTTCAAAAAGGAACTTGCAGCCGCTTATCGTACAGTTCTCCAGGATATCTCATGAAACCTTGCTGAAAAGCTTGAAGGAGAAGAAGAAGATGACAGCCAAGGAAATCCATGCCGCCTTCCCTGCCCAGAACGTCTATCTATATTTAAAGAACTGTGGCTATCCCCAATCTATTTTTAATACGGCCCCAAACAAAGTAAATAACTCCAGAGAATTGGAACCCACCACTGAGGAAAAACCAATTACTACTGTTTGTTAACCATATGTTAAAAATGTCTCAGAAAAATTAAGGCGCATAAATTCAAAATACAAAATTCGTACAGTTTTCAAAAGTAAAGATAAAATTCGTAGCCGTCTCACCAAACTAAAACCTGAAAATGAACAGCAAAACACAAAAAATATTGTCTATAAAATTCCTTGTTCATGTGGTAGAAACTACGTAGGGCAAACGTCAAGGCCAGTGACGGTGAGGATTAATGAACACATTAAAAAGGTTAAAAATAAAGATAGGTATGGCTCGAGAATCTGTGAACATGCATTAGAGACAAATCATACAGTAAAATGGGATTCCAGCCAAAATTCTATACAAAGAACCGGATTGGAGGAAACGGAACATGGCAGAGTCACTATTTATGGCTATTGAAGACGAGCCTCTATCACGACCATCGGTGGATATTAGTACTGTTTATTTACAAGTAATTAAAGAAGAACTAGAACAGCTGAGAGACAATGCCAAGGATGTCAAAGGCTTATCTACGATAACCAGTATGTCCACCGACCCCCCTGCCATTCCACCCGCCACAGGAACAGCTGATCCGGCACCGGTAGTCGTGGTTAGGCATTCAGCTCGTGTACGCAAGAAAAATAAAGTTTTATTTCCCTGAGGAAGCGGGACGTTGTTTTGGTTCCGCGAAAAACGTCGGACAAATCCAAGGACGATTTTTTATGTGCGTGTATGTGTGTGTTGTGTGTCTTCGTGTATTACATTTCCATTTTGACGAGTCCTGGATTAACAAATAAGGTGAGTGAAGCCCACAAGCTGATCAATACGGTAAAATAGCATTGTAAAAAATGGCCTATCAACTAGTTATGGTATTGGTTTGTATGTGAATGAAGACTTACATTATTACTGGATGAATCAGGGTTGTTGAGGCCAAACAGAGCGTTCTGCATGTTGGCCACATTCTGCTGGATGGATGCAGCAGTCTGGGCTGCGGCAGTGGGGACAGCGTTGTCCAATGATACGTTGGGAGCCACCACTGATGACTGAGATCCCACAACGCCTCCTGTGTCACAATCCAATACAAACTTTAGATAGGCTCTTCAATTCCTTCTACTACACAGACAAAAATAAAGGTACCGGTAGGTTTAGATCAATCCTGAATTGAAAAACTGGTTAATTTAATTGACCTTTTCTAGGAATTTGGAATTTTTCAGTATGGACTAGTAAGTATCTAGTCCAGTAAATCCAGTAGTAAAATGTGACTTTCTAACGACCTCTTTGTAGTGAATTATGTTCTTTTATCACCTGAGGATGACACCATTGCCGGGTTGAAACCGTTTGTCGCTCATCGGTGACGTGATCACACTGACAGATTAAATGGAATTTTAACATCTAGTATTAATTTGGAATGGACGAGATTAAATCCTGAGTGTACATTCTTGCAGATAGCAATAATGACATAAAAATCAATTTGCCGTCTTCGTTTCACTGTTCCATAAAAATCAAATAATGTGTAAAATCTTTTTGGGACTGTAAATATAAAATTAAATCTATTTACCTATTTAGTTTGATAGAAAGCGAGACAAATAACTATAAAAAAAGTAGCAGTTTTGCTTACCTGGTTGCTGGTTGGATAGCACGTTTGCTTGTGAGGGTACTGGCAGTCTAGGCCGCACCTGCGCAGCACCTGCGCCTCCCATCAGCTGTCCAGTGGTAGGTGGACATTGGATGCCTAGGGCGTCGTAGGCCCGCCTCATGTCCGAGGGTGAGGGGTTAGGTAGAGCTGTGGCTCCCTGCTGTGCAACTACTGTAAACACCATTGTGGTATTAGTCCCAGAATAAGCTAGTTGATCTCTAAAAACCTTTCAAAAACCTCCTTATCAGCCACTTATCTTTCCTTAAGAATATTTGAATATAATAAAGTACAAACACTTTCCCTTTGTAGCCCTCTGTTCCTCATTTTTTCTGCCTGTAGGTCTTTCTTAACATGTCTTAGATTTCCTGGACACCCTTCTTCTTACTGGATCAAAGATATTAGACATCCCTTTGAATTTGATAGTTTCCATATTCAATCATTATTAGTTTGGCTTTGTCGAGATTTCTGCTTTCACCCTTTCTTTGTTTCAGAACAACCCGAAAATAATTAGATTTGTTAAAAATGCTGTAGAGCTAGATTGTTACATTTAAATTACATTTAGAAATTATATTTACTTTTCAGTTAATTGTTAATTTGTCTGACTTATAGCAAAATACACATATTTTTATTACCTCTTGAATTTGAGAGGTTTCATCTTAATTTGATGACCCCAAAGTGATTTTAAATATCAAAATGTCAAACGGGGAACCATCAGTAGGTAGTAGACAAGTCAAGATTCCCCCTTTCTAGCACTCAGATCCAGAACTGTGATCACAGTTAAGACAAGACTAAATTTTATCACATCCGAGTCACCAAACAAAGATCAAAACTCTCAAATTCAAGAGGTGATAAAAATGTTTGTATTTTATAAGTCAAACAAATGAATAATTAACTGAAAATTAAATATATGTGAAATATTTTCATGTGAAATGTGCTCATGTGAAATAAAAATTAATAAACAGGTAGTCAGGAGCTACTACAGTGAACATAGGCAGTAAAAGTAACATCAGAATATTAGTGTAAACAATTTAACAACAAAGATTTATCTAAACTATTACTATCAAGTTCTTGTACTTTTTCTACAACTGAATACTGGTATTCTCAGCCTAAAAAAATCTGAAAATATAACATCTTGAGAAAAACTTTCAAGGATAACTAAGGTGGCAAAAGATAAATAACATAAAAGAAAACAAATATTTTGAGGAACTCTACATTGTGCTGGTCAAGTCAAGCAAGATTCATTCAAGCGAGAGGATACCAGTTTGGAAACCAAAAGAAATATTAAGTGTTTTCAAAAGTATTGAAAGACAAAATATCCCAAGTGAATGAAAAAATATATATATTTACCATTGGGATTGTTTCGGTTCTTATCAGCTTGTTTAAGAGGCAGACAGACAGGACAGTCAGCTCTCATGCAATGTTTCCAATGAGAGATGATTTGTCTGGACGACGAGCAATGAGGAACAGAGCAAGACTTGCCTGCCTGACAGGTCGTCATGTGATTCAGCACATTCTTCATTGTCATGCAGTGTGGCAAAGTACACTGTAAATATACAATATAGAGGTACAGGGATCAATTTATGATGGTAAAACATACAACATAAAACTTACAAGAGAAAGAATAGGACAATACTGTGAACAACTGACGTTCTGCAACACGGAACAGAAAGGCATAGGCTTTCAGGTTTTTTTTTTTTTATAACAGGCTTACCTGAATGGAAAGTACACTGTGGCATAGAACAAACAATGATATATTTCACTGTCACTGACTGTATTAATTGACAACCAAGGAAGGTTTAAGAAGTAAGATGTCTTGAGATCCAATCATCTGAAACCATTTTACCCTTATCTTACTTGGTTGAAATTGTAGTATTGATTTTCGAGTTTGTTGTGCAAAGATCTCTTTCCCATTTAGGTATGGCTGCCTAATTAACGACTGGATAGAGAATATATGTTTTCCCCACTCGTAAAAGTTTAGCTTCCCTTATCTAACATGTAATAAATACATGTAAACTTGTATAATAGATTTACATATTATTATAAAAGTTAAAAGATTGTATCTTGAATTTACCTTTAATGACCGATTATTAAAACAAAATTAGCTTACTAATCTGAACACCCCCAATCCCCAATTATTTTGGATAATCAACTCTGAAAAATAAGTTACTATGCTTAAATGTAATTGATGTAATATTATAAGAAATTTGATTGTATTAAGATGATTATTTTGTTATGTTATATGACATGTCCCATTTCTTTATAAAAAGACCAATGGAATGAATTATTCTTATTCTGCTGTAATTTTCTTGACATGCATCACTGATTTTTGTCGAATGCACTCACTTAAAAAAAAAGCTAAACTGAAAGACCACTTATAGCTAATAGCATAACTTATGTTACATCGACTAAGGGAGAGCTGCACACTCTGTAAGTGGCTACAGCTGATCTACAGACCTGCCAAGCCTCTCCATTAGACTGACTCTCACGTCGTTGACACTTGTGTGCGTGCAGTAGCAACACCAACTGTTGTTGGATCAGTTTCCTCTTCTCTGGGTCGGCAGTGGATGTGGAGGGTGTTGTGGTGGTTGTAGATTGAGACTGAGGAGTCGCAGCCTGTGTGGGCCCCGGCTGACCACCTGTGGGGGCCCCACTCTGGGGCTGGGCTGGGGACGGAGCGGGAGGCTGAGCTTGTTGAGCCATGCCTCCTTCACTGTTCACTACACCTCCGCCTGAACAACACATTTGTTCAAATAAATAATATAAGCCTACACACATTGTACTATCTAAACTATAAAAATATTTAGGGAATATTTGTTTAAACAGGTAAATAACTGCTCAATTAGCTAGGAATTGTGAAATTGGTAAATTTAAAGAAGTGTTTACAAGGAAAATAGTACAAATGTTAACATTATCGTTTCTTCATTTGCTACTGTATATAGAAACCAATAACTATTTACCTGCAAAGGTTCCATCTTCAAACTTTGGAAGATATCCCCGCTCAAGCCGGAGGAATTTAAGGAATGTGAATAGACACATTAGAAAGGTTCACAATCAACCTTTGGGTACATTTTCTGCCTGCTTGGTGCATGAAGTTTTGCATTTACCAGGAACAAAACAAACACAGACGGACATACATAAAAAATAAAATAAATATACATCACATACCAATCGCATTGCCAGCTGTACCGAAGCGGTTGGCCTGCATTGCCAGATTGTTGGCAAGGCCGCGTTGCTGAGGAGTGACCACAGCTACCCCCACTCCTCTGTTGTAGTTGTACTGAGGTCCAGCACCCATACCTCCAGGCATCTGGCCCATAGCAGCCATGTTGGGCCCCTATCCAACACAGTAACACTTGAGAATACTGTAATGTTCAAGTTTTCAGTTTCTGAAATTGACTAATAGCAACCCTGCAAACTTAATTACACAGGGGGTCCATCGTCCCATCAAAAGGGCAATTTACTTGTTTGTACCTACTAGTACATTAAAAAGCATCAAAAATACCTAAATTAACTCCAATTCCAGAAGAGTAAAATGTACTTAAAAACTTGTTTAAACTATGAAAGTTAAGATGATTAAACATACAAATTGACAAAAAAGAAAAACAACAACAAAAACAGAACAAGTACAGTAGACTCCTATTAGGTACGGTTAGGTAAGGTGTGCTATTAGGTTCAAAACGAGTTGGACATTCTGAGATTGGTGAAGAATCAGCCATAATTTATAGTAGAACTGATTACCGGACACGGACGGTTCAGAAAACATTTGCAACAAATTGGATTGTGCACCACAATGCAGGAAATGCGGCAGGTCAGAGGAAACTGCTGATCACCTGCTTGACTGTGAGGAGCTCACTATGTAAGAAGAACAACTATTGGCAAATTTGGTATTTGGAGGATAAGTGGATTTCTTTAATAAAATCAATGTATCAGATAGGCATAATCATTGCGATGGCAGTTTGAAATTCCCGTGGCAGTGGTCACCAAATATGTTGAAAAAGCTTGAGCTCGAAAATGTTTAAAAAAGCTCGGCTCGAGGTTGAAAATCACTATTCGCACACCCCTAACAAAGACATAGCCTAACCATCTTCGCCAAGATTATTGGTTATATTACTATCTTCGCCAACGTTCGTGGTTAAATTACTACCTTCGCCAATGTTTGGGGTATTATTACCAGATTCTCTATCATTTTTTAGGTTTTTGCCAGATTTTTTTTACGTTTAAGTCATCAATATTAAACGTACAATTATTTTCCCGGTCTGGACACCCAGTAAAAGCTTACCTGTATTCTGGGTTGGCCCACACTGATGGCGTGGACCTGGTGTGGACTCTGCCCTCTGTTGACCAGATGTGTCTGCTGCTGCATCACTCCCACGCGAGCTGCCATCATTGGTCCGTTCTGTAGACCCTGGTTGGGAACCCCGTGATGCATGATTCCTGTTAACAGACAATCTGTGTCAGAAACTCTTTGTTAGAAATTCTCTGTAGTCTGTATACTATGTGCTGTCTGCATTTTATACATAAATCATATGTTTTATTATATTGTTAAAGAGGTGTTTGGTAATAATAATTGTGAAATGAAAGTAACGACGTGGCAGTTGAACTTAAATGATTTTCCGTTTTGATTTCCTCAGAGGTCCAAAACGCCATCTGTTCAAAGTTTTGTTAGCAAGATAACTCAAGTAAAAATCATCTGACTTTGATGATCAGTCACTAACCTTGAGGATTAGCGTTGGGACCACCAGCTAACATGGTGGTGGGAAGATTCTGCTTGTTTTGGCTGTTAGTTACTACAATGCCTCCACCTGCCATGCCTCCCATTGAGTTCACTGGTGGACTCGTCATTATCATGTCTGAAATCACATTGTCATCAATAACTGATTGAGTTCAAATATCAAGCTAGATATTTAAACACAACCTTACTAGATTAAATTAAATAAACATGAGGGAGAGTGATCTCGCCCGAGAGCAGTAGCTCCAGATTAATTTTAACAAATGAGAGCAATAAAAAACAGATAAATTGAAAATTTAAAACTATTATTAATTCAATAATTCTGCAGATGCCTAACAGTTAGGAATGTATTTTAATTGGAATTGCAACCACGGAGACAATACAGTAATTCAAACTACCGTACACACACCCACTACACACACACAATCAGGATCAACAAAACCAAACAGAAGGCACAAAAGTCTCCAAAGCTTAATCCCTATGGTCGCAGTGACAATATATAGTTTTAACAATTTGTCTTATTTCAAGTTCTATCTATCCATCTGATTAATTTATAAATTTAAAATTTGTGATAGTTGATGCGAGTTGAGGGTTTTAATTTTTCCCACTAGGTTAGTATAACGAGTTACATACTGGCTGGAGGCACGTTGTTGAGACCAACTCCCATACTGCTGGGCATGACCATGGGGTCTCCTTTGCTGACAGACACGTTGGGTGGGGACTGCATGGTGGCGGGGTTGGCCTTTAGCCCTCCGCCCAGCCCCAGTGACTGACCCTGTTTGTTCAGCAACATCTGCAACACAATTACTCTCAGTACGATTGGACGTTAAACATCTTCATGAAAGAATCCCCATCTATTGTACCAGTGAGGACGACTATCTACAATCAAGGTCACTCTATTAAAAAGCAAGATATAACAACCATTGTTACATTTTTGTCCATCATGGTTAATTTAGCAAGTTTACCCACAAACATTATTGGATAGAATACATAACTGAATCAACCCAGCGAGAGTTTTGATAGTTCAGACTCCTTAGTGACCAAGAAGCACACAATCTAAGATGTTGTGTATTAAAATACATTTTAAAATATAATTGTAACGTTATAATTTACATTAGAAACGTACTATTACAATATGTTTGGCAAATCCGCTATGCCGTATTAAAGAAAAATGTCAAATTATTGAGCAACATCTGATAATAGTCGTCGTGAGGGTAGAGGTAACCTTATTAAATTGAGTATAAATTACTACCAATAAGGTGTCAGACCCTTTTTCTAACTATACTCGATCGCCCATCACCAACTCTGCTGAATAAATGTGATTGGAAATACTTATTCAGAGTAAAAAACACCCCTTGAACTAATGCCAGGTTATTGAATGTTCAATTCAATTCAAACATTTTTATTTCATGCAACATCATGCTAAAATATTTCACATCCTCCTGTGCACACGCAGGTACAAGGAAATCTTTAGATACATGTCGTTTTACAATGTAGACTGGCTGAGTATAGTCACTGTTGATAACAATATACAAATACAATTAATAATCATGGAATGTAAGCTTACAATAATGACAGAGTGATTTTTTTTATAACTTGTAAACAGACAAACACATGCAACAAAGAATAATAAAATATTAGTGCTTTAACAAGGAAAAAAAATAAAGTGATTAAGATAAAGAAAAAAATGTGTAAAATAATGGGGTGTTTAACTAACAGAAATATTTAGGACATTTTCAGGAGATATCTGGAGTTTGTCAACAGCTTGTGTGTGTTTCAGCACAGACAATAGACCATTACAGACCGCTTACTGATGACTGTTAGATAATATTTTTAAATATAACCACTGATCTGGGGCGCTACCTACTGATTCATGTTTAAACTACGTCCTCACACGCGCCGTTGTCTGCTGACCAGGGATACTAACAGTTGCAGATGACAGTAAAGTACGAGCAACATGGCGGTTGGCATGGCAAATGACCTACACACGCGCGCAGTTATGCATACACAGTCACACTGTAGTGGTACACAATGATAAACCGCTAGGCTATCACTGAGTTTTTTTTTTACATCCATCCGTTTGGACGAAGACTTATAATTAAGTTGATCGCTTTTAATAGTAAATATTAAGGCCCATGAAAACTTAGGTGCACAAATTATATGCTATTGTTTTATTTTTATGAATAAATCAAAATCCATTGAATACTTTTGCATTAAATTTAAATGCTGAAAATCCATTTGATTTAATTTACAGTGATTAAACTAGAGAGTAAACTAAAGAGTCACCAACATTCTGTTGTGACTGTTACGGAATCAAGTTATATTAGAAAAAAATAAGTTTTTTTAACATTTATTTTTGGTAAGCTACAGAGAGTTGCTTCAACATATTTTTCCCTAACAATTTTCTAGAAGAATTTGAATCAGCTCTTTGCCCCCCCCCCCCCCCCCCAAGAGGCCTGCGCCTCAGTTGCATTGGCATTAGTTACGCCACTGCACTGGGCGCTGCCATATTTTTGGGACATGTCATCCAAGTGCAACTCCAGATAGCGCGGTCGGTAATTGGTCTATAGACTGTGGTTTCAGCACTTCTATAATAGAGTGATTATCTGTTAGTTTAATTCTTACTAAAGGTCAACATACCTGCTGCATCAGTTGATGTTGCAATTGCTGAGAGGCTACCATGTGCCTCTGCTGCATGGGGGCTCCGTCCTGGTCCAGGGCCCCATTCTGCATGTTGCCAGGGCCCGGGCCTGTGGCGGGGGGCTTAGATGTGGGGGCGTCTGCCACCGAGCTCCATGATGATGACCCAGTCAAATCCCCCAGCAAATCATCAGGCAGGTCATTTTCAATATTGAACATGTCGTTGTTGGTGAAGATATCTGCTGTAATTAGATTTCAGAGTTAGTTTGAATAATTTTTTCACTTTTAAACTTGTGGCTTCATAATGTGATAAATATTTGAGGAGTTGAAAAAAAGGCTTATGAATACAAGGCTTATGAAAACCAGATATATTGTACTAAATATAGTTTCTACCATAAATTTGGCACAGTAGACTAATAATTGACTGCATGGGATTAAAACTGTTCTACTCATCATCAACTTCCACTGCAGTTATATCACATTTATAATACACAGTTATAATAGCATGTTGGTGACATGATTTCATTAGAACTCGAAACAGTGATCATCACAATGGTGAAAGAAGAGGATTACAACAAAAGTACGGTAAGTTTACTAACATGTACCACCAGAAAAAAATATTTTAAAGACATCTGGACCACTCAAAAAAATTTTCTTAAGAAGACCCGATCTTTAAAAAAGTAGATTTTTGAATAAGTTGGAACCATATCTAGCTGGTAAACATTTAGAAATACAAAGCAGAGTAAATCCAGCCAGCAGAAGTGTTTATGCCTAATAAATATTTATGATCAAGACTCTTGACTGTCCTGACAAAACGACAAAACTAAAATTTACACAAATATAAACATGACCAATTCTCTCCAATGGTTCCAAAACATGGACTTTAGACAAAGGTGCTGAGAAAAAGTTAGAGACATTTGAAAATGAAGTAAAATCTTTTGCCAAACAAAAAAAAAGTTAATAGAGAATCTAACAAAACTATGATATCTGTATCAAGCACCAGTCCTAGTAGCTAAAGTAGGAGAGCACAGACATATGAGATGGACCAGACATGTAGTATGAAGGGAGCTGAAACAACTGAAAAAGGAAACCTAGATGAAAAAAGACACCCCTAATTGAAGAGGCGGAAAGTTAAAGAAACCAAAGACACAAGATTGTTGAGAGCTGATGACTAAGAGACATAGGATTGGACGAGATGGAGGCAGTTAATTGAAGAGGTAAAAAGATTACAAGCAAAAACATTCGACCTTTCGTTGCCAAATTTTTTTTAAATCAATTCAAATTCAGCCATTTTATTCAAGTTAAAGTAGCTTCATTACTCTTTAGAGTCAAGCAAAACCACCCTGGTAATACACATTAAGTATGGCCTTCCACCTGGCCTATATGACTCAGTGTCTTAGCTTGAATTGGGGATGGCATATTGGAGACAGACCATATAGACACAAATACAAATCTTGGTCAATGAAAAGTGACTATACCCTTGCCACTGATATTTGGCAGTGTGCAAAACAGAAAGGAGAAAAAAAAGAGGATGTAGGTGAAACAGATATACAGTACCCTAGTGTGTGGTTGGTGCTAATGGCTGTAAAACAAGTTTCTCACTGACAACAATGCAAGTGTTTTAGAAAATGCTGAGATATTTAAGATCCTACTCACGCTAGTTTCAATATAAGCCCGTTTTACACAACCTGTTCCCGTTCAAGGTCCCGAACGCCCTGTCGCCTGGACGAAAGAGCGTTCTGTCATGACCAGTATTCTGTGCCCAATCTGAGTTCAGTGTATTGCTGTCCTTCGTTGAAAAACATCATTTTTAGCTAAAAAGCTGTTTTTTTAGTTTTCTTAGTGTAATGTAATAATATTCCATATATTTATCGAAGCGGCAAGTTGTTGGAGTAGCATTAACTGCATTGGCAGTGTGAAAACAGAAAGGAGGAAAAAGAGGATGTAGGTGAAACAGATATATCCTACAGTACCTCCAAAGACCTGTATTAAGTCATGCAAGACTTATGGACGTTTAGGATGCTGAAGACCTTCAGAATTTCTTACATATGACACTGATTTTCACAATACCATACATGGTGACCTTAAATAAATTTAATAGTACAGTTATGTGAAAAAAGGTGAAGAATTTCGACTTTTAACGTCCCGTTCCTAGCGGAAGTGCCCTATCCCCACTTTTCCTCACTAAATCCGATGGAAATCTCTCCCAACCTCCCTACCTGGTCGCTAGCCAAATCGTGACCAGGAGCACGAGTTTACACAATCAGATTTCAGGGCCGACGTCGAACGGGCGCGATTTAGGGTCCCGAGATTGGGTTGTGTAAACCGGGCTATAGATGTAGTGTGGTAGTAATAGTTAACAACCTAATTGTACTTTCATAACTTTTTTATTTTTTTTTAAAGAGGTTGGCGGCCTCTTTTAACCTTGCATCTGCCCGTCCACATAGACTAAGCGCCCGTGCGTGGAACGTTTACAGCAAAGCAAGGAGTGAGCCGGTACAGTACAAAGGTGAACTGTACTGATAAAAGTTAGTGGCAGTGACCAGGATCCGAACCCACGACACTACCGCCTTGGGCCCGAAGTCCGCGACACTACCGACTGAGCCACCGACTCACTACACGATGTGCTAAAGATGTGTCATCAGTTATGTTTACAAATTCGGTTAGTTGGAATTAACATTGTAATATTGATTTCAGCTAAATCACTTACTTAGCCAAACACAAAACTGTTACTCTTTTGTAGAAGACTTAATCACAATCTAACTACTTCAGACTGCCACAAATATGATCTAACATGTTTATAAGCTGAATTATATGTTGTTTATATGGAAGAACAACACACTATAGATGGACTGCCCCACAAAGATCATTCTTACTGACAGTGTCACTGACTATTGACAATGTTGTTGGACGTTGGTTCATCTCTTTATTTACCTTTTATCCTGGATCACAAACAAAACTACCTAGACAGCTGGTCCAATATATCTTAATATCTATAGTAAAACGGTTATTCATTTCTTCTAATTCAAAAGGATATAGCAAGAGAAATTAAAGATTAAATCCTTTTCTTTTTAATATTGTGACTTCTAGGGGAAATAAATAAAAGGGTGTTGCGTGTATATTGAAGTTCTCCAAAAAGATATGGTCACTGCAGAGAAAAATAATTACAATCTGATACTACTGCCGGCCCAACCACTATTTCGGTTGAGCAACGCCAGTATTGTTGTTGTAGCCATTACCAACAGAAGATAAAATTTGCCAAGTAGTATCAGTTGCATTAGATTAGGGACTTAATTGTTTTAGTCTGAATTGTCATCCTTTATTAAAATCCATCCCCAGTTGATGGATGTGCATAGAAGTGAAATATGAGTGGAAGTCCCTTCGTTTCTTAAACACGCCGATCTGCAAGTAAAATTACTTTAACTTTAGTCCCTATTTAGTACAAAATAAAGAAGACAGTGCTAAGGTCAGATTTGCACAAGCCTGCTATATCAGCACAGGCCGTAGTTGGAATTTGTTTTTAAGTTTTGGAAGACTATTAAATTTTGTATTAAAAATACTATTTGAATACAAAATTATTTTGTTTTAAAGATTATTTTGAATCGGCCTGGTTTAGGCCTAATGATTTAATTGCACAAAAAAGGTACTTACATTTTCAACCTTTATTCCAGATTTTCAATTCACAAAATTATAAAAATGGTGTGTAGGCCCTACGTCAAAATATAATTGACTCGTTTTATTGAAATGTTCAAATTCCCGATTAACGGTAGGCCTACATGTAAGGTAATCCGAAGTAGCCTATTTCAAACAGTGGGATTGGTATCATTTTACTCTTGGATTTTACTGCAAAAATTAATTTGGTGAAACATATGGCCTACTTTTCAATATAGTAAAAAAGAACAACTACAATCTCAAAACAATTATACACAAAAGCTGTGATGCTACTGAGAAGAAGCCTCCAAACACACAGTACGGTAAAAGAAACAAATCAAAACATATATTAAGCATAACCAAAAAAAAACACATTTAAGAATTAAAGGAAATATTGACGAAGCTACGCAGCTATATCCATGCTAACGGAGAAGCATGCCAAAATCAGTTTCATAAAAACAATATTTGTTTGGTTTACACCAACATCTCCAATTAAACAAAAAGATAAAAAAATAGAAAGTATTCATCAACTATCATAACTAATATTTCCCCAGATGAGCTCAAATAAATCATATCCCGGTAGTGCATTTAACTGTACCATATGGAAACCATCAGAATTAAAAGAAGTCTTGTGGGGATTTCAGTTGACAGTTGGTAGCCTTATGATTAGAGTATAGGCCTATCCATTCAGAATACCTGTTTTGTTCATTCATTTTCGGAAACCATACGGACAGGACGATGACATTTTTAGAGATGGCCCTAATTAAAATATGCCTACGTTAGAACTTTTGCATTTGTTTGACCTAACCGTTTACCAAACCAGTAACATACAAGTGTCTTGCACATCATTACTTTGTAAAATCCATATGACTAGTGTGGCTAAAATCACTAAAAAATGGAAAGTTGAAATTTTGCAACACTATATTTTTGTAAGTTAACTGATCACACTTTATATTTCATACAAAATGGGAAATGGATTCATTTGTTCAAACTAACTAAAGTGAAACAATGTTTTCTGATTTAGATAAATTAGTATAACGATTAAGAGGAAGTCTGTAAATCTAATGTACTGTAAATTACTACGGGTTGCAGGTCAACTAAGGAATAAAAAAAGTGTAAGTTTCTGCTGTAGCCTATATTAAGAGTAGTCGTAAGAGCAAAGTATAGACCTATATTTGCCAGAGAACGACTGAACAAAACTAAATTGTTCAAATTTGTTTTACAAATCATCGTATAAAACTGCTAATTAAATATAACACAGTAACTTAATTCACAGTGTCAGGATCAATGATGTTGAGCTGAAAGATAATTAGTTGTTGATTAGGTTGTTAATAAACTCGTTTCACCTAGGCCTACTGCAGTGAGTAGGCCTACCATAAACATATGTACACTGTGTTGGAAAAGTTAAGTTTTAGTCAAATTAGTATTTTAATCTACAGATTGTAAGTTAGCCAACAGCACAGAGGGAGAAGATATTGTAACATTGTAAGTAGACCTAAAATCATTACAAGGGTGATTTTCAATTAGCCTAAAATGAATATTGATTATAAATACAATTGAATTAGACCAACCCTACTTAAAATCATTTCATATTATCATACATTTAAAAGGCACAATATTGTTAGATTAATCAATTTGGATGACTATTTTTTAGACAACACGTCCTAAATTGCATATTTACGTTTAGTTAAAATTAAAAGTCTTTGGTTATTTAAAAAAATCATAACTTTTAGTTCCATTTTTACCATCCATTTTTTGAAGAAGCCTAGACAAGAACTGGAAACATGTCGTTAGCCGTTACTTAAGTCAATATATTTAAGCTAATCAATTGATTTTCTTTGAGTGTTAAGATATGAATAGTGTTTACTTCTCCTGGTTGTGTTCCATTGTTGAGGTTGCTGCTGTAGGGGGCCTCCACCACTTGCCAGACCAGACGAAGTTAAGCCGTAGTTGGTGTAAGCATGATGTGCCGACAGCGCTATCACCCCAAAATAAACAAAACACTCCATCAAAAAAGAAAACCATCAACCAAAACTAATGCCTCTTGGACTGATTAGTTGCATTACAAATTACCATCCGTAATCAGCATTCTACTCAAATAAATATTGTGTTAAGTAGCCTTCTGTTATAAGTTCTTCTGTTTCTACATTTACAAAAATTAGGTAGGTACCAAAACCTGATTAGAAACTAAAATTATTAAGAGTATAAAAAGTTATTTGTACAAATGAGCATGATTTCAAACTCATAGAGCTTTAATGGTGTTTTTAAAAATGGTCTTTTGTTTGGGTCACTAAGAAATTCTATTAGTCTACCTACATCTTCTAACAGAACAAAATATTGTGATAAAATACTGTAAATTAACTGTACTTAATCAAATCACTTACTAATTAGGATAACAAAAAATTTTTTAGTAACTTGAATCTTTAGTTAAACTTAAAAATGCTACTCTTCCTTAACTTAAAATTCTTCATAGGCTATTTTGTTACGTCTTAAACTTCTCTAATTAATAGTCAATTTTCTTTGTTTTAAAACACATTACAAAGATGGAAGGGCCAACCAAAAATATCTTGCATTACGCTTTAACTAGAGTCATATCAATTTTAAAATGAGGTTTTTTATCAACGTTAAAAGCAAACTTGAAATAATTAAGTAGTTTACCATAACATTCAAAAGCACAATTTCACATAAATTAACTCAATTGGTCCTAGTCTTATTAAGAAAATGCTCAGATTATGAAAATAAGTAGGCCTACTAGCTTAGACATATAAAGCATCAGATTTCAGATTGATCAATGTTGAAAATAAAACCAAAAGATTAATGATCATGCAGCATGCAGTTACGTATAAGTTAAGTTATGCCATGCGAGGATGAGCTTTAGCTGCAGTTTTTTTAAGTTAACCTAGGCCTTCCCCACAAAAAAGTCAAGTTCTAAACCTGATAATGATAACTAGGCTAACTTAAAGGGCATTAGGGGCCTATAGTTCCTAGGAACTTCTCGATAGGAAGGTTAAATTAGGTGTTTTAGGTAAGCTTTAGCTTTGATATATCCTAAATTAGCAGCTTTTAAAAGCTTGAAACAGTTTGTGTTGTGCCCTGGTAACTTAAATTAAGCATAAAGGCCAAGTCACACCGAGCTTGCTCCCGCGGCGGGAGCGAATTTATAAAAATCGCTCACCATGTTATCAAATGTGCCAAGTCACACCGCACTACCGCGCGCCCGCGGGCATGCGGTAGTGTCCGCCACGTCCGCCTGCTGAGCGATTTTTTGAGACTACCGCGGCGGGAGTTTTGTCTAGCGCATGCGCAAAGGGGCATTTCGAATGCCCAAGCTATTTAAAGTTTAAAAGTAATACGTAATACAGTTTTAAATTAAATTTAACATGTTTCTTTTGTTTGATGATGTAGTCTATGTTGTTTTGTATTATCTTCGTAATTATGTTTATCACCAGAAAAAAATCATTTTTGTTTACCATGCAAAAATAATGTTTACGGTGAAAATTTAATGTTTTCATAAACATTTTTATATTGCCGACGTAAACATTTTTTTTATTGTTTCATCAACTTTTTTCGATTTGCAACAACCAAAACTTGACAATCAATGTAAACTTGAACTTTCATTAGAAGGCTTAGCAAAAAATTACATTAGTTTTAAAATAGTCATATTTTTTTATTTAAAAAGTAAATAGTCATTGTAGTGTAGCGAAAAATAACGTTCAAAAGCTGAAAGTGGATAATTTATCCACAACCATATTTAAAATGCTTCGAACAAAAGGTCTAAATTAAATTTAAAAAAATAGTTATTCACTTTTTAAAGTAGCCCTACACTAACAAATTAATAAACATTCAATTGCTTCTTAAACACTTTACTTAAAACCTGCAAATTTACATGGCATACTAAACAGGTAAGATGAGTTTCTTATGTAACTCTCAAAACTCCCGCCGCGGACGCGAACTTTTGGTGTGACATGGCTCGAGGAAAAACATCCGCGCGCGGTACTCCCGCGGCGGGAGCGGCGGATGTCGGTGTGACATGGCCTTAAGTTATCCAATTTAGCCTATAAATGATGGCAAAGATCAAAGTAGGATCAAAGATCCTATATATGACTCATTAATTAATTGGCAGAAAATATGTAATTTTAGGTAGGCCGATATCAACTTATGGCCATACTTGACCATGATCACATGCAGTGCGGGTTCAGGGTGCAAGTCTAGACTATGAGGGGGCACCTACACCCTGAACCTGCAGCCGCGCAGTGATCACTTAGATGTAAACTTATGGCCATAACTTACAGTACAGGTAGGTTATTATTTCTTCGTAAAAGTAAGTTATTAGGTTAAGATACGTGTTCTGAGGACTTTTTGACAACCTCCTAGAAGCGATATTACACGTCTAAACTCAAGGCTTGACAATGACACCTTAAACTTAAGTGTCAAAATTAGTCACTATTATGACAACCAAGAATTACGATGGAAACAAAGTATTTTAACCTCTAGAAAAACTTATTTAGTTAATTTACTAAGTAATCTGAAGGCAACACCCTCAAAAATGAAGTAGACAGCTGCTTAAGTGTCTTCCTCATCATAAAGGTAAATAACCTAGAAGTTACCTACGGTACTGAGAAGCTGAGGTCTGAGAGCAGGCCTAACTTATTTAAATTACCTAGATGGCTATAAAGGAGGAGCATGAGTGCTGCCATCTTCATCTGTAGGCCTAGGCTATAGTTTCATTACAAACATTCAGATAGCCAAGCCTAAGTTATGAAGCTTTGCAGACAATAAGTTACAATACTTAATGCTATTAAAATAAGTTATTTGAATGAGAATTAACTGAATTAAGTATAACTTAATTAATCTAGACTTCAGGTAGACTATTAAGTTAACTTCTAACTTAATAGCTAATCTTAGTAACTTTAGGATCTAACTTTAACTAACTTACCTACATTTAGGCCTCCCGGTAACTAAAAGTTAATTAACTTATTGTACGGTAGCACAGAAAACATATTACTATAACCCAGAATGCCAACCGCATGGTAAAAAGCATTAAGTGTTTTGAGAGAGCTTTGCCTGTCAATCGTAGGCAGCGCCACCAGCGTTGCTATGCTGAGTGCATGGCAACGCTGGTGGCGCAGCCTACGATTGACAGGCAAAGCTCTCTCAAAACACTTAATGCTTTTTACCATGCGATTGGCATTCTGGGTTATAGTAGTATGTTTTCTGTGACGGTAGGCTAATCTAGGGATAGCTTCATTTTTTCTCATAGCTTATAGGCCCTAAGGTAGGCCTACTTAACTTAAGTTAAAATGTAAGCAACAAAATTCTTAACTCGATAATTTAGGCCCATGTTTGGTTGCTAACTTAATAGAGAGTGTGGTTCGTCAACAAAATGGGTTTCAAACCATTTAAACGCCAATCTGTCTTAAAGTTGTAAACCCACTTCAAAATTCAAGTAGGTAGCCTAAATCTGTAACTTAAGTTAGCGTCATTTATTCCATGAAAAATGTGTGAACCTTGTCATAATGACACAGTAGGCCTAATTAGCCAAGATGAGTTATAATCTTACGAGAACAATTATATAGGCCCTTTAACCCTAGGACTGCCCTGATAGTTTGGATGAATGTCCCTGTCATTTTTGCGATTTCGCAAGGGGGTTTTTAACAAATTTGCAGTGTCTAAATTACTTACGATAACCTAGTCATATACATAGCCTACTCATTTTGTCAACAAAAAGGAGATTTTGAATAAAATAAATAGGATGCCTATAAAAATCCCTTAGGGTACGTTAGTTTTTTTCTACAGTTGAAAAACTAATATTTTTGATAGATTGTTTAGAGAAATTTCAAAAGTAGAGTCCTGGTATTTTCCTAAAAAATAATTAACAAAAAATCCAGGATATACAAAAAGTAGCATTTTATTTCCCTACGTGGAAATAACTTAGGCCTATGTTTGATTTAAAAAAAAACAACAACAAAATTATACCCCATATAAGTTAAGTGAAATAAATATGTCAAATTGGTAAATATCGATAAATGGAGGTTTTCTATTAATTATTATTTTTTATCCATGTTTTGCCTACTGGATTGATAAAGAGTAATAATAATAATAATAGGTTTAATACCTTATTTACGTCTTCAATCCAAAATAGTCTTTTTATGTTACTATAGTTTCGGAGCTAACAGCTCCATTGTCAAATCTTCTTGTCTTGTTAAATTACTGTGAATAGCATTGGTCATAGTTGAAGATCACATGTAGACATACACTCACACACGAAACATTAATATATACAAGTAACATTGAAAATTTGTATTTTGGCCGGCCTAAACAAAAATTATTAAGTTAGCGTAGTGGTTGTACGGACTGGTACACTGACTGAATGCTAAATTGAGTGCTAAGGTTGAGTCAGTCAGTGTACCGGTCCGTACAACCACTACCTATGCTAATCATTTTTAGGCCGGCCAAAATACAAATTTTCAATGTTACTTTCTAGGCTATAGGCTATATTAATGTTTTGTGTGTGAGTATAGCTTATGTCTAGGGGAAGGTGTTGTACCTAGGACCTATTTTACCTTTTTATTTTTTTATTTTGATATGACACATTAAAACACAATAAATGTTAGTGAAAAGTAGCTCCGAGTTAAACGTGGCCCTGGATCATGCCGCAAATTAACATTCGTAGTGTTGTTATCAGTGTACTTTTAGCAAGACGACATCAATCACAACAGAGAATATGGTGGATCCATCCAATATTAAGTAAGAGAAAGACTGAAGGGATGTTCCCCACATTGCATAGCAAACTAAATTAGCTAGGATAGTGAAATCCTGCAGACAGGAGCTTCTGCTGCCCTAGCTTCACGTAATTTAATTATCACTCACACAAGGTAATTTCCCATCGAACATGAAGACAACGAAGATCTCTCCCCTACACAAAAAAGGAACTCGACTTGACATTGGGAACTATCGACCAATATCTTTGATTCCAACCTTTTCGAAGATCCTGGAGAAGATTGTCTTAAAGAGGCTATTAGAACATCTTTTCTCTAATCAACTCTTGACAGAGAGACAACATGGTTTCGTCAAGGGAAAATCCACAACCACGGCACTTATTGACTTCGTAGAGTCTGTCATTGATGATATAGACAGTGGTAATAACGTTGTCGGCATTTTTGTTGACATGAGTAAGGCGTTTGACTGCCTGAGCCATGACTTGATCATCTCAAAGCTTAGCTCCTTGGGAGTATGTGGAACGGCTCTTGGTTGGTTGACTCAGTATCTGAAGGGTCGAACGCAGCTAGTCGAACTCAGCCACTCCAGGAATAGGACTATCACCACCGTTAGATCTGAAGTACGTCCAGTGTCCAGAGGAGTTCCACAGGGGTCCGTCCTGGGACCGGTGCTTTATATCTTATCGACAAACGACCTTCCAGATACCACCGAACCCTTCAGTAAAGCTATAATGTATGCGGATGACACTGTCTTGCTTTCTTCAAACTCACCGGTCAACAACGTAGAAGTCAATGCCTACATTGGTTTGAGCCTAGCTGCGGAGTACTGCGACAATCATGACCTTGTTTTCAACACCTCAAAAACCAAGCTAGTTTCATTTAGCAACAGGAAAAGTTTCGTCTGCTGTATTCCCGACATTGACTCTGTTAGCTCTGTAAGACATCTAGGTCTCATCATTGACGAACATCTCGCTTGGGACGAACACATTGAAGCACTCTGCCATAAGCTAAGCACCGCAATTTTTGCACTGAGAAGAACAATGGCAGTGAGCACAGAAGAGGCGGCACTAACAGCATACTATGCCCTTCTTGAGAGTATTCTCTGTTATGGCATTGTGGTCATCAGGAGGTGCACTCATACAACACAAGACAAAGAAATGATTACAACCTTCCTGCTCACAACACAAGGCTCTATGAAGAGAAACCCTCATACATGCGTGCCAAGTTTTTTAACGTCCTTCCCGTCCACTTGAAGTCTCTTCAACCCAGAAAACTGAAGAAAGAACTAAAGTGCTAGCTGTTACATAGACCATTTTATAGTCTGGATGAGTATTTGTCTTGGCAAGAACTTGAATAAATCATGTCTTCACTGCAAGAACTCTGATCAACTATTTTTTATTCTTAAAAAATAACAATTTGTATTGACTTTTATATAACAACTGCACAACTGTATTGACGCCCTTTCAATCATAATGATTGCAAATAAAAAGTATTCTTGTATCTTGTGGTCGAAACTCGACCAAAAATATGTAATGTAAACTTACTCACTTCTCTTAGTTATTTTCACCCCACACTGTAAATAAAACATGTGATTGGAGTTTCTTTTGTTTTGATTTTCTGTTTATATTTCGTTGTTATTTCGTCACTAGCATGGCAACGCATAAGATCCATGTTATTTTTTTCAAATTTATAACTCATTTTTTGTGCTTATCTTTGAGCCTATTTAAATTTATAAAGGGATTCTGCACACCTATAGGAAAATAGCTTTCTAACAGTATGCGTAGATTTACCCCACGATGCATACGAGCTGAGAAAAAAGGTTTTAAAGAAACATGCTTGCCTATTAATAGCCTATATAGATAGATTAAAAGTTGAATATACTTACTTTTTCCTTGTAAAAACTTGTTTTAGTTTTCTTGCCAAAAGGACACATTCAATTCCAACTTGAACACATTAGGATAGACCTCTGGTGGCTAAAGCATTTAAACTAAGGGTACAAGTTCTCCCTATACTCAACAGATAGTGCCAGAATGAGCATAGGTCCAAGGTACAACACCTTCCCCTACATGTGATCTTCAACTATGACCAATGCTATTCACAGTAATTTAACAAGACAAGAAGATTTGACAATGGAGCTGTTAGCCCCGAAACTATAGTAGGCCTAATCATAAAAAGACTACTTTGGATTGAAGACGTAAATAAGGTAACTTATTTAACCTATTATTATTATTTCTCAAGGTGTCTGACATTAAGCTTAGGCTAGGCTATACAAGTTAGGCCTAATCTTCTTGATACGAAAATAAACTGAAGAACAAAATCTAAACTTATTGGTACCAACCACATCCAGTTTGACGTAAAATTATTGGCGGTAGGCTAAGTTAACTTACCATTTTTTGAACATAAGTATGAATTGACGCACCAAACCTCAAATCGTCTCGCGCCTAAATTGTCATTCTAATTGTAGCCTACAGTACCGGTAACGAAAATGAAATCTGTTAATGCTAAGTTATAAGGTTCGTTTAACTTAAGTAACTTAAAGACTAATGAAAATGAAAGCTTGGAACCTCATCTTTAGAATGGTATCAAACTTGTTAAGTATAAGCTGTTAAAAAGTTACACTAAGTTAAACTATCTGACGATTTCCGTCATATGGGAGTTCTAGAAGCACGTACACAAGACGAAAATCGTCATAAACTTATTGCCAGTCCTAGGGCTAAAACAATCCTTACACTTTCAAGTTAAGGAACCTTGATTTTAAACAAAGGTTTCTTCCAAAAAGTGTAGCCCAAAACTTATAAAGGCTAACTTCAGTTACCCGGTATGTTTCAGAGTAGCCTAAGGGACAATTTTTCAGGGTGTTGTAGGCTAGGCTATTTGCTTCGGACGGTTTTACATTTCAGCCTTGGACTAGGCCTTGAGCCTTTTAGTTAGGGCTACTAATAGAGAACAAGAGTGTACGCCTTTTTATTCAACTTAATAAGGCTAACTTTAGTTTAGCCTTACCATATGAACGTAGGTCTATGAAGCCTTACTAGGCTAACTTATTTTTACTAACATATGAAGATAACCTCATTTGAAAAAGGAGGTTAAACCTAAAAACCTAAATATTTAAATATTTAGTAATTTAAAGACCTGTCAATAATGAAACACTTTAATATGATCTGCCTAAGTTAATTAAACCAATTTCGGTTTTGAGAGAAAAAGAGACGTCCAGACATTTTGTTATTGTTAGGTAGGCCTAGCTTATTGTCATCGAATTGATGAAAATATTAATTATTTCGACATGCAGTGGATTTATTTGGAAATATTTAACAATTTAATTAAAAAAATACTCACCAGACGAATCTGAAGTCCCCTGAAACGGATCCGTCAATTTCGGCCGCTTATTTGGCGGCCCGTCCGTGACAAGATGATCGGCCATATCTCCCCTGTTTACAAAGCCGTACCTACTTTGCCTGGACTGAGTACTCGTATTTAATAAAAATTATAATTCGTACATGATTTTAGTCGCATCCAACGGCTGGTGCATAAATTTAAAATATCTGTGCCATAAGTCCGATATTTAAAATATCCCTCAAGGCACATAATAATAACGCAAAATCAACCATCGGGCATAATGAAGACCCAAGCTGGCCGATGAGCTTACACTGTTCCTCTCTCCATCTTCCGTCGAAACTCACACAATGATCGCAATGTATATCACGCACAGTTTCTCACTTTGAAACGCACTATGATAAACAATTACTTTTTAGAATTGAACTACAGACAAAATATCACTAAAACAACTTCATAAATAATCATTAATTGGACAAAAATTACCGATAATTTGAAGAATAATATCCAAATTTCAACTCACTCTCGGATAGTCAAAATGGCGGCTGTTGATGAAAAGTTTTTCTACGCTTGTCAGAAAATATCCGACTACAAATGAGAATTCCACACTCCCATTGGCCAAGTGAGACCACGTGACCAAAAGAAGCGATGCCATTGGCGTCTTGCTTTGCCGAAGTAAAGTCCTGACGTCATAGACACAACGAAGATGCACGAAGTGTAATTGCTCCAGCGGCAGAGCTAGAGTGGTGGAAATTGGTAATCCAGAATAAAATAATTATTATATAAAAATCCTAGTTATAATAAAACTGTAATTATTTCTACTATTCAATTTTTTCATCCACATATTAATTTTATCCTAGGTATATAATCCTTTTTTTTCAACACCCCAAATGCAGCAATTTAGCGTCACATATTTTACTTAGGCTAATTTTTACAAATAAAAATATTAAAATTAATTAGTAACTAACACAAACGGTATGGTATAAAAATTATTACCTAATGAACTAATATCACAGTGGAATATGCTGGGTTCAAAAATAAAATATTGCTAGACATTTTTTTATCACATAATTTTATTAAATTGGTCAAAATTTAAAAGTGTAATAACTTAATAAACACTGCTCAGTGATAATATACTCTTACCAGTAATTATTTTTAGGAATTAAAATTTAAATGTCTTTATGACAATCTAATTAAAACTTAAAAATTTAATTGAAAACGTTAATTAATTTAAATTTAATTGTGAAATATTGATTATGTAATTGTGTTCAACTTAAATAAAATGTATAGAAAATCAAAATATATAAATTTAGCAAAGCATAAAACTATACCTTCACTAGCAGTTTTTATTAGGTACTGTACTGAAACTCCAACTAAGTTTTATCATGATTGTATTTTGAGAACATGTTTCTGTCAAAATTTTTAAAAAGTCTTAAAGATTCAAAAGGTTTTCTTCAGCAGCATCCTGAAAAGGGGTACACAAACTATTTAATGCATACAAAACATACTTACGTAGTTGTTTTGAATCTTTCTTATACAATTAAAAAAATTTGGTTTTTCTTTTCTGAGTTCGTTTGGCTCTTCTACCCGACCGATTTTCATGATTGAGGTCTTACATCGAAGGTATGCACGCACAGATTTCACAACAAGCATCAGCATATATTTATCTACTGTATTACTCGGGCAAAAAATATAAAGTTGATTTATTTTTTGAATTCTTACTTCAATTTAAGATGCATCTCACCAGTTATAATTTTATATAATCCCTATATATTTTTGTCTAAGAACCTTATTCAGTGAAATGCCGGCTTTCATTTATGCTATTATAATTATTCAAATCGGAGGAGTTTCAAGCAAACGCAAAGTGAACAAACAACATAAAAATTATTTTTTAGAAGGTTTTTCTATTATAGTTTTTCTATTATTAAAAATCAATAGCTCCATAGTATTGTTTATATGTTTATTTATATATGTTTTAGACTCAAAATAATCAGTAAATTACGGTATATAACTTAGGGTTTAATTTAAGCTATTGATCCTTTGAATAAGTTAAGTTCAAGATACTGAATTACTGAATCAAAAATCATAGATTTGGTTATTTCTCGGACATGATATTTATGTCAACGCTGCAGAGCAGGATGGGTCCTCAAGTGATATTTAAACAAATGCAGTTAAATACAGAGAAAGCAATAGCATACCAAGAGATGGACTCAAAATATAACATATAGGTATACAAAATATATTTACCTAGCATGGGTGTTTTAATAGCTTGAAACTTAAAATACTAAATGCTTGTATCTTAAGTTTCAAGCTATTATATTTTGTCAATTTTATAAAAAACCATAATAAGAAATAAACTGATTTATTTAATCTCAAGAACAGATTGTGTTATACAATTTTTTTTATGGAAATAAATCTATTGTATCTATCTACATAGAAGGAAGTAGTAAAGGTGAGCAGTCTGGAGTGTGAAAACTGTTTAAGACGATTAGATTTAGGTAGGTATCTGCATTCCTAAAATTCTATGGGAAGGGAGGAAAACGGGTCCGTGACGTAGGAAGTGGTGAAGGAAGTAGTCAAGACGAGCTGCCTGGAGTGTGGGAACTGTTTATGACGATTAGATTAAGGTATCTGCATTCCTAAAATTCTATGGGAAGGGACGAAAACAGGTCCGCGACGTAGGAAGTGGTGAAGGAAGTAGTCAAGGTGAGCTGTCCGGAGTGTGGAGAAACTGTTTATGACGATTAGATTTAGGTATCTGCATTCCTAAAATTCTATTGGAAGGGAGGAAAACGGGTCCGCGACGTAGGAAGTGGTGAAGGAAGTAGTCAAGGCGAGCTGTCCGAAGAGTGGGAACTGTTTATGACAATTAGATTAAGGTATCTGCAATCCTAAAACGCTATTGGAAGGGAAGGAAACAGGTCCGCGACGTGGGAAGTGGTGAAGGAAGTAGTAAAGGCGAGCTGTTCGGGGCATGGGATCTGTTTATGACCATTAGATTAAGGTATTTGCAATCCTAAAATGCTATGGGAAGGGAGGAAAACAGGTCCGCGACGTGGGAAGTGGTGAAGGAAATAGTCAAGGCGAGCTGTCCGGAGTGTGGAAACTGTTTATGACTATTAGATTAAGGTATCTACAATCCTAAAATGCTATGGGACGGGAGGAAAACAGGTCCGCGACGTGGGAAGTGGTGAAGGAAGTAGTCAAGGCGAGTTTTTTGGAGTGTGGTAACTGTTTATGACGATTAGATTAAGGTATCCCCAATCCTAAAATGCTATGGGAAGGGAGGTAAACAGGTCCGTGACGTAGGAAGAGATGAAGGAAGTGGTAAAGGCGAGTTTTTCGGAGTGTGGGAACTGTTTATGACGATTAGATTATGGTATCTTGGTATCTACAATCTTAAAATTCTATGGGAAGAGAGGGAAACATGTCTGCGACGTAAGAAGAGGTGAAGGAAGTAGTAAAGGTGCGCAGTGTGGAGTTTGGGAACTGGAAACCGTTTGTAGCAGTTAGATTAATGTATCTGCAATGCTGAAATGCTATGATAAGGAATGGAAGCATGCCCACGACATAGAAAATGGTGAAAGAAGTAGTAAAGGCTAGCAGTGCGGAGTGTGGGCAATGTTTGTGGCAATTAGATTAACGTATCTAAATTCCTAAAATGCTATGGAAAGTGATGAAAACAGGTCCACGATGTAGGAAGTGGCTTAGGAAGTAGGTATGAACATATGTTGAGAACCGTCTGTGGCAGTTAGATTAATGTATCTTCAATCATAAAATGCTATGAGAAGGGAAGGAAACATCCCCCACGACGTAGGAAGTAGTAAAGGCTGGCAGTGCAGAGTGAGGGAACCGTTTGGGCAGTTAGATAAATGTATCTAATACTTAAATGCTGTGAGAAGGGAAGGAAACATGTCTATGACGTAGGAAATGGTGAAGGAATTAGTAAGGCTTGCAGTGCAGAGTGTGGGAACTGTCTTAGGCAATTACATTAATGTATCTGCAATCCTAAAATGCTATGGTAAGAGACGGAAACAGGTCCACGACGTAGGGGGTGGTGAAGGAAGTAGTAAAGGTGGGCAGTGTTGAGTGTGGGAATGGATTAATGTATCTGCAATGCTAAAATGCTATGGGAAGAGACTGTAGACTGTAGGTTAAAATGATTATGAAGCACGAATCGTTACATAATTCGATACGTATTCAATCGTTTACAATAGAAATTTACAACTGAGTTGACAACAGCTGAGTTTTACTCCATAGAGGCTAAAAACGAATTTTATTCCCTAAAGAGTAAAAATGCTACTTTAGACCCGCAACGCATGCATCAATGACGACTGTTTTCACTGCAGTATGACAAAAACAATATAATATGAACCATTGATGACTCCGCTCAATTTTGTGGATGCTTCTGCGAATGCCACCTAGTTTAATAATTAATCTAATGACATGGTGCCGAAACCCATACGGAGTAGAAATAAAAGGAATGACTTAAAGGAAGATGACAATATCCATAAACCATACAGAAGACAAGGATAATAATGTAAAACCACCAAAATGTCTTGTGATTTCAAGTACTCAGATGGCTCCTTTTTGGAAGAAATGGAAGTAACAGTGGAACTGCTACAACACAGCTTCTGGCCTTGATAGGAAATCAAATGCAGTACATGTAGCATGTCTAGTTTAGGCCCAGATGTTATAGATATATATATATAACAGTTTTGGTTTCATGGATGATGAAGATATTGAATTAGATTAAGTTGTTCAACAATTTGATACCGTAAGTTTTTTGTTGGTAAATTTAATGAAGTATTTAAGCAATTTTTGTTCAACAAAATCACCCGAGAAACCCATCAAAGCTTTGACGATTTTTTTACAAAATTGGTTAACCAAGCTAATTCTTGTAATTTTGAGCAACTAAAAAACTGTTTGTTTAGAGATAGAATAGTAAATTTGGCATATTACATAGATTCTAGCTTTTAAGGGAAAAGCTACTTTCTTCTGATAACCTTACCCTAGATGATGCAATTAGTAAGTGTAAGTGGTGTAAGGCACATGAAAAAGATAAGAAACAACTAGCAGAAATATCTTCTGACAGCCCTAGAAATGTTAATGTCATTAAAAGGGATGATTCCTTTTCTGGGCCTACGTTACAAAATTCAGTCTTAGACTGTAAACGTTGTGGTTTACAACACTCTAGAGGCCAATGTCCAGCTTTTAATCAAACTTGCAATCAGTGCTTGACTAAAGGTCATTTTGCTCAAATTACTAAAAACTCAAAAGAATCGTCCTAGTAAGAGTAAAAATAGGTACTGATGTTTTAGAGGTTGTAGAGAATGAAGATTCTGATGTTGCCCGTTGGTTACATCTCTAACCCAGTCAAGAATCAAGATTGGACAGAACTCTAAAAATTGCCAAATAACAAAACTGTGCCGTTTTAATTAGATACTGGGGCTCAGTGCAATGTTATTTCCCAAGATTTGGTGCTAGCTTATTGTTATCTTAACATTGTAAATTCTGCAACTAAATGCCTTGT